GATCCTTAACTGCTTGGAAGGCTGCTTCTTGCGCTTGTCCCCAATTCCATTCCTTGTTCCCGGTTAGTTCCGTGAGTGGCCTAGCAATCTCTCCATATCCTTTGATGAACCGTCGATAGAAGTTGGCAAACCCAAGGAACTGTTGAACTTCGCGTTTCGATCGTGGAGTGGGCCAGTCTCTGACAGCATCGACTTTAGCTGGGTCCATGCGTACTTGGTTGTGGGAGACAATGACGCCAAGATATTCCACTTCTTTGGCTTCGAAAACGCACTTCTCCGGTTTGAGGTAAAGTTTGTGCTCGGCAAACTTCCTCAGGACCCTTCGGACCATTTCCCGATGTTCCTCCAATGTTTCCGTGAAGATAAGGACGTCATCCATGTATATGATGACTTTTCCGGTGTTGATTTCCTCTCGGAATATGGCGTTCATCATGGTTTGGAACGTTGCGGGAGAGTTTGTGAGTCCAAAGAACATCACCAGAGGTTCATACAGTCCCCTGTTGGTTCGGAACGCCCGCTTTCCACTCGTCTCCCTCTTTGATACGGACATTGTTGAAGCCCCAACGGACATCTAGTTTGGTGAAGTACCGTGCCTTTCTGAGTTTGTCTACTAATTCTTGGATCAATGGCAGGGGGTATCGATTCTTCACAGTGATGTCGTTAAGCCTTCTGTAGTCCTGGACTGGTCGGAGGGAGCCGTCCTTCTTTTTCACAAAGAAGAACGGAGAGGCCATGGGGGATTTAGACGGACGGATCCTCCCTGACTGCAGGTTTTCTTCCAAGAAGGCATCAAGTGCTTGTTGCTCTTCAGGGTTCAGCGGGTAGATCTTGCAGTCCATGGTCTCTGCTCCAGGGATGAGTTCAATTGCATGGTCCCAGGGTCGCCTTGGAGGTAGTTCATCGAAGGACTGCTTCGAGAACACAAATTTGAAGTCGTGGTAATGTGACGGTACCAGTTCTTCAAATGTCTTGGCTTTTTCCTCCTTGGCTTTCCTTTCAGCAATTCTTCCGGATGTCGTCTGGAATGCCCGTAGTCGGATCTCGTGTTGAATGTCTACCATGAGAATGTGTTCCCCATCCTCGAGGTCCTCGTATTCGATTTCCTCTGATTCAGGGTCTGATCCGACAAGTGGGGTACATTCTATGGGACACCGGTTGAACTCTATCGTACCAGTCCTCCAATCAATAGAGGGGTTATGCCGTTTTAGCCATTCGAACCCAATGAAGACGTCCGTTTTCCCTAGTTCGGTTACTCCGAATTCCAATCTCTCAATGTGGTCTCGGATCTTGACGTGGAGTTCGACACATTCGGAGATAGCTCCTCCTGCGTTTTCCGTACCATCAGCATTATAGACAGGGAATGGGGATGGGGAGCTTTCTGGTTCGGATATTGTTTCGTCGGACAAAGTCCCTGTCTATACAGCTTCCGGTGCAACCACTATCTAAGAGTCCAGAAGTTCGGAAGCTTCGCTTGTCGTCTAGGGTGCTCATCACCATGTCCAGATCCAGCTGGTTGCCCTTATGGCCACGAATAAATCGTTTGGGTCGAGCCATCTCCTTTAGGGCCTCTACCACTGGTCCGTCCAATAGCTGTCTGAGCTGGGATATCTTTTCATCCGTGACCTCTTGCCTTTTTTTGGGATGTACCCAAGACATCAGGATTCCTCTTGCCATCGAGGGTTCTGAGTCGTCAAGTCGTTGGGCTACCCATTCTGCGGAGCCCGGTTCCACTTTCTTTCCGTAAAATCGCGCATTGTCCCTTTTCGATCGTGCGTAAACATCATGTGATTCGAGTTCTGGCATATGTACATATGGGGATCGAACAAAGGTACTTCTATCGACCGGCAAGTCTGCGCTCACTCCCGGTCCGTGTAAAAATCCTCGAGTTGTTTCTTCAGCGCGGCACGTTCGTCCTCCGTGAGGGCTCTGATGTCGATGGTTCTGGTGTTAAAACTTCTGGGTCTTAGTTGGGACAGTCTCGGCTAATATGTCCCTTCTGGTGGCAGGTGAAGCAGAGACCCTGTCGTCGGTGCGCATCAATGTCCATAGCGTTCGGGTCGGCGGGGCGAGGGGGAGTGTGGAGTAGGAGTGGATTGGGCAGCGGGTCGGAAGGAAGGGAAGAAGGGCCTTGGTGGAGGAGCGCTAGTTGCCCTTGGGAGTGGGTTTTTCCGTTTTGAATCTAGCCTTCTCCCGTTTACGAATTCGGTACTGGCGATCGAGGTTAGCAGCTCGCTCCATCCATCCGGCAAGGGTCGTGGGGAGGTTCTCCTGGTCGTGGCACTTGTCCAACAGCCTGCCGTTTAGCCCTCTGCTTGTATTCCTCGATGAGTGCTACTTCGTTGTATCCAGAGACGAGTCATATATGATCGGAACTCGGTGTTGTAAGCCTCACAGGAGCGATCTCCCATCTCGATGGTTTGGATGGCTAGGATCGCTTCTGCTCGGGAGTTCTGGACCTGGAAGTGAGCGAGGAAGGCCTTGGCGAAGCCCTTCCAGTCATCGTAAGCGAGGGTGTCAGCGATGATCTCAGCCCGTTGAGAATTTGCCCATGCAGATGCCATGCCGTTGGTGCCTCCTTTGATTTTGGAGAGAGCATAGGAGATTTGTCGTAGTTCATCTGCTTCTCCGATATGCTTGAAGTAGAGGACACAGGCATCGAGGAAGGCTTGGGCATCTTCCGGTTTCCCGTCGTAGGTTTCGGGTGGGTCCGGGTTTGGTTTTGGGCTTGTCGGGCTCGTTGGGCTAGGGCCTCGGAGACCTGGGTGCTGGCAGCGGCTGACTGGGCCAACGCCTCTGAAGCTTGGGCAAGGGCTGGCTGGTAGCCGGAAACGGCAGCCACTAGGTTTGCCACGCTATCGGCAAGGCTTCCCAGGGCTTGGTACATGTAGTCCCAAGCGGAGACCTGCTGACCTTGGACCTGGGTCTGGTCAGGCTGGAGGAGTTGAGGGGCGGGTTGGCCGTCGTTGGCAGGGGGTATTTGTAGGGGGGAGGGGTGGGTGGACATGGTATCGTAAAAAGAATAATGGGCTCGTGGGCAAGAGAAAGAAAAGGTAAGGTAAGAAAAGCTAGACTATCTCCCGGTTGTCACTGTGTTAGCCACACAGAGGGGAGCTACACTATGTGCTTTGGACCTAAGTTCCGCAGCTCTCTTGGTTGCTGCCTTCCTACAGAAGGGGCGTCGCCAAGGATAACCTACTGAAAGGGGAAAGAGAAAAGGAACTATGTAAGGGAGTAAGTAGCGTGAGTGGGGGTTGCCTTGTTAGGGCGGAGGGCGATGAGAGACTCGAGGGTGCCGGGGATAGACACAGTCGAGAAGGGGCAGTCTTTAGCTAATGTCAGCAACTAACTACTTGATCTGTCGTTCAAGCAATCAATAGCTGCACTAGAAAAGACTTGGCGAAGAGCGATAGGATTCAGTAAAGACTAGAGTGTTGTAGCTAGGAATAGACCAGCTAAAGACTGAGGAAACTACGCTTACAAGTCTACTCTATATATACTACTTGAGTTGTATGTACTTGTTTGGTCCATGGTCTGTGCGCGCGCAGTGTTTTGTTCAGCTGGCGGGGTACGGTTCCATGACTCATCACGTGTCTGAGTCACGTGACATCCTATGTTACTAACTACAAGTCTCGGCGAGAAAAGGAAAAGAAAGGTCTGATTCATGACAGCCACTCTCTATTGTTCTCTAATTTATCTCTGCTGCGCTCCGCAGTGACCTGTGCTCGCGCAGCCCTTTTCTCTGACTTCTCTTGACTCATATTCACGTAGCTAGATAGGTATATAAGCTCTGTAGATACCTCTCTTGTTCCTTAGCTAGTTCTCGTGAATCATACCCACTTCTCCTCTTCTCTCGAAACTCGCTCTAGTCGTCGTAAGACAATACCTCTTGTGAGGCACTCTTAGACGCCTATACCCTCGAACTCGCCTCGGAACCACGACTCTACGGTCGACGTGCATGCTCACTTGAGTTCGCGTCCCTTGACCGTAACAAGACCCATCCACGCAGTGACAACGATCGGCTTTGAGGGCTACCCGTTGCACCAGGGGTAGGTTTAAACACACCCTACGGGTATGACGCGGCGATCCCTACCGGTAGGGGTCAGGCAAAGGATAGTAAGCCACCTGAAACACGCGGATCAGGATGCAGTTTCGCGAGACAGTAGCCATCGATTTTAGACATGCAAATTCCCTAGGCACTAGCACGGTGTAATTACACAGTTCCACAGTGCTAGACGTCATTTGGGATCTAGATAACAGCCCATAGTGAAGTACCATGGACGCACGGGTATACCGTCTCCTGAGACCCCATAACTTCAACTTTCCACAGACATCCCGTCTTATGAAACAGTGTGGTATACCGTCCTTGGCAAACGGAAGCTCCTGAGTTCATTGGGTATACAGTTTGGGGTACCGTCTTCGAAGACTGCATACCCAAGGAATTCCACAGGGATACCGTCTGTGAAGACTGCATACCGAAAGAATTCCTTAGGTATGCCGTTTCCTCGGACGGCATTCCCAAGGAATTCCACAAATATACCGTCTCAGGGAACTGCATACACAAGGAATTGCACAGGGATACCGTCTCAGGGAACTGTATACTCATGGAATTCCCTAGATATGCCGTTCCCTAAGACTGTATATCCAAAGAATTCACGGGGATACCGTCTTGGAGGACTGCATACCGAAGGAATTCCCCAGGTATGCCGTTTCCTCGGACGGCATTCCCAAGGAATTCCACAAGTATACGGTCTGAGGAAACACCATACCCATGAAATTCCACAGGGATACCGTCTCAGGGAACTGCATACCCAAGGAATTGCACAAGGATAGTCTTGGAGGGCTGTATACCGAACGAATTCCATAGGTATGCCGTTCTCTAAGACTGCATACCCAAGGAATTGCACAAGGATACCGTCTTGGGGGACTGCATACCGAAGGAATTCCTCAGGTATGCCGTTTCCTAAGACGGCATTCCCAAGGAATTCCTCAGGGATACCGTCTCAGGGAACTGCATACCCAAGGAATTGCACAAGGATACCGTCTTGGAGGACTGTATACCGAACGAATTCCATAGGTATGCCGTTCTCTAAGACTGTATACTCATGGAATTCACCAGGGATACCGTCTTGGGGGACTGCATACCGAAGGAATTCCTCAGGTATGCCGTTCTCTAAGACTGTATACTCATGGAATTCCACAGGGATACCATTCCATCGGACGGCATACTTGTCAATTTTCACAGGTATACCGTCCGACGAAACAGCATACCTATGGAAATCCCACCGATGCCGCATCAGCAAACGGTATATACTCCACATTCCACAGGTATACCGTCTAGGGAAACGGTAAACCTATGGAAGTTCATCTCATGATTTAACGTACCTGGGACATTATTAGCTATTCCGTCTGGTGGAACAGCTTACTTGTAGAAGTTCAGGTATATGCTGTTCGGTGAGACGGTGTACCTCTGAATTCAGACCACCATCCGGTCTGCTGGCGCTGCCATCACCCTAATTATAGTGTCAAGGTGTATCGTTAAACGGCAAGGCCCTCCTTGAGCGTCAATCGCACCACATTACTTAAGATCGAACCAGATGCCATTGGGATCCAGTTTTGAAGTGGTATCCGGTTTTGATATACTGCCTGGCCAACTCTTCCACAGATCAGCGAGACTTAAAGGATTAGACAGCATCAGAGCGGGAAACACGAGAATATACATTGCATGACGGTGGAATAGACATACACACACACAAAAAAAAAAAAGAGAGAAAGACAAACACGCAAAACGAAATAAACGCGACGAAATTCTACTCGGCCTTGGTGCACTTCGAGGGAGGCAAAGGGGACCTGGACTCCTTCCTCTTCTTCCTCTTCTTCTCGTCTTCAACCCCCTTCTCTCTCTCCTTCCTGTCCTTCTTGTCTCGCTTCTCCTTCTCCCGCTTCTCCTTCTCCTTCTTTTTCTCCTTCTTCTTCTCTTTCTTCTTTCGCTTCTCCTCCCTCCTCCGCTCTCGCTCATCGTCGCCTAGTTCCTCTTTCTCCAACTCCTTTAACTCCCTCAATCGGTGTCGTTCAGCCTCCTTCTCCGCCTTCGATGCCTCCTCCCTCTCTTTCGCGATCTCCTCCCTCAATTTGTCGTCGTACTCTTGGTCCGAGTTGGTCCACTCCCAGTCCTCCTGCTCCTTTTTGTCGTCGTGGTTCAGCGCAACGAGAACCATCGAACGACTTGCCTTAGCCTCCAAATGCTGCCAAAGGTTCTTGATCTGCAGCACGGCCAGGCGTTCCCAAGGTCGGAAGTTGCCATGCTCGTCGTAGGCGTACAGCATCTCGACCTTCGTCTTCAACGTAATCTTGATGAAGGAGCAGATCCACGTTCGAGCTCGGGGTTCCAATGGACTGCCAAACTCTTCACGATGACCGTACATCGAATTAACGTGGAGATTAGACTTCCACAAGAAGAAGTCTAGGAGAACATCGTCCAGGAGGCATCCGCAATGAAGGAAGTACCAGCCATCGATCTTCCGATAGAACTGCAGGAAGTCGTCGATCATCAGGCCGTTGTTTGTCGAGGTCGGAGCATAGTCTGGCCAGGGGTCTGCACCCGGGACAGCTGGTGCGGATCCTGCCCTTTCGACAGGTAACTTCTCCTGGAGTTCTTCTGGGGCAACCGCCTTGTCGTGTGGCGCGTAGACGCCGGTAACCTTGTCTCTAGAGGAGTCGTTCTTCGCGGATCCATGAGCACTCCTGGTGTGGTAGTGGCAGACTGTACGGAAAAACATATTGATGAACACTTGCATGTGCGAGAGTGTCAGGGGCCTGTCAACACAAGTATGCATAGGAATATATCCATGTGATATGTCTCGCAGGACCTTGAGAAATCCCTTGCCAATTGCTTCACCGGACCCAGCTGAGAATTGCCATTGCTCTATGTCTATGTATCAGCTGAATACATGTTCCACTAGCTCCATCTGTCCTGTTCCAGCTGGCTGGTGATGTGGGTTAGACCACAGGTCCTGGTCTCAATGCTGATGTCTGAGCTGAAATGCCCAAGCCCCCTGCTATCCATCACCGGACAGGCAAAGAGCTTACAGACTGGGTCGGAATCCTGACAGGAACACCCGACCCTGGTGTCGACTAATGGCGTCCAACGCCCTGATATTTGCCGTGGACTGGCATGTGTCGGCTGAATCCACCTTGGATATATCCTGTTCCTCAGCCGGGATATTGGGCTCGGCCTCCCGACCTAGCATCAGGTGCGTCCACAGTTCACAGGAGGTGTCTCAGCTGAACGGGGCTTAAAGATATCCTCCCCCTCAGCTGGGACATTGGCTATGCCAACCATCCCACCATCCCACCCCACCCCACACCTCGCCTAGGTGGGACAATTCAGGGCTGACGGCTTGTCTCAGCCGAATCTACCTTCGATATATCCTCCTCCTCAGCTGGGATATTGGGTTCCACCTCCCGACCTCGCATCAGGTGCGTCCACAGTTCATGGGAGGTATATCAGCTGAACGGGGCTTAAAGATATCCTCCCCCTCAGCTGGGACATTGGCTATGCCAACCATCCCACCATCCCACCCCACCCCACACCTCGCCTAGGTGGGACAATTCAGGGCTGACGGCTTGTCTCAGCCGAATCTACCTTCGATATATCCTCCTCCTCAGCTGGGATATTGGGTTCCACCTCCCGACCTCGCATCAGGTGCGTCCACAGTTCATGGGAGGTATATCAGCTGAACGGGGCTTCGACCTTGCTTCAGGTGCGACCAGAGTTAAGACCACAACAACCGACACATTTAAATCAGGTGTGTCCACAGTTCACGGGAGGTGTCTCAGCTGAACGGGGCTTAAAGATATCCTCCCCCTCAGCTGGGACATTGACTATGCCAACCATCCCACCATCCCACCCCACCCCACCCTACGCCCCTGGTTGAGACAATCCACGGCTGACGATGACCTTGTCTCAGCCCAGTCCACCTTTGATATATCCTGCCCCTCAGCCGAGATATTGGGTTCGGCCTCCCGACCTCGTTTCAGGTGCGCAGAGTTAAGACTACAACAACCGACACATTTCACCTCCCATAGGACTGTCTTTGCATCAGCTGCGACTTCGGCTGCGTTCTCTCAGCTCCCTGCCCTATCATTCACCAAGAAGTGAACACACAATCTTAGGCAAATCCAGAGTGCGGTCGGTTTTTCTCCAAAAACTCACAGACATTGTATTACGTCCTTCAATTTACAACAGTACGCTTGCGTTGTTATTTACAGCTCAGGGTTCTTCTATCCGGCGGATGGCGTGAGAAGCAAGGAAGAGCGGGGGGTTACCTCAACAACGATTATCCTGTCTGAGAGGCAGGGTTGGAGCTCGTGAAGTTTTGAAAATGTATGGGGAATGGTAACAGTATGCATGGGGTTGCTGTAAAAACTCACTCATCTAAATTGCAGGATTGAACCAGATAGATATTCCCATTCCTGCAGAGAGGGTTCGGATAAACACTTTTGTCCTTGAGTTCTCTGGAAGACAGCATTATCCGGCTTTGAGTCTATCGTTGCGGCGGCGGGCTTTCCCCTCATTGCACGGATAGGTAAGGTTGCTATAAAAGGTCCTGCAAATTCCAGGAGGGAACAAGATAGACGTTTCAGATGCTCCCAAACCTAGAGTCACAAGACAGTCACATTCGCGCGGAAGCCGAAAGTATTGTAAATTCGCTCTCCACTATTGAAGGTGGGGCTCAGCTCACACATGATATCCTTGGGTCATACTCACTCCTTTACTTTTTTCTTTTCCATCCCCAGAATTGGAGCGGCACATCGTCAATTGCGCCACGGCTTTAAGCGCCCTAGGCGCCCCAGCACCAGACAATGGGAGCGAACTTGTGGAGGAAGTCAAGGGATTCATATCCGATGCCCGGAAGTCTCAGCATTACCATCTATCCATCGTTCAGTCACTGTCAAAAGCCATACAACTACGAGTGGACAGGATTGACAACTGGAGCTCGATGGCTTTGGCGTTCAGGCGCGGGGGGGAGGTTGCTATCACCGACGCTATGCGAGCATTTGCCGCATCAAGAGCGGAAGTTGTTGCTTGGATAACAGAGCTGCGCGCTGTGGTCTCAGCGCACGAAGAGGGACTCAGAAGGGAGGCGCGGTCCGACATCACAAGGCTTCTCGTCAACGATCTACAAATGTTCACTGACGCCAATCTTGACTCCTCTGAACCAATTCACATCCAGCCTATACGACAAGCCCTCAACGATGCATTAGCCAAGCTCTCGTAGTTTGAACCACAGTTATCCAAGTACGCACGCGCCATCCGCCTAGTTACCAACTAAGATACATAGTCTCTACCCTCAGCAAAATTACCCTCATCACTTCGTCCATTGCGTTCTGTTCTCTTGAAGCGTCGACCAAAGTTCCCGATGGTCTGCCAGCACTTGTGTCTTTGGTCACAGTTTCGGATATTCCACTGAAGCGGGCCGTAAATAATTAAACAGACCCTTGGTTTGGGTTCAGTGAGAGCTTGTGAGTCTGTCCTGCGACCGCCTACGGGTCGTCAGCTGCGACTACCCGGGCATCAAGCCAGCTGTGTCAGCGACGTCGGAGAAGGCAAGTCAATGTTTGCTTCGCAAGGTATAAGCGTCGGTGCGTAGCCGACCTTTCAGATCATAATTACATCCAGGCCTGTACTACAACACAACCACGCACATCAAATCGTTACAAACAATTACGGCACTCGGACAGGGGTGCGCCAGCACCTCTCAGCCACGATTTTCTTTTCCCTCATATTTGTTCAACTTTCAAGTGCGCAGCAATTTGACTTGACCATGCAGCCGTCTATGCAGCCGTCATCAGGTAGGTAAAACCGCCCCGGAATACTTAGTGTTCTACTGTAGCTGATACGGTCCAGAGGAGAGGAGTGCCCCTATTTTCACAATCCAGGAGGAGATGGATCTGGCGTTCGACCTCTTCAAAGCCCTTGTAGGTGAATACACATCATTACTCCTTAGTCTGTCGCGCTGTTACTCAATACTTTTGGACAGCCATGCAGAGGTACCTGGAAAGTGCAAGGACAGTGGTGGAAAAGCGGAGGCGGGCGTTGGACGAGAATCTTGCCCCCAATCCCCGCGGCTGGACAAAATGGCACCTACAACGGGCTTTCGACGCAAGCGTTAGAATCTACGACGAGGCTATCAAAAGCAGGAATCACGTAATGGAAAGCCTGTCTCTTCGTGTGAAGTACATCGAAGACCACATTTCCCTAGACGATCGAGCTATCCTTGCCCCCGCCAACAGCTTTACCATCACCAGTACTTCAAGTAGTAGTAATAGCAGTAGCACCCCGTGAATCATATGCATATTGTATATTGGAATGGAAGGGGAATAGGCAAGTGTGATTTACGACCTTACATTGCTGAGAGCCTTCTCCATAACTCCCATCCAAGTAGTGATCTCCATCTGGTTCTTCTCTATGTCGGCCATGATGTCGCGCAAAAGGCTGCGAGCGGGGCGGTTATTGCCCGCACCTCCTTGTATATTGTTGAAGCCGAAATCGGCCAAACGGCGAATGAGCAGGTCAGCCTTTTCATGCACTTGGCTACATCAGTTCCGGTGCCGTTAGGTGAAGCTGTACACACCCAGCCGTTCGTATGGCCCCAACTCATCCGAGGCTCGGATGAGCTGGGTTTGAAGGGAGTTTGAATCCCGGATGTGATTGGGTTCAACCTCGCGCATTCAGCAATATTATGAGCGCGGGTGAATTTCCGTTACAACCCCTGTGCCAATTTCAATGATTTGTCCCGAACCCAATATTCGTTGAAACCTGGGTTGACCATTCGTTGTCCCAACGCCCTATCTGACTTCTCGCGATCACGCGCGCGAAGTTCGAAAAAATCAACATGTTCGACTTGAACGTTGAACTTGAACTGGCGTTCTTCTGTTCTGAACCACCACCACCGCCACCCACGCTGCGGCCCATCAGTTAACATATGAGCGCCCGCTCAGGCTTTTCTTATGAGCAGTTTGGCAAAGGAGGTAAAGTGACGCATCTAGACAATGTGAATGTGCCCTTGCTGACGACTTTTCGCGATCGCCATGTCCGCAGCTTTGGCACGACCACACCGGTGAGTTTTGCTCCGGTCTCAGGTGAGCCCTCTCTTCGTCTAATTCCAAATCCACACGCTGAATTAACTTTCTTGCAGTAGTTCCTCGTCTATTGGCCGTGCTTGATTATTGCCTAAGGGTTGCTGGGAAGACAGTACTGTAGTCTGTCAACTCCAGGTATGTTTGTCTTCGCTTCTCTAAACCACCATCACTGACGCGCTCATGGTTCTTTCCAGGTATCGTGGGTTGCCAGGGCAGCCTACACCGCTATTTGCAAAAGAGCACGCCGCCCCGATGGTATGTCCCCTCGCTCCTATTAAACCGTCTTTCCTCACACTGACTTGTACTTTTCCCTCTCAGATAGTTGACTTGATTTTGGTTTCATCTATCGTTCCGTCGGCTTGAGCACTCGGTACAGTATTTTGTATGGTAATGTGTAGTAGTCTAATAGGTAGATGCAATAAGAAAAATTTGTATTCAATTTTCGAGCTAGATGAAGAAGCAATGGAAAGGCGGGAGGACCCGGAAGGTCGACGAGCAGCAAAAGAAAAAAGAAAGGGCAATGAACCCAAGGCCATCCGGTGGTTTAACCTGGGTGCATTGACGGGGCATACCAGGGCTATCCCGTGTAGGATAGCCCTGGTATGAGTCGGCCTAAGTTAAGCCGCGTTTGGCCCGCGATGAGTCTGGGATCATGGCCACAGGTTTATCCTGGGGTTGTCCTCCGGGTCCGGCTGTGATAAGGGACTCACATTGCTCTAGAGAAGACAAACACATGGACACAATCTCCTTTTCTGATTTATACAAAATTGAATTCCGACAACGGGGCAAACACATGGACAAATCGGTTAGGAGTACCATATTTTACTTATTTCCCGCCGAACATGGGCCCGTCCCTCACATGCGCATTTCGTTCGTCGATGGCCTTTTCCACCTCTTCCAGCTGCTCTGCCAAATACTTCCTGAATTCTGTGAGCATTGTGATCTTTCTTTGAGCCTGATAAACCTCCCAAGTCGCTACCCGGATCTGCTTTTGTAGAAAGTCCCGGATTATGGTGCAGTTCTCGAGCATAAGATCCTCTGTGTTGCGCTGGTCATCGTTGTCCTCGGCTTGGTCGCTCTCGTTAATGACCACTGGTGGTTGTCCAGAACTAGAGTAAAGTCTCGATACAGACCACTCTCGGAACTGCGCGAGACTAATTCGATCATCCTGGGAATCCGCCGTAGCGTCGACCGAGCGCTTGTGAGAATCTGCGATGAGAGATCATTCCGCATGCGCGTAAAGATAGGCGCCCCAGACGGCACTTACTTTTTTGGGTAGCAGTGAGGTCTGGTTATTGGGCCAAGCATGGAGCGGCTATCGCATCAGAATCAATCAAACTGTTGGAAGTTGGTCACACTTACTGATTGGTACCGATGGAATGCTGACATCTTTCTCCTTCGGTCGTAACTTGCTGGTCCCCTTCTTACGTGAAGATTCGTCCTTGGGTGGACCCACGGTCGATCCTGGGTTGTCCGAGTCGCATCCGAACCCTCGAAATTTGGCTAGCGAGAGAGCAACGTTGGGAGGTGCGGGTTTCTCTGAACTTGGAGCTGCCTGGCGTAAGTATCAAGATGCGCAATGGTCCACTTGAAGCGATCTTACAGATATTGGTGGTCATGTCGAGTCGCTTGATGGTGGGTGAAAGAAAGAGGTGGTCTGGGGCCGATAAATAAATAATAAATCACCGGGCGCGCCCCCATCACGCGGACACGCAGCCGTTCTACGGGGGCAGGAATATGATTTAAGTAGCCACCTGTATCTCGGATATCCGAAATCAGCCCCCGACTACCCACCCAGTTACAACCCCAAAGCAACCTAACTTTTAAAATTCCAATGACCGGCCAAAGCCCTATGTTATCCCAGCTCGATACGTCGGCCAAGTTACCTCCTCCGGATATCCAAGAAGCGATTGCCGATCTCACCTCGCTCCTCAAGGAAGCAGGGACTTGCGACGATACCGATATCGACTTGAAGAAAAAGCTTTTAAACTTGACGGTCTGTTTCTTCGTCTCTACGCCTTCCACATCATCGATCAGTTTTTTTTTTTAGGTTCTCATCCACGATTCCCTCCTTAAGTTGCGGTGGGACCAAGAGCATATCAAACCGGCCATCCACAGCTGGTTTAGCAGGCTCGGCGACCCGTCTCTGCCTTGGGATGGGTATGCTGAGAGTTTGGATGTTTCATTTTTCCGCACCCAGAGCTTTCAAGACCTAGTTGATAAGCAAATCGCCAGGCAAGGCAGGCGTAAGCGCAAGGTGACTGGCAGGTTGTCTTGGCGTTTTCTTTTTCAGAGCTGAAACGTGATTAGGTTGCTTTCATCGAGATCGATCTGCCCAAGACCAAGAAGGGCTCCATTCCAACAGAGGAGCCGTCTGCTCCCGAGGTCAAGGCCGGAACTAAACGCGCCCGCGAGACTGACCCCCTCAGCTCCAGCCGAAAGTCGAAGAACCAGGGTGAAACGGACAAGGACGGAGAGGACGGAACGAGGCAGTCGAAGAAGAAGAAGAAAGCGGATAAAGTGGATACCCCTGAGGGACAGGCGGAAGGGACCAAGTCCAGCGCAAAGGCGACCTCCGCCAAGCCCCAGTCCTCCAAGGAGCCGAAACCAAAGGCACCTCGAAGAGAGAAGATAGACGCCAATGACATTCAGCACTACGACCCCACGGACTTGGATAGTCGTTGTTCGAACTGTCGGAAGGATTGACTGACGTCGGTGCTATGGACATCCTGAATGTGACCATCGACAAGCGTAGGGACCTTATCGAACATTCATGGTTTACAAACATTAACTTTATCATCCAGCCCCGTCAAGATCCCAGGTTCAACACGAACTGATGGTCAGTGAGCAGGAGGGTCACCAGGATGTCGGCGTAACGTCATGGCTGACTCGGGGGCTGAAGATACAGGAATCCCAGTAAGTACGATCGATCGAGTTATCGGGTACCGCTAAGCTGGAAATGACAATCCAGACTACTACTTAAATCGTTCGTCAAGGGCCTTCCCCGAGACGAACTTAGGACGGATCTCCAGCTCGTCGAACTTGCGGAGAAACGAGAGCGCCTCCAAGCCGACCTCGATGCGTTCGTTTCCACTGCCGTTGGCCTGTTCCCGTCGGTCGAATTTGGAGCGTACGAAAGACCTCCTGATGCCGCGCCTGAAATCGACAACGAGGACCCAGACGATTCAGATATCGACGACGTTAGAGGAGCATCAGCAGAGGAAGATAACCCGTTCGTCAACTCTGAAGACTGTGACGTTGAGGACGTGGAGGTACCTTTACCATCCTCATTCGCCGTCCTCCCGCCGGCTATGAAAAGGGCCAGAAAGAAAGAGATCCATTTACGAATCGCCCAGGCGAACGATGCTCTGGAGGGCATCAGAACGGAAATAGGACACAAGTCTTTCCTCTATCGATCCGACATCCGTTTAGCGCAAGGGAAGAAACAAAAAACCCGCGGCTATCAGTCCATAAAGGCCGCCGACTCCAACATGCGACATCATCTGCGCCTTTACAACCACGCCAGATGGGCTTTAACGAGACTGCGCGCCAAACCATCGATACTGGACCGCTTTAAGGCGATTCGTAAAGAGGATACTAAGGCAATTACGGCGGTCTATCAACCCAACGCACCCGGTCAATCGAAATTATCTTTATCGTGGATTTGGAGCGTGGATGTCAAGGGGGATTCGGAAAACTCCACGTACCTCAGCGAGTGTACGTCCAAAAAAACGATACTCGTGGTGATTGGCAAACTCTAACCCACTCGATAGTATACAGAGTTAACTGGATAAGAGCCAAGGCTCGTTTAGACAGATGGAAGGAGGAGAACACTCTCATACGTTGTGAGATGGGTTGGATGCTCAACTTCTTCGATCGGAAGGAAAAGATTTGTTTGGGCTGGGCAGACATGAGCGGTAACAGACCTGGACATCGCGCCTACGCTTACCGTCAAGCTGAAATGTGGAGGCTTCTGGCTTGCGAGGCCAGGAGGTCCTTCAAAAGCGCTCAGGAAACGGCGGAGCAACTGACGACCAACGCAGCCGCGATCGGATAATATATTTAGTTGGTGACGTCATCTTGCGCACCCGTGTGCGCCGGCGTGATATCAAACGGGCGAATCTGTGTCGTGAAAAGGGCATTAAATCTTGGACCCAGGGGCTCATTCGCTTTGTCGACTTCCCCATACTTTTTGACGTGTGCCTCCCTCAATGACCGAATTCGCAGTCAGCATTAAAGCTTTGCGCGATATCAGCCAAATCGGATTACAGGACCTACTGGATTACACCTCAAGCCGGCTCAGGGCCGCCGGTGGAAGCTATCTGGTGTTACGTGACCTGATGCCGGAAGAAGAGCGACGGGCCTTTAGGGAGTGTCTACGCGGGGAATTGGTACAGATTAACGCTTTCTCGAAGGACCGAGCTCACCGCTGTGCACCAGATCAATGGAATGATGATCTACACCGCCGCCGCCGTCAGGAATCCTCACTCCATTACTCCGCCGCCAGCTTTTCGCAAGATTTTCCCCGTTTGCTTTGGGGATGTGGAGGGTGAACTGGATATGTGGATGCTCGAGGTAGCTGTGGAGGGAGGGGAAGGGCTCCGAGATGCCAAGTTGAGTCTCTACAGAGAGGCATGGTGGCAACCAGGCGCCGAGAGGGTGTTCCCGAACCTCAACGGTCTCATCCAAATGTGGCGGCAGCAGAGCGCATATCTACCTCCCCATCTCCCGGAAACGCCGTCTACCCGTCTGGTCCTTCGTGAACTGGGGATCTCAGCGCTGAGAGAAGCCAGGTCGCTTGTTAAGTCGTCCCTCGACCTGATCGAGCAGGATTTGGAGGAGAATCGCAACGCCATTCAACGGGTGAAGAGAACGTTGGAGGAATACGAGCAGGAACAGGATCATTTGGGTCAAATCGAGAAAAGTAAATGTGTTTTGCCCCTTTGAAAGTAAAGCTACACGAGATTATCAGTAATATTAATTGCCTTTCAGATTCTCTATTGCGCGCATTTTTGTCGACGTGCCTTGAGAAGCCTTCTCTGGGTGGTGACACTTATCACACCTTTTGTGTTCACCAAAGAACGGCAAATCGTATCATTGCCGCCGCCGCTCGTGCGAAAGGGCTTGATTTAACTCCAGCCCGGAAAGCAGCCATGTTCAAAGTGGTGGACTACGAAGCGGTAATTATTGTGTTCTGTTGTCTGGCTATTGTTATTAAAGCACTCGGGGCTTACTACAAACGCAGGTAAGACTTTGGACGACGTACATGAAGTGCTTGCTCCTCCACAGCGAGAGCAGAAACCCGGTTCAGCCGTGTAACCCGGTCCTAGCTCGCCTTATAAACATAATGGAAACCGGCGATTGGAGCCTAGAGCGTTTGTTTGACGGCACCGTTTACGAGGCGTTCGGAAGACCGCCGTACCAACTGGACTCCGACGTGGAGTGGGGGAAGATGCTCGCTTCAAGCGACTTCGAAAGGGACGACGACGATTCGGGCTCGTATCCCCCGCCCGCCGAAATTCCTTCGTCCGCTGCGGATCTCGACGATGCACGCTACCTGTTGAGTAAAAGGCTGGAGTTTATGGAGGGCACCCTCAACGAATGGACGAGTACGGAGGAATGGGTGACCGAGGCTCTTAGGGTGACCGATAAGATTGACGGGCGGTGGAATTCAGAGTGGCGGGCAATGGAATAACGGTGCCATATTAGATTAGTCCTTGAAGTAATAATCACTACTGAAAAGGTTGAGAAAATCCGCGAAGTACATGGTGGTGGGTAGGCGGGAGCAGGGAACCTGCTCTATCATGACCTGACGAAAGAACTGGGAAATGCCTACGCGGTCCCCTACAACCGGGGATATGCCGTGTTCGAACAGAGCGGCGAGTAAGGCGACGACCGTTCCAGGGTTGTACCGACATCTCAGGCCCAGGGATGGTACCTCGAACCTAGCGTCGCTGTAACGTCCTCCTGTGTAAAGCAAGTCGTACGCCCGGGGTGGTGATTTGGGGTCGAGATGAAGCCATGTATCACGGTTGTTGACAACCGAAAAGGCCGTGAATGGAGTTGACCAAAGTTCAAGAACCTGTCGAAGCAAGGCAGGCTCCTGGGTTACGATGCTCCCTGCATTCAGATGCGCAAGAACGTCAAGCCCAGCTTCGAACTGGGCGGGGTGAACGGCGGCCAAGATAGCACCCAGGATGGCCATGCTTTCGGAAACCTTTTCGAGGAACTCTAGGCCACCGTTACGAGGATCGCTGAAGGTGGTGGAGGGCCTCAGAGACGACGAGGGATCTTTCTATTCGACGGTTAAAATTGGCAACAACGACGCAGCGCAGAACTAACCTGGTCTCTAGATTTCATCGGCACAGGCCAACAGGAAGCAAATGTTGCCACCCCGCTTCTTACAAGAGGGCCGGAAGGTGTGAAGGTCCCTTCATGTCTTCGGAATTCGCAAGGTTTCGTCAGAAGGGGGGTTTCGGGCGCGTCGAATGACAGCCAAGATATCGCTTCTAAGATGACGGCCTTGCTCCCCGTCAGAAGACTGTCGAACAGGGCCACAATGGAAGAACCTACCTGTCGTGCGCTTGAAACGATGTTGGGGAGGTACCATAAAAGAATGCGACCGACTGAATCGACCACAATGAAAGGTTCGTCCTTGATATAGGGAGTTCCGTCGCCCTTTTGTCGCGATGCAGGTGGAAAGCGAGCCAGTAATTCCGCGGCTGTGAGTTTTCCTTTCTGTACCTTGTAATCATGGAGCGCCCACGCCAAATGCTCTGTTATACTTCATGTGAGAACTTGGTTAGACCGATAAGGGGCCAACTGATTACTTACCTGCATTCAGGAATGCTTTGACGACAACGGCAACGATCTGGTGACACTCGACCTGGAGGCGGATGGGGATGTCTTTAGGCCAAGGCGTGGGCGGGTGACCTGGGAAGAGTTGTTCACGGAGGAGACGTAGGATATATCTGGCGAGTCGATGGATTAACCGAGTGCCAGGAGAAAGGGGGGGGCGAGTCGAATCCATTCTGGACAGGAGGATCAGGTCGCTCAAGCCGCCAATCTGGATGTTCGACTGGGTGTTGGACTGGATTATGTAACAAGGACCTAACGCAATACATACATAGAACGTGCTCTTCAGAATCCTCGTCAAGTTTTCATCGTCAACGACGACTGGTGCATCCTCGAAAAGGTAAGAGTCAGACAACCTTTGCTCAAGGAAACGGGACTGAGAGACTGGGTATATAGATAGTCTGAGATCTCGTGTTATGATGGACAGAGCGGCAGCCAATTGCATTGACCTGACCTACGAGGAGTGGATATATTGGAAAGGGCTTGTCGAGCCTCTGTTACACGGTAGAGATTCAATGTCTGGTTGCTGGGAACCATAAGAACTAACAATCGACTTCATAGCGCATCTGGAGATGTGGGACCTGGTGGATAAAGTGATAGCGAACTTTGCCGCCATGGAACAGGTGGAATCTGTCACCTTTCCTGGTAGTACTCGACGGGAATTAATATCGGCAGCAACGGTGTGGCATCTGCGCCAAACTATCGAAGAACTGCGGACGACGATTCGGCTTAGTTCTCGATTAAGCTTAGGTGTGACTAGGGCGATGCTTGGGACCGTGTAAAGTATCCTTAACATTGAGCGGCGGCAATATCGTGCATGTCATATGTCAGCGATATCCGGTCAAGGCACCGCCGACCTGAACAATTGTGATGAGAATTCATTGAACGGTGAGGGACACCGGGTAAGCGACCGCTCGATCACAAACGACACGATGTGGCTGTACGTACTACCGGCGGTATCTGAAAGCGACCGTTCTTATCGACAATACTCATAAGCGGGCGGCGTTTAACATCGACTATAACCGCTGGGGAAGGCGCCCTGGTTTCAAACCCCGACCTGGAAATCTGATCATATAGAGAGAACCTATCCCAACAGGCCTCTCATCCTTCCCTTGTTTGTCGTTCCCCTCTGGTTCATTGGAAATGCGTGTGTTCCGCTTTGTCTCTTTTTGTCTGACATATACTGAGGTTTTGGCCCTCCAGATCCTTCAGCATCTACGAATACCCACCATTCTGCGCAATCATTGAATGTCAACCAAACGGAGCGCTTGTCGAAACGAAGCGCTGATGGAGGTAGGCTGCGCATCCAAGTTCACGGACGGCCATTGATGATACATAGACGGGACCAGTGACGAAGAAGGAACTAGACTACGATCCAAGAAAACGGCGGGTCAAGTCCGCAGACGCCGAGGCCAACGGGGTGATATTCAAGAGGCTCTTTGCACTTCTGGGGGAATCGTTGGCCGTAGCGAAAATAGGGTCTGGAGAAACAGTCAGATGGTCAGAGGATCTTACCGAGGCCTTGGCAGGGTTGCAGACCGAACTGGAGTGCGAGTTAGGAGATAACGCAGAGGAGATTCTCAGTCCTGAACTGAAGGAGGTCAGGCAAAAGGTTATATCCCTCTCTGCGGCCTGCAAGACCCTACATCAGCAGCTTACTCTCGTCGGCAACTTGGGAGGAGATGGCCAAACGTGTGCTTAAGGATATGTAATCGTTGCTGTCACCGACTAAATATATCACTGGGGTATATTGGCACCGGGTTATATATAAAGTGTGAAGGCGTGGGTCCCTGAATTCATCGAGCGCGCATGATGGCTGAACCCTTTGTTTGCCGCACTATCTCTGTCCATCGCAACCTAGAGCAAACAATTACTTGCAGTTCGTTGTGCTGTCGTCGTTGGCTCTCTCTCGCCAAGACTTACTTCGACTCGGTTAAAGGTACATTTTTCCGCCTTCGCGTACGATGCTGCCCTAATCTCACTATTTCAAAAAAGCCAACGAGGAGTTGATATGGAAGCTAGAGTCGCAAACAAGGGAGGAGCGGCGAGAGGCTCTTAGATCGCAGGGTTATTGGATTGCAGATTCAGACCCTTACGATCCCTTGGAGGAGAGCAAGCAGTTTATGTCAAGAGCGTTGGGAAATTTGGAAGAAAATACGAAGTTGTTGGCGAGTTGCGCCGCCGAGGTATCGCGGGGTGAGTGCACGTCAGATGCTGTCTTAGTGCGTATTCAGATGGATTGTTCGGAAGTGGAAGGGTCACCGATGGTTAAGCAGGATCCGTCTGATGGGAATTCAGTATTTTTGGGAATCCGAGGTATATAGCCGGCATAATCAAAGCGGCGGTAACAATGCTGACTCTCCTAGAAGGTCTGGCGGTCATCGGGAACGATACCTTGCCCAATCGGCACCGTAAATTGGATATGGTGTTTTCCGAGATTCAAGGTGTGTAGATGGGTCATCCATGAGGCGATAATCCGTGTCTAACGAAGGCCGCCGGCAATGGATAGAGGTCATTATGGCCTGGTCCGAGCAGGAAAGCCAGGTCGACTTGTGTAAAATGAGAAAGTATGAAGCACTTATCGCGGTGGAAGACCCGCGACGTAATATGGCTGAGAAAGACCGAAAGCGGGTGGAGGAGGAAGAGGACGGGAAAATGGCGATGTTCGAATTGGAAGTTGAGGAAAAGGCACGGGCTACATACCTGGGGGCGCTGGAACTTAGGTCTATAATTCTTTCTTCGTACGGCGTCCACCGCTAGGAAACATGGTCATCAGAGGGTAGATAGATATACGGCGGGAAGGGAAAATTGATCGGCGTTTGTTATATCACGTAGAGAACGGATAGATTGAGATTACATGACTGCGCATTAACTCCCCTCGTATGGACTAAGATGACGGGAATTCAAACAGTTCCGCTGAGGATACTTCGACGAGGAGCGCTTCAACCTGTCCGATGAGCTTCCAGCCTCCATGTAGGGCCTCGGCTGCAAAGTCCTTGATGAGTTGGCGAAGGAGGCGAATTTGAGGGGTTTCTATCTTCCTGTACAGTGGGGTACGATCTCTGGTGGACCTCCTGAGATACGACTCTAGGAGGAGTTTTTCGACTCCTGCCCACGCCTTCATTAGACCTGAGTGTACATTAGAAACTTCTTGTGGTACTGATTGGTGTTCTGAAGATCTGGAACGCACTTTGCTGGAATTGAATGAGTTCGGAAAGGTTGAGGCCGTCGAGATCTGAAAGATGCATGGTTTCCTTGTCCTTCGCGTCTATGGCTTGCGTCAAAACCTGCCCAAGAACTGACCGAAAATAAATGGTTCATTGGAACATACTGAAATGCAAAGCCGCACGTTCAGGTATTTCATTCGCCAACGCAAGAGCAGCGTCAAGCTCCGCCTTCAACTGAACCTGTATTAATCGCGCTCCATCATCGTCGTAGCTCGTAGCAGGATCACGGACGATTATGCCACCATCCTGGACCCCAGTCTTTTCTCTGATTATTCGGCGAAGGGCTGAGGGAGGGATCAGTGAACTCCGCAACAAGACATACTTAGATACTTACTTGATATCTGCTTGCACCGCGCCTCGAGTTTGTCGATGCGGATTTGGAGACACTCGCACATGGGAGATTGGTATGAGACAGTGGGGAGCTAGGGATTCTGTATCTTTTAAGTATATGTCTTTAAGGCTTTGGCCAGGTGGGTGTTAAGAGTTACGGCCCGCTCTTATGCATGTAAGTCGGTTAGCGGCGGTAGCCGCTGGCATGTAACCGCCGGGGCTTATTACAATCTCGGACGAGCCGGACAGTGTTGAAGAATGCGAAAGGATGTAAGTCGGTTAGCGGCGGTAGCCGCTGGTATGTAAGTAACCGCCGGCGCTTTTTACGATCTCGGACGAGCCGAACAGAGGTGTTGAAGAATGGGAAATGTTACTCGTTATTGCATTTGTGGCTAATTACGATCTAGTATAGAGATATGCAGTGTTAGGGACTAAGGCCATCATCGGTAACAGGGGTGCCTGGGATGTATGTGAGTTGTACGCTCGCATGGGAAAGGTATGTCTGACAGGACTTACCCTTGCGCCTCTTTGGAAATGGAAGGTACTCCGTTGAGGAGTCTGTGTCAGGGTCGTCAACTTCTATAGAAATGGCTCGGTCAGTGAATAAAGTATCGTCATGCCCAGCGTAAGGTGCAAACACTCACTGTCCAAACTGGGTCTCCTGTTTTTCCTAATTCTGGTGCGCGCAAGCGATGGTTTTGGTGGCGGCGTTTCAGGCAACTCGACGTATCGCCATCGAGATGGAGGGTTCGAAGAGGGTGTCTTCGATGGAGGGACTGCAGTGAGGGGTGACGGTTTGGTTTCGTTGTTTGTAGATTTCTGGTTTCTGTGTTTCGAGCGTTTGGAAGACATTTTCCCTGTGCGTGAGCAAAGGTGGCCACAGAGAGTAGGTGTATGAAGGTGGAAAGAGGGAAAACGGAAGATTAATACATCACCGAGTCGGAGAGGCTGTGCTAGTCAATATGCCGGTCGGCGGTAAGGCGGATGGTGGTTTAGCCGCCGATGCAAAATAGCCGATATTGGACTGGTATGTAAGGCGTAGGTAACCGCCGTATGTAAGGCGGTTGGTAACCGCTGTATTTAAGGCGGTTGGTAACCGCTGTATTTAAGGCGGTTGGTAACCGCTGTATTTAAGGCGGTAAGTGACCGCCAACAACAGGGGGAGAATTGGCCAAAAGGGTATTAAGTCCGCTGTGGTAGGGCGATCAGGTGGAGGTCGTCGGCAGACGTATTGCTCTTACGGACGTCAAACTCGTCCAGGGTGGGTCAGCTGGTATAAGGCACCGAACAAAATTGTGCCTACGCTTACCCAGGAACACCCTTTTTCGTAGGGACGTTAGGTCGGCGCGCCAAGGCGCTTGAAGGTAGGGGGTGTCCGCCCATCTATACGGTCAATGCGCAGGGTGGTTGACCTCGCTCGATCGGCGGAGGAGGTAGTATTGTAGCTAAAGCGGCACGTGCAAAACCGTACTATTGAACAGATTCTGGGATCCGGTTGGGCAGAGGAACGTTTAGCCTTCGAGCGGCATGCGAGGTTTTGGGTCGGCATTTGCGCGCGCAGCACTATGGGATGGATAGGTCAGCCGACTTGGGGGACCCGAAGCCAGGGCATGAGCTCACCTAAGGGGTCAATGCGAGATACCATTTAGTAACCTAGGTGAGCTGGGTTGTCATGTTGGCAGGCTTTCAATCCGCCAAAAGAGGCGTCAGCTGGCCTAATACAGTTATGCGGAATTTGGGTGGTCAGCCGACTCTAGTGGATAATGGATGGGCTATGGGGGTCAAACCAGATGGCTCTGGCCCTTCCGGCTGAAACTACAGGCCAGCTGACATATCGTGGTTACACTACATGGTGGTGTCAGCTGACATTGGCCACTTATGCCAGGGGGCGTGGTCAGCTGGTTGGCTGGCCATAACCGGTCAATGTATTTGAACAGGTCAGGTGGCATATCTACCATATGTAGAGGTCTATGTAATATTGTGTTAGGACGACAAGAAGTCTTCGGATAAGCGCTTGGCAGGTCCCAAACCCAAGGTTAGCTTGTCCGTCTTGTGCTAAGGTCCCCGACAACTTATCTGGTGACGAAGCAGTCTTCCAGCAATGGAGCACCCTCCCAAACTGGCGAAGAAGTCAAAGGCCAGCCGAAGACAAAGGTGACGGGTATATTTCACTCAAACCAGAATGCGGCGATCTAAGGGCCAGGATAGGTGACTGAAACCGGGAAACCTGTTGAAGAGAAGACGAAACAGTCAATTTCCAAGGTGAGCTCTTCAACGCGAGTCCCAGCCCAAGGGCAGAGTTTACTGGTCGCTAGCCATCCGAACGTAGACAAGACTTTGACAAAGGCTCGAACACTCAGGTGAGTTGCCTTCCGCGTAGCCACAAAGCATGTGGTTTATCCGACACGTTTATCCGCGTGTAGCCGTCCGACACTCGATTATTGGGCCAGGAGCTAACGACTGCTCCTACTGTAAAGGTCAGTGTTTATACCTTGATTTTGTACGAGGGCTGACCTCTTCTAGTCAATCGGGGCTGAAACGGTCACGAAGCCGTCTGGCGAAGAAAAGGGGCCAACGTCCAAGGTCGGTAAATTTGGAATTCCTCTGTGAAATGGAGCCAACTCTCGGATAGACCACAAATATTGATGCCGGGGTGAAGAAGACAAGAGCGACAAAAGCGACAGAGCGAGTGGCGGAGTCGAAGAAGAAGGCTTTGCCTATCGCTCAACAGACCTCCAAAGAGGTGAGTCTCTGGATATCCATAACCTACGAAACTAACTGTTGCGAATATCCAAGGCTGAACGTCAAGGCGGATCAACTTCTGAAAACGAGGATGCTACATACATTCCGACGGATGACGATGATCGCCGCGCAGTGAGCTTAAAGCATCATCTATCCACCATATTAGCTGACTGAGATCGGCAGCAGCCGCGACCCAGAGCAACAGGACCGCAACGTCTGGTACAAAGTAGAGGGTCTGAAGTGAGTTCGTTCCCCTTTGAACTTTTTGAAAATACATCCACTTAACTTGAACCATTCACTATCCAGACACTTCCTGAACCGCTCGCTATCCAGGCCCCTCAGCCTGCAGCCTCAGGCACTCAGGTTGTATCCGGGGACCCACGGAACCCAGCGACGTCGTGGACGAAGATAACCCCTGTCTACCCCGGAGAACTGAAGAACGGGTCTGTGGAGTCAGAACTTCAAGCAGCCAGTCTACGCCTCCACCAGAGCGAGAACAGGGCTCGTGAATTGACAGCCAGCGTCAACACCGTCGTCCGATCGTTCGTCCGTCAGAATGAAGCCGAGAAGAAGATCCCTCAATTAGAGGAACAGTTGTCGAGGGCTTTCCGGGAGATAACCGAGCTCCGCAAAGACCTTGACAACGAGAAAAAGAGGTCAGAAGCGCAGCTGGCGAAACTGAATGAACAGGAAAATACCATAGCCTATTACGCCAACAACATCAACTTGTTGACTTCCGTCGTCAACAGGATCCTCCTAGGAACGCCACCTTCGGCCCTGTCACTTCCTTTGCAGCAGCCACCGCTACCTAGTTCCGGCTACCAGCCTCAACAGGATGCCAACGCAGCCTCTGGCGGCCATTGGCAAATTCTATCCGCTGGTTCAACCTTGAACGAGGGACCTGCCCCAGGATTTTCTTCTTCCGCTCCCTCAAACCGACGCGTTCAGACCTCCCATTTCCCTTTGCCAACCCAGGTCCCCCAGACTGCGAGTCATCTGTCAACTGCGTTCGCGACCCACTTCAATCAGGCGTTCCGATACAACTCACCGAATCCAGCAACCTCCGACAGCCCCCAGAATGTTTCAGCTGTTTCAAGTCACCCTATGCAGACCCTCTTATCCGAATATCAACGAAGCACGATGGAATTCCCGCCAGAAATGCAACAATCCCCAGCTCGAGATGCTGCATTCGCCGAGATGATGGTTAATTCAGCAGCAGGGCCCACAGCAGAGGTTATCCGGGCATTCCAGGGACAGTCTTCCATCGCGGCGACTGGGGCTGCAGTTTCCGAGAATTCGAACGTAGGAACACCAGACTGGCCTTCCCTGAGCGGAAAAGTCGGGCGCCCGGGAGACCCCGTTTTCCAGGACCAGGGCGCATACGTCGATGACGGTTTCGGGAATGCCCCTTTCCTTCAGGGGTCTTCCAGTTCGACTACCCCAACCGATTTCCTTAGCCTGTCGTCCAATCCTCCTAGTGTTGACTTCCAAGCAGCCAACCTGCCAGCTCATAACATCAGCGGAACCCGATCCCATCTAGTTGGCCCTAAAGAATCAGCGGAGGGGCACTTTGGAAACGGCGAGCTTTATCAACAAAATGGTGGGACGGATACAAGTTGAATTCGGAGATCTATTTTGGTAATTTCGCGCAGATAGATTTTACGTAGGTTAGGACGTAAGTAAGTTAATGAGCAACAATACACAGCATACGACGAAATTGGGTCAGGTTAATTACCCGTCATCGTACCAGGCCCTGTCGATGTGCGCAGGCTTGAGTCTGTTCTTGCTTCAAACACCTTCTATATCTTCCTAATTCCCACTCATTTCTGTTATTCTCCCATAATCTTTCTAATGAAGACGCAACTGGCATTCAATACCCAAGAACTGGTCCGCGAATGAAGTTCCAACTTCCAACTATTCACAAAAGCCAGTCAAATTCAGGTATACAAGTATTTTGACAATCATTCTAAATGCCATCCATACTAATTTATCTTGCCCTCCCACCAGGCCTTCTTGTTCTTGTAGTTGCGGCTTTGCGAGACTGTGCCGTCGATTCGGGAGCTTGTGAGCGCGACCTGCTTGACAAGCTCCTTGTGGGTGTTGCGGGCTCCAACCTGGCTGCACTGCGAGCTGCTTTCCTAGGGCTGGTGCGCCGCTCCTGCAGTTGAGCTGACGCCCTACGCTTCGGAGTTCGCTCCATTGCCAGCCCTTCCGCCTTTCTCTTGACGGCTTGTGAAGCTGGGTTTTGGCTCTTCGAAGTCGTCGATCGAATCTGGGAAATCGATTTCGGTACGGATCCTTCCCTTCGTTGACGGCGGGTTCGAATACCCTTGAAACTGGAGGGCGCCTCGTCGTCAGAGGCAGGGTCTGGTTGCCTGGATCTCGAACGGGTCTTTCTCTTTTGGGCGCCAGTCGACCCCTCTCTATTAGAGGAAGAATGCAGCTCTCTGGAACGCGACCTCGTTTTCCTCTCCAGGGGATCATTTGCAGCGTGGTCTTCTGACTCAATTCCATCCTGTACCCGCCGACGGCGGTCCCGCCTCTCTTCGTCGTCCCACCTCTCTTCGTTTTCATCTTCTTCATCGGCGTCACCTTCATCGTCACCGTCCTCATCAACCTCGCCCTCTTCCCGTTCCACTTCGTTGACACCTTTTTCCGCGTATTCACCTTCCCCCCCATCATCACCTTCCTGTTCGCTGTACCCGTTTTCTTCGTCATCGCCTTCATCTTCATCATCGCCTTCATCATTTCCTCCATCTTGAGTGTCATCTTCCCATTCATTGTAGCCATTGTCGACCCACTCGCCTTGATTTCTACCACCATCTTCGTGCCCTGAATACTCCTCTTCGCTGTCACGGTCGAAATCCTGCTTCCAGTTGGCAAATCTCAGCAGATAAGGATTTTTCGGTGGGCTGGGACTCTTGCGCTTTGCAACCGACAACTCCTCTGCATCCTCCTCTTCATCAAAATCGTTGTCCCAGCCAGTGTAGTCAAAATCTTCTTCTCCCTCCTCTAATTCAACCAATTCACGCTTGACGCCAACCTCGCCATTCCCGTTCCCGGGCCTTGAGCGGTCACTTCTCTCCTTCTCTAACTCCGCTTTTTTCTTCCCTTTAGTTCCCTTCGATTCATCACCCTTTCCTGCTGTCCTTGGTTTTGGCTTGCTGCCCCTCTTTCCCTTTCCGCGGCCGTCAACCCCACTCTTTCCAGATGCTTCCCTTTGTCCGTTCTCTGCTTCAAGCCGGGCAATGAAGCGCTCCATCTCGAGCTCGCTGGACCCGTCATCGTTCTCCCCTTTTTTGGACCGAGGCTTGCGGGGCTTCACGTCCTTCGAACCATCGAGATAGGCGGAAATCTCGAACGTCTGCGCATCGGACGACCCGTCTCGGGTAGCTTCCGCCTGGCGGGAGTATAGGTAGTCGTACAGGTCTACTTTGTCTCCCACAGACATGACCGACAATTCCTTGAGCTTGTCAAGGTATCTATCCGGCAGCCATTTCTCTTTGATGAAGAGCCTTGGATGCTGGAGGATCCTTCCCCAAGGAAAACAGAAGCTACCCGGATTCATCCCGGACGAGACAGCTGGCGGATAAACCTGTGAGTGGCAACACCAATCGGACGGACTGGTTTGTTTCTCACCATAGTGGTAGATGAAAAAGCTTCTCAACCTATCCGAATACCAATCACCTCGGGTCTCTCCTGGTTTGCGCGAGGTTGGGCTAGGGAGCAAAGGCTCCCCGTAATCATTGGTCTTCATTGGTACTAGGTCCCTTTTCTGGTTCCGGACCCGAACAGTTTCGTCGTCGTGGTCGTCATCTTCCTCTTTGTAGAGCTGCCAGACGTACCCTTTGAACTCTTGGAAAAGGGACTTGAACTTCTTCTGGTGCAACTCAATGAACCCCGTCGATCGACCTAACTCACGGTTGAAGTCAACCTTAACGGCTGTTGGAGTGCCGTCTTCTGCCTGCCACCCCATGAGCATCACACAGACGCCATTGAAACCCTTGTGTAAATGTTCCGCAAATGAATAGGCCGTCTTGGTGGCTGCCTTGTCTGCCAGTCTAGGACCAAAGCGTGAGTAAAGGTAATTTCCGCCGGAGAAAATGGAAGACTCACTTGCTTTGCTCATTGGGTGGGGGGCCCTGTTCCTTCCACCTTGCGGCTATCTCCGCGTACTGCGCCCTTTCCTTGTCGCTGAGCCGGGAAATCAACGCAGTTGCGGCGGTCTGGTAGTAGTCAAAAAACCAGCCTTCCTCCCCGCTCCCCTTCGTACCCTTTCTACTGGGATCGCGCCCTGCCTTCCCATCCTCGTCGGCCCCGTCCTCCCATTCCTCCAAAAAATCGTCCACGTCAACATCTTCCCCTTCCACTGCCAGTTGCTGAGCCAAAGCTTTGATCTTCGCAGCATTTAGCCTCATAAACACCAAGCGCATGTTCCAACGTGACTCCCATATCTGTTTCTTCCTCTTTGTCTTGGTTTGACCGGACCTTTCCCTGAACCACGCCCGAACTCCCTGTTCTTGTCGGATATACGTCAACGCAGGCTTCGGGAAATGGGAACCAAAACAGCTCGCCTCTTTCAGCAGGCGAGCATCTTCAACCGACATTTGTTTTCCGGAGGCTTCTTGGAGTTCTTTCCGAAGGTGCGTTGCCACCTGGTTCACGTACTGCCCGCGTTTCTTTCCACTCGCAGCAACATAACCGTCGAGCTTCTCTCGAAGATACGACTGCTGAGATGGCTTGAAAGTATATCCGATGGTTTCAATAGGCTCTTCATCAGAGCCGCTGGAAGAATGACTTGATGACATTGGTTAAAGATGGGTGATTCTGGAAGACCAGCGGGGGGAGGGGCGTTATTTTTAATACCTCAAATGTCAGCTGGCTGGTTGTTTCATCTGTCTTATATGCCTGCGCCCCAACACAGAATGATCCGTTTGCGGTAAACAACACCTCAAATTGCCTCAGCCATACATCATCATCTCTGCATCTACGCTACGTCTCTGAGCCTGTCTGGCGTGGCGTGAGATGCGGAGATAGTGTATATTCACAGGGTACTCACAATTTCGGTGGCAATGGCGAGAGATTCTTGCGGAGACATGCAAGCAAGTACTAGCATATTTGGATGGTCCACATCTACGGGGCCGTTTCCCAAAAGCGAAGCCAGAGTTAAAATCTTCTCTTTGTTGCGTCTCATTAAGGCCCGGGTGACTCTTGAGTTACGCGTATTGACCATTACTTCCTGGGGTCAATCAGTACTTGAGGGAGCTGTTGTGGGTAGCTGGGATGGCAAAATATGGGGTTGATGAGGGCGGTAATATATACTCGATGAGGGCTTAGGATTATAGGGGAATTACTGAAAAGGGATCAATGACGTCAGAGCTCGAGGCTCACACTTGTCGGCGCTTAATGACAGCCTACAGTCTTCGACTGTCGCTTGGCCATGGAGGATATGATTTTGTCGTCGTGTTGCTGAATGAATGTCCACCAATTTTGGCTTACTTGCAGTGAAAATACTTGCTTTCATTCTCTTCTAAACCTTGGGTGCCCAAAACTTGAACGAATATGGTTTGTGGTCTGTCATGGGCAATAGGTAAGAAACGATATTAAAATGAGAAAAGAGGAAGTGGCATTGGGATGCGCTCAACGCACTAGGAGGTAAGTCCTACACTACTATTAAAAGGTCTGACTTTTATATTGCACAACCAGTCGACTTGTTATGCATTGAATATCAAATTCTTCAGAACTTGAACTGTAACAAGAATTAGGGTTAAAAATGTACTTTCTTGCAGCACATATCCGCGTTACGGTCTGGAAGATCCCACCCCCTCCTTCCCTCTCTCAGCCCTCCACCCCCAGCACCACTCCTTCCTCCTCATGGTCTATACTTCAGTTTGTTTTCAGTTTATTGCTGGCATTTGGGACCCGGGCAGGTGCACGACCGACAAACAACCAATACGAAGAAAAAAAAAACATTAAGCGCTGGACGCCTTTAGCGCCCAATCAGCGGGGTTTGATTGGAGCAAAGAATCATTGAAAAGGCTGGAGAGATTGTCCAGCCATCCCCTGTGGACCTCCACACATCCCGTTCCATCCAAACCCACCCATCTCACTGTGACCTGGGCGAGCGTCCAACATGCCCCGTGCCAAGAGGTACCACACTGATGAAGAGAGAAGAAAAGCCAATCGGGAGAAGAGTAGGAGGTACTACGAACGGTACAAACTGCTCTCTCTGCCAACTCTCACTGTCCATCTAAGCTGACTTGCCTTACAATCACCATGGCTATGACAGGAATCGTACACTGGTTTTGTCCAAGCGAGCTTCAAGGAAGAAAGATCCCGAAACGCGGCTTGCGCCTGGGAGGCCTCGAAAGTATTTCACTAAGGAAGAACAGGATGAAGCCAAAAGGAATCATGCAAGGCGTTATTACGAACGGTCAGTTCCAATACTCCGCAACTAACCCTTCACCAAATGACCCATTCATTGTATAGTCGCGTGAAAAAAACCACTTTCAGTCTCAGGCGGGCTATCATGCCTCACGATTTGAAGGAACCTGCGCTCCCTCAGTCCCTGCCTGAATGGGTTACCCCTGCTCTCAGCAATCCATTCTCTCAACTTCGGGCTTTACAAACCACATTCCGAAGGATGACTTCAGGGAGCACGTTCGAGTTGCTAAAAGCAATAGCTCTTCAGTATCTGAAATCACGGGATACAAATGTCTTTGACAAGGAGCTGGCAAAGTACAATGAGCTCTTGAAGAAAGCCTCCTTAATAGAGGACTGCGTGCTCACAATTGAAGGCGTCAAAGCCCACCAATCCGCCCGGGAGATGACCAACGATATCCGTCGCTTTACCTTTTGGGTCGAAGATTTGATGAGTCAAGCATTGATTCACGGTTACGGATACTTTCGGCAACTTTTTCACCAAGAGAAACTAGGCTTTCAAGTGGCATGGAGGAGGATAGATAGCACGGCTCGCCTCCAAGAGGGTGATGCTATCACCACAGCAGCTGCCAAAACCATGGCGTTGCGTTATCCGTATGGTCAATTTTTGAGGTAATGGCTGGGTCAGTGTATTTAAGCAATGCTCTTCATGTACGCGCCGCTCCGTCCATCAACTCCTATTTCTCCCCTCCTCCTCCTCCTCCACCTCCTCCTCCTCCTCTGTCAATTTTCACGAAGAGTAATGCCGGTAAAGCGACATGCCTGTGGGCCCTATGAACCGGTCAAGGCCTTTAGGGTAAAAGTAGAGCGCAGAGTTAAGTCGTCTCCCAAACTCTCTCTCGTCCCTGTGGAAGCCAAGACCCCAAAATCGAGCAGCGGAAAAAAATCCACGGGAGGATCTCGCGGAGGTTCCAAACGAAGGAAGATATCCCATGATTCGCATCCCAGTTCTTCCCGTCACTTTGATCCACTGGAGTCACATTACCAAGATGAATGGGTGGACGACAATATTTTTGTTCCTTTCTCCTCGGCCAATTTGGAACGGAAAAGTGGGAATGTGAGTGTTTATGCGCGGTGGGTTGCTGGGCACCACTAACTTTGGTCAAGTCACCAAATGACTATATGCGTGAATGGCTCGACAAAGAACAAGAATATCTCTATGAAATCATTTCACGGGACTATTGTAGCCTGACGTGCCAAACCTGTAACAAGACTTCCGGAGACATGTGGCGTTGCAAAGATTGCTTTGGCAGTCCCGTCTTTTGTACTGCTTGCCTCAGAACAACCCACACCCTCAACCCCTTCCATAGAGTCGAAATATGGAAGGAGCACCCCATTACATGACATCACCCATATGTGATGGTTGCAAGTCGCGGATCATCGCCATCACCCAATGGCTCAGCGCCCGGGGCTCTGCCGAAACCGGCCCACCATTCCAAATGGGGGAGCTCTGGGGTCTCGAGCCACCATCAGCCAGTGGCTGAGCTGGCAGTTCGCCACCATCACCAACTGGGCCCAGCGGTGTAGCCGCCCGTGGAACCCCAGGGCGCGGCTCCTTTGCCTGCCGACAATAATGCCGCGCGGGTGGCATGGCGGCCGCTTTCGGAATTGGTTGTGTTGTGGCGCCCCGATCATAATGGTTGGCAGCGGGCGTGCCCGCCTCCCCAGCGCACCCAACTTGAACGACACGAGGATACACGAGGCTACCACGAGGCGAACGACGCAACCCACGATAAAACTTCTGTTGTCACTCCATCACGTCTCATCCACCATGTCGCCAACCACGTCGTGCACGGACGATGAGGACCTCCTGGCTATAGCTGACCCTGTCCTCGCTCTCGACTACCTACACCAGACGGTTCTATACTTTCATCAATTATGTTTCACCAAATATACTTCCCCGACGCAGCCGCAATCGCACCCGGAGTGGCTAACTTTGCATGAGAGGATGCAGTTGTACACCGCCTCGGACGCCGTTATGGAAGCTCTCAAGAACCAAAGTGAATCATTTCCTTTTTTCCTCTGCTAGTCGTTAACATTGCTCTTTTTGGCCTTATCCAGTCGTCGTCAACGACAGTTTGAAAAACATTATTGCTGAAGCAAAGGGGTCTGGACATGTTGAACCCGAATTCCCGCCCAAGAAGGACGGCGTTAGCAGGCTAATCAGCGGACCCGCTACAGTCTGTGACCGGGATGGCCACATCCTCTACCTCCACCTCCCTCGAGTCCTTACACCAGACCAACTAGCCGCCGTAGAGGAAGCATGTCGTAGCCTTGTCAACGCGCCGTATTCAAAGATGGAAATGTCCTCGGATAAACCTGGATGGCGGACCGACCCGAAGTTTTTCAAAGGTGGCGGTACTTCATTCTGTGCTTTCACGCCGGGAGTCCTCAATTTGTCCCCATGTTGGTTCATGCAAAACCACCCAGTAAGCTTTCCTTGCACGCACCATACAGACTTTTCCTCAACTCACGCCGACTTCTCAGCCACCGAAGCATCAACCAATGGTGTCCGCTTCAATTCGACGTCGTGATGGCAAGGACGGTGCCATCCCCTTCCTGAGAGATATGCGGATGTCATTCACCGTTATGGGAGCGATTCTATATGTCCTCAACCCGGCACAATATGAGCAGGGTGTTGATGCGTGGAAGAAGATGGTTGAGACGAACTGTGAAGGGGCCGCTCCCAAATATGCAGATTTGATGGCTCGCGTTTTGCGGATCTGGGCGTCGCCATTCACAGTGACACAGGTTATATCTAATCGCCAGACGCCATTTCACTACGACAACTCAGGAGACGTCAACTGGTACGACTGCTTACTCACTGTCGGTCCGTATAAGGGCGGGAGGTTCGAACTGAAGCGGGTTGGGTGCCGGTTTAGATATGAAAGCGGGACCATGTCTTTTCTATTAAGCCGTGTACTCGAACATGGTGCGAGCGACGTAGAGGGGGAACGCGTGTGTCTTGCGAGTTTTATGCGGCCAGAGGTCATAAAGTATATCTTGAACTCGCGTTTTTACAGTAGCCGACCCGAGACAGTCCGTAGTATGGAAGAGCGGTTGGGGGTTCCTCCTGCATATAGGGCGGGGTCCTCAAATGGTATAACAGTAGTCGTCGAATAGTGGCACACATATGTGATAATAGTACATGAAGTTGCATTCGTTCTGGGATGGGATACAAAGGGACACGGCCCGCCTCCTGACTAAATCGGCGGAACATTGAATGAGGCGGCCGCCCCAAGGACGACGGGCGGGTGGATTCCTTTCGCCGAGGCGGGAAGCCGCCTCCTCACTAAATCGGCGGACCACCCAAACGAATGCGCGGTACTACTCGCTGAAGGAGGGAGGTGTGTGTCTTGGTACCTTGATCTGCTTCATAAGACAATTGAAATTCATGGTGTTATTGTTTATCTGTAACTGCTAAGCGGGTGTGTAATGAAAGCGGCCGCTTGTTCAAATAGGCGGCCGTTTTCGGATCGGGGCGGCCGCTTGTTCAAATAGGCGGTCCGTTTCGGGTTGGGGCGGCCGCTTGTTCAAATAGGCGGTCAGTTTCGGGTTGGGGCGGCCGCTTGTTCAAATGGCATGGAGGAATCCGGTAGTCCGTCGCCATGAAGAGCGGAATCGCGTTGTAATAAAGGGCGACCGCTTTATAAAAATACAAACTACATTCGAACTACTAGCCGATTAGTAACTAAGTCGTGCTTTGCTGCCCGCGTCGTGCAAGGGTAGCTGCTCTGTTGCCAATGCGATACCAGTCCCGGTAAAGAGGGTAGAGACAAATGTCCGAAATAGTATTGACCGCGCGCTCAAGTTCGGGAATAACGTCCTGTGCAGTATGATCCATCATCACTGCGGCACCATCCCGATAGCTGGCAAGCTCCTCCACGCAGGGTCCTAGGGCGTTGGCATAGTCTTCCGAGTAGCCTAACGGAGGAAGTCTTGATCGAAGATAGGTGCAGTACAATTTCCACGCCGACATTGTGTCGGTAAATCCAAGAAGAGCTGAAGGGCGGGTTGACTGTCGAGTAGTGTCGTCGCCGGCTGATACAGTGGGTGTCGGAAAAGCGATCTCCTCCATTCCAGGCTTGTCCTGTGATGAGTTGCCGCGTTGAATGCAAAGAACGACATATGACCCAGGACTCACCTTCCACCACGCACATGGCATTAGTTCATGGAACGCTTGAGAATCCATTATCCACCCCTCCGCCATAGAATAGTCCGGTAGCCGTCCTTGCTCAACCTCATCAAAAATCACGTCCCAGTCTTCAATCAGCTTCGCTGTAAATCCGGCCATACAATCTCCAGTGTGAAACATCTTCGACAATCCCACAAACTGCAATGCTTGTAACTTTGCTGCATTAGGCTTGTGCAGAAACATCCAGGATGGCACTTACAAACTCTTCAGTGAATTGTGTCTGCCTTGCTTTCCACAATTCCCCTGTCGTATCGCGAGCGAAGGCAGTGAAAGCCAATTGCAGACGAATCGCTAGGAATTCATGGAATGACTCCCACTCCTGTTCGGAAAATGTTGCAAAGGATAATGGTTTAGGCATACGAAGGTAGATACAATCGAGTAAGGTGATACGCAGTGGAAACGAACAAACGTTTATGTCACATCCGCCGCTGCTGATTTGCCCACGCCAAGATATCCTGGATGACGTCCATCCTCATGCCATGCTTGGCCAAACCCTGCTTTCGAGCTTCGTGGCGTCGGCGGTCCTCCTCCAGCCTGGCTTTCACCAACAACGCCTTCCAGCGGCAGTAAAGGTTGACGGCCTTTGCAATCTCGCGGGCGGTGATTTGGGTATCCTTCTTGACCAAATCTGAGCATTTTTGAATCGAGTCGGCGCAGGCAATGAGTTGCTTTTGGCTGAGGTCGGAGAGCCGGTTGCTGGGAAGTGGTAGAGGGTCGAGCGGGAGCATGAAATGCCTCTGGTGGCGAAAGGTCCGGGCAATGAACGATACGTTGCTGGCGTCCCAGTTTTTCGAAGGATCGAAAGGACTCCACCAGTTGCATTCGTAGTGTGCGAGAATACGGTCGGGAACTTGATCATGGGACGGCTTGCAGGCGGAGTAGATAGGCATCGGGTCGCCCAACTTGATCAATGTGAGGAGAGCAACAAGTTCGCGGTGTGCTTCCCCTGTCTTCACCCTGGGGAAGCGAGCAGCAGCGAAGCCGAAAATGGTGGTATGCCAAACCTACGCGGCAGACACAGTCAAAACCCGTCCAAGTCTGTCACAAAGCATACACTCACCAGTTCCTCGTAGAAGATCCGGAGGAATTCCGCTTTTTGAGTCATATTCAATTCCGCAAACTGGTGAGCGTACGCCACGCCAGCTGCGCGTTGTCGAGAAGACAAATAATACAGCAACTGCTGCATTGTGGCACCGTCGAAATTGTCGAGGTCGGCGAACATATGCGTGACGAGTTCAGGCGTATTTCCTGGAGGGCTGTACTTGTAGTCCATGACGGCTCTGCACAACTTGAACCAATCATGGCTCAGGCAGTGATTTATTATCTGATTGATTGCGTTAGGGGAATTCCCGTGATCGATTACATATCGGGACCTGTTTTATTTGGCGGTATTTAAAGGAGCGGGTCAAAAGCGGCGGCCGCCTGGGAAGCCAATTTCCGCCAGGTGGCCGCCTGGTATTTCGCCGCGGCCCGCATCCCACCGTCGTTGTAGCACAGACTTGATCTCTCCCACTCGTCCGCTTTGTTTTTCATGTACCTAATTGTCCAACCCATTTCCGCCCTGACCAAATCCACTTCTTCTTGCCACCTCCGCCACCGCGACATTGTTCTCAGCCAGTTCAGTCGACATACTACAAAGGTATCAGGAACGGATATCTATCGCTGTATTTGTACTCACTTTCCGTTAAGAATTCCGGTTTAGTGCTCTCTCCGCTATGCTTCCAACCCCAGATCCAACTGACATTCTGTTTACTTTGGCCGGGTGCATTCGGTTGGTAAACTGATTGCAATGGCTTCGCATCTCCCTTCTGCAGCTTCCGATACATAGCGCGAACGGCCGGGTCGGAAGTAAGTTGCCATATCGCCCATTGAGCTTGGTTGTAAACCCTCGTGTGTTTTCTAATTGCCTTCTCGGCCGATGCGACAGCAGCATAACCCCTTGTTTTCTGCGCTTTGTTCTGCGCTAGCTGAACATTGGCTTTGAATAAGAAGGACTTGTAGCCCACTTGAGTCCTCAGGTTGGCGAGAGCCTCGTCTGCTTGTGCTTTCCGTAACTGAAGTTCGGCATCCTTGGCGGCCTGAGGGAAAAAGCCTGTCCGCGCTGGTTCGGACGATGGCATTAACACTGCAAGCGTTTCGAGTGGACCTTTGGCGACCTCTTCGAACGGGTTGACGTCCATCCCCAAGTGTCCGCATTCGGTGTCTTCGCATTCACATGGTTCACGAATCGGGGCGGGAAAGAATCGAGACCTGGGGTCGGGATCATTTTGTGACGGGGAGAGCATTGGGAACAGAAGTAACGCCGTCTCCAAATGTTGATCGTGCTTCGCCTTCAGCGCCGCGCGTTTTCTTTCCAGTTCCAGCTTACGGTCATCTGTTGCTACAGCACCGAAGTCCTTCGCCGCCGCGAGGACGTCCAGTCTACCAATAAGGGAAACAATTTTACATGAGGCATACGTGATACTTACTGCAATTCTTGTAATAGAATTCCATCGTGAATCCAAGACGTCACTCCGACGTGCTGAGTCTTTTTGAGTTCGGCGGCGATTAACGTCGCTTCCACCGCTTTCCGCGACGGAGCTGTGGTGGGAGTTAGCCCCGCCTGCATTTCCCCAGTAAAGAACTAACCTTTGTCGATTGATGACAACAGGATGTCCATTGCGTCTGGCTTGTGGCTCTCTCGCTTCGTTTGAGCTTCGGCCAACTGAGCATCCCATTCCGCCCGCAATGATTCTGATGCGGACGATTTCAACATTTCGACCGCCTCGTTTAATTCCGCCAAATTCTCCAACGCGTTCTTGAGTAATTTAGGAAGGCTTTTATCTGTGGAGGCAGGAGTCAGTGCCAGAGCTATAACAGCGAACTATAACAGCGGGCGTTGCTAAGTCCGCCAAGTCAAGACGGTGCGGCCACGTCACCAAATCGGCGCCCTATTGGCCGCCAGTGTGAAAGTGGCGGAGGCCGCCTCGAGTACTTACACAGATTCGTCATTTTTTTCCAATTCAAATCCATTACTTTGTTGTCAAGAACTTCTATCCGATGGGCCTCCGTCATCGTACTTGTCATGGTCCCCGTAGGGTTGAGAACGGACCAATTCGGCTCCAGTATCTCCCCATGATTCCACCCAATCCCTTCGATGTAGAGAGGAGAGAACCGCGGGAGGCATTTTTCTTGATGTCCGTGAACGTGAAACTGCCCGATAGAGAAAACCATGCTGTTGTACCATGGGAGCTCGAGGTCGGCGTACCCTTGTGTACGTGTCGCCAGGTTTTTCCAATATTGACAGCAGATATCATAAATGAAGATAATCCGCTTTACCTTTGAAGAAGCCACGGCCTTCAATCCCTTGCATAAGGCGTAGTCCATGTTAATCTGCCTTTCCCCCTTCTGAAAATCGACTAGGGAAGAAGGTAGAAAGGCACCATGACGGGCACAGGCCAGAGCACCGATGCCCGTGGCATCATAGCCCTTGTGGGCTTTGTTCTTGTCAGCCACTGCTCTATGTTCATTGCAGGTCGATGGCTGATGAAGAATCAGTCACCGTAAAGAATAAGTTCGGAGGCCTTACCTCCGTGATTTCAGTTGCAGAGGCCAGGTGGTGCTTGTAAGCTTTAGACTCCACGAAATATCCTTGGCCCTGTTTCAAGAACAAATCGTGTCCCGCTCCTTTCTTACTCTGCCTGACGCAAACAAAATTGCCGTCGGCCACGATAGACATGCTGTATTTCCACCTCCCGGGATAGTCAGTAAGCGCAGATCATCAAATGAAAAATCGGGTAGAGTCAACATACTGCTGTTTGTCCTTCTCCCAGTTCTTCTCAAGGTTAACATCAGGTTGGGGACATGCCGCGCAGAAAATGGCCATGCTCCCTGGCTTGCATGCCGCCTCTCTGGTCGCAAAGCCAAAACGCATCAGCTCTTGAAGGTGGCGAAATTGCCTTGCCGCTCGCAAGAGTTCTCGGTGCCGATTCTGGTTCTTCCGTCAGGTGAGTTTGTAAAACCAAAGTAGCATAACGTACCGGGACAGAGTCAGGGAAATCAGGGTTTGTGAGCCTTCTGAGCTTGCTAAAGTATTCGCCCGCTGAGGTACAGCATTCGAGGACAGCAAGGCTGTAGTCATGCAAGACTTCGAACGTGAAAACTGTTTCGACGGACTTGAATGTGGTCGGGTATAGCCCCGCCATCAAGCACTGTTCGTCCAACGGCGGCCCTCCCGGGCATACACAGGGCTGTATAACTAAGCGGTGAACGCCGTTGACGTGAACCACAACAGTCTCCTGCCCGTAGCCATCCTTCCCGTGCTGTGGACTTGATCCAAAAGTGAAGTCGTTATAGTTGTTCCAATCCGATTTCGCCGAAGCGAGGTATTGCTCGTTGGGATGTATGATTGGGGGCACGTGAGGGAGTAGAGGACAAGGCCTTCCGCGGTGACCCAAGAATATAGAGACACCCAATTTCCAGAGCCAGGATGGCTCATAAAATTCACCGGTCCACATCTCTACACGGTGGAAGGGGTGCCGTGTTGCGTGGATTGCCATACAACAACCCGAGCAGAGGTTGGGACTCCCAAAGCATGACGTGCATCTCCAAAGCGGATCGTCTTCCCCGCAAACTTCGCAGCATATGTCGGCCTCCCGAGTCTTGGATTGATAAAGGTGGCGAAGGTAGATGTTTATTCGCGGTTCCCACTGCAGCATATAATCATAGTTGCTCTGGAACATCTCCTGGGTTAGTCAGTTTGCGGTTTGTCCATCTCAAACCCGCTCACATTGTCAACTACAGGCTCTTCGTCGGAGGATGCAAAGGGATTAGGTGGAATATATTGGTCTGAACTCCAGCGTTGCTCTTCGCGATGTAGGTGTTCTTCAACTCGACGACGTTTCCCTGCAGGGGTTGGGGTTCCATTTGAAGGTTTGGGTGGGAGAGGCGCTAGTCGGTGCGTGGTTCCTTTTTTTGTGTGGATCTCGACAAGCATGCCATTGACTGGCGCATCCTTGACCACTGACCTTTTCGTCCGTTTGGTCATTTTGCGAGGGGGGGAGTATCAATTAAGACGATGTATTCCGATACTATACCGATTATCGCGATCCGAGCGACCGCTCTTACCAAGGAGCGGTCCGGCCCGATCCCTGATTTCTCCTTATAGGTTGGCCAGCGGGAGGATCCAAGCGGGAGTGACCATTGTCCTATAAAACCCCGCCCCCTGACGTGGCGTTCTACCTGACCGCTGTTTCCCCTTCCCTGACATGGCACCTAAGAAACAGCCCCAACACACTTGGACTGAGGAGCAGCTCAAGATACTGAATGACACTAAGCCAGAGTTTCACGCTGCCGACGCAGTCAAGCGCCAGGCCGTGGCCGACACCGCCGCTTCGAAAATCCAGGCGGCGATGGAGGAGGGCGGTCAGCAGTTGGACAGCAAGGCCAGTCAAGCTCTCTTCATTGTACGTGACTCTAGTCTCCGTTGGTTACGACTGCTCTAACAATTACCTAGGCTGTCCGTGGATGGTTGAAGGCGCGGTGCAAAGCCAAACGCAAAGCAGATGGAATTTCCTGGAAGGGTATCAAGGCCCGCAATGTCTTCATTCAGCACAACCGCCGTTCTATAAAAGCAGTCCAGAAGAAGCTGTATGAGAAGGATACCGGAGCAGTATTTCCATATAGCCTGGATACCTTTGTCGATGTGCCATTGCCCGACTTTGATGCCGAGGAAATCGCCATGCTAGAGGACCATGGGATGAGCCCCCATAATCCAGACGTTGACATGGCTTTGGAGACAGATGATGAAGAAATGTCTGTCAGTGACGAAGACGACTACAACGATGACGACAACGACAATGACGACGACGACGATGACGACAACGACGGAGAGTCAGACCGCCACAAGCAGCCAACCAAAAGTAAATCCCATCTGAAATCGGGAAAGAGCCGCGGTCAGAAGAAGAATCAAAGACCCGACACGACACAGTCACAGAAAACCAGCAACCACGTATTTTCATACTTCCAGGATGCCGTCTCAGAGCTGTGGAGCAAGTTGCCCGCATCCGAAAAGCGGCGGTACCGCCTCCGAGCTTATCTCAATAAACAGCGTGGCCCAAGTTCATCGGAACAAGCAGAGTGAGTTACTGTAGTCCTTATGGCAGCCGTATATGAGCTCATTGTTACTTAGGATGGCCGACAAGGAGCTGCCCGCCGTCCTGGAAGGCTTCGCGGCGCAGCTATTGCGGAAGTACAATGTCCGCGTGGTGTTCACCATTGTTTTCCCCGATGAGAATGGCGTCTTGAATATTTGGTCTTCGGATTACAACAGCAACCTCGGCGGAACCAACTTCACCGATGTACATCCTCGGATCTTTCAAGATTGTGGGATCAATGTTGCACTTACCGCTTGGGGACGGAGGGAATTTGGGAAGGAGCATGCGCAAGTCACATTCACTCAGAAGCGGGCTGGCACTCATGCGCTCATGACCCTCCCATTGGGAGCGGATGGTGCCCGACTGGTAGACCCTGAGAAGCCTCCAATCCTTCCAGTTACTAAGCCTTGGCTTAAAGACCTTATCCGGTCCTACTTTACTCACAAATATGGTACGCTTAAGTATTCTCGAGGATTTGACTTTGGATACTGACTCTTGTTGCAGTCGAGGCTGTCGGGACTGCCGAACGGCTGAAGTGTCCATGGAGTGATATCGAGAAAGGTCCTGGCCGTTTCTTCGATGAGAATATCTTCCCTGTGAAATACCAGAAGATGTTAAGGGAACCGTCCCGCATGTCAGTTCAAGAATTAAAAGACGTTCTGGGATACATCTACAGTCGGCAAGAAAGCGGTGTTCGACCGCCGTTCCGCTTTGACTATTACATCGACAAAAGCAAAAGTCAAAACCTGATAATCAAGGCGTCACATTCTAGTACCAAGGGGAAGGCACGAGAAGTGCTTTCTGTTGAGCCTGTCGTCATTGAGGCGTCGCCCGTCAGCACCGCTCCAGCACGACCCGCCCCGATTCAACCCGCCGCAATATCACCCGCCCCGATTCAACCCGCCACAATGTCACCTGCCCCGATTCAACCCGCCCCGAAGCCACCCGCCCCCAACTCGTCCGCTCCCCCTGCTCCCAATTTAGCAACTAAGCCAACCACCTCAGCCTCCTTCCTCGCAAATAGTACTGCTGTCGGGACAGCCGCCCCCAACGTCGATACCAAGCCCGCCGCTCACAATACACCCGCTCTCTCAAACCCACCACCCATCAATACTGCTACCAAACCTGTCCCTGATCTACACGTCCTTTACGAAGATGCCGCGCTCATTCCTCCCGTCACGGACACGGAATCGCCTAAGCCAGTGCTAGTCATGTCATCGCCAACTGTAGCTGCACGCCCCAAGCCAAGACCCCGTCCCGGCGGCGCCCCATGGAATCCCGATAGACCAAGACAATCGGCCGCAGAGCTTGTACGGGCTCTAGGAGGATCCTCATCCAAAATACAGCTTCAACCCCCAGTGCCATCTGCATCGTCCCAACCGCCATCAAAGCCTGTACCGTCAATCTCCAAGTCCGCAAGCAAGAAGCGGATGATGGACGGTATCGAGCTTCTCCCATTGAATCCTGGCGGTGTCACTACGCGATCACGCAGGGCTGCGAACACCAGACAGACCAGGAGCAAGAAGTAGAGTAGTGAACGGGTATAGCATTCGTATACATTTCAATTCAACCTTTTTGATGTCTTTACCATAGTTGAGCATGTCTTTCTCTTACTACTATACTTTCAATGTTCAATCTCGCTTGTCCTGGTCTATACTGGAAATCGTCGATCTGCCTTGTTCACACAATAGTATTGGATGCCGAAAAAAAGTACGCTACAACGGAAATTACTACCTAAGACTTTTTTGAACGCTTAGACCGCCGGGTGGGGGGGCCTTTCGCACCTGCCTTTTGCTGAGTACCTGCTATTGGACTGCCCTGGGGAATCTCTTCGGGAGGGGGGGACAACGGTGAGTCGGGGGGAATTTCTAAATCAGCGGGATACGGCGGCGGATGATGGACTCTGCTTGTGGGACCAACTGAGGCGGACAGTCCGGGATGAATTTCAATCGGAGCGGGACGCGGAGGCGGGGCGGTCTTGGTTAGAGGGCGGGACACAAAAGGGGCGGGGACTGGGGCGGAACTTCCCCGAATGAGGGCGGGGATCGGACTTGTCTCCCTTTCAACGAAAGTCGGCGGGAGCGGGGCGGGATTGGGACTGGCGGCTCTGTCCATGAAGGTTCGGGGCGGCGAGGCGGGGTTGGGACTGGTTCCTCTGTCCATGAGCCTACCAGTTTCGCCGGCACCTTGAGGCTGTCGAATTCTGTCAAGCACTGCCACCAATGTGTTTTGGTTAACGGAGTTTGTGAGCCTCTCCCAGATCTCCCCACTATCGGCCTCCAGGTCATAGCACCGTTTGGCTAGGCCACCGAGCTCATGTTCGGCATCCGACATCCTACCCAAGAGTCCCCGGATATCATCCTGCGCAACGTAAAGGCCTTTCATGTCGCGCCGGAACTTGTCCACGTCTCCCTGAAGGGTTCCCGTCTTGCTTAAGGCGTTGGCTGAATTTTTCTCGGCGGCCTCTATCTTGGCGCTGAGTTCAGCGACGCCCTCGTTGACGGAATGCTTCGTTGCACCGTCCACTTTGCTGCTCAGCTCCTCAAACCTCTCCTCCAACACTTCCATCCTAGCCTCATACGCTTTCATTCGTTCTTCGAATGTACCGACCAATGCAAGGGTGTTGTCAACCGTAGTCGAGAGTCGAGCTTCACGTTCGTTGAAATCCTTCTCCATAACGGCTACCTTCCTGCGCAGGTCGTCGAATTCCGCACGAGGCACCATCGGGGTACGAGAGGCCGTTTCCAACTTATTCACGGCGGATGTCAGACCGCGAATGCCAGACTCCGCCTGTGTCAACCGCCCATCGAGAACGTCCTGCTTGCTCGCGCAATTGGCAAGGTCGGCTGCGACGTCACCAGTTGGCAACTCAGTCTGGTAGGCGGGGAGTACTGTGGAGTCGGCGGGTGCTGGGATCGATGGAATGTTAGTCAAAACCATATGCTGGCCACTTTTGGGATGGAATAATGGACCGAATTCTTTGGTACCGGCGTAGGCAAAGTTGGTTGTTGAGGGACCAGCGAGGGAGGCGGCCGTAGAAGAGGAACGAATTGCTAGTAATTGCACAGGCTCGGCAGGTGGTGTCGCCTTCGATGTTCTGGCCCCCTTCTTTGAGGATAGCTTGGGCTTTCCTCCCGCCTTTGAACTTTCTGCATCGGGAGCGGGCTTGGACTTCACGTTCTGGGTGCGCGGTTTTTTAGCAGTGGGCGGCTTGTCTAAAGGGGCGGCGGCGGCGGCGGCACTATCGTCAATGTCGGAGTCTTCAATGTAAGCAGCGCTCTTGCGCTTAACAGACTTTCTGGCGGTTGATGACTCTTGGTTCACGGCCCCGTCATCGACAGCTGCAGCGTCCTTCCGTTGGCGGCCGCGCTTCAAGGCAATAGCGAGGGCCTTGATAGTGTCGCCGGCAAGCAATCGTTCGCATTTCTTTTTTCCGTTGGCACATCGAGGACAGCTACCACTGCCCGGAGCAGTACACTGCGGATCCAAGTTAGCTGTGTCGAATTTCTTGCCCAGAGCTTTCGAATGTTCGGCCAAGGCCTTCGCTTTCAAGCACCGGTCGCAGAGCACGAATGTGGAGCCGGAACCAGAGACATTGCCAGGTCGGGCGGAACCTGTATATGCAAATGCATAGGGTCAATGCTACAACCGTTAGGCCGCTGGGGAGAAACCCACCTCGTTTGCGCGGGGACCGTCTAATGGCTGTAGTATCCTTCTCTTCTTGCGCTTGAGCCCCATCGCCGTTCTCGTTGTCGTTCAACTCATCCTCCTGCTCCTCGTCCTCATCTTCCTCCTCCGCGTCGCCGTCTTCTTCCTCTTCACTGCCTGATCCCTGATTCACCCTTTCCTGCCCCTTCCCACTCTCCTCATTCTCTAGCGCCTTCTCCTTGCCCTTCTCGTTGACATTAATGGGCTGCTTTGACTCCGTGGGTTTCGCTGATTGGTTGGCGGTTGGGAGCGGTGAATGCGAAGGTATCCGCCATTGTGCGATAAATTGGAGGGTCTCATCGATGTAAGTGCGGGGGTTGTTCTCATCGAACGAGTCAAGGTGCGTGGGCGGGTCTTTTTTGACGTTCTTCAAGAAAGATGGGTCGATGGGAGTGCCGGGCTGGCGCCATTCGGGTTTCGTAGGGATGAGGTCGAACAGAGCTTTGACGGAGTGGCCGGCGTAGAGGGAACACGATGGCGGAATTTTGTTGCAAATGGTCTAGTAAATCATTAAATTATTCAATTAACCAAGAGGTCCCGCAAGTAGTAATTTCTTACGCACCACAAGACCCATAACCGCCCGTCGAACCTTCTGAGGCCAGTCGTCATCCTGAGGCCAGTGTTCGTAGTTATTCAGTAGTGTTCGAAGTCGCCGAAGAACGGGATTGAAGATGTCGCGTAGTTCCTCTTTGGAGAACGTAGACAAGACGGAGGTCCCTGTGGCCATTGCTGGGTACTATGGTGTTTGTAGTGTTGGAAGGATTGATGGAGAACGAGTCCAAGTCGCGGCGACCGGAGTGTTGGCGGTCACGTGATGGTTCGGCTTCATCCGATCGATTATCACTCCGCCGCTATGTCCAAGCCTTGTCGAGCCGCCCTTTCATCGATCTACACCAATTGCTCGTATCATGGATGGCGGTAACTTACAAAACGTGGATGGTAAGGTTCCAAATATTGAAATGCTCTTCCAGGACTTACCAACTTAGCAGATGATTCTGGGATGATCACCGGGGGCACTATCGCGATGGAAGTGGAGGAAGACGTCCCAGACGAAGTCCGCTTCGTACCCTTTCAATATGATATCGACACGGAAGAAAGCGTGCAAGATTCGAACAATACCGAAGAGGTTTGGAGAACGTTCAGTACTCAGGAGGCTGAAGGCCCACCGCGCTCTCCTTCGGCCACTACTGTCCCCGCCGCAGGTGCTAAGGCATCGGGCAATAGTACTGCTGAACCCGCAGGTAAGTTTCTTTGCGCGGAAGTACTATTTGACAGTCAGTTACAACGATTATTAGGCATTGGAGGCGTAACTCCTGAAAAGGGCAAGCAGAGAGAAGCGCAGCCTGATACGTGGGCTCCATTCGCCGACGAGGCGGCCGCTAGTCAATGGTTTTCCAGTCTCTCGGAAAATCAAGCGGCTTTTCTAATTCGCGGCTATTTCTCCGATGGCATTGTGACGTCAGGCCCGCCCCATCGTGAGGCATTTCCGAAACACAGCAACTTTCCCTTGGCCGCCGCGCTCAAGTCGGCTCGCCAAGCATCCGCGCAAGAACACGGACGGAGCGGGAGCAAGGAGATGGAGGAGATTTTCAAAGGAGTTGTTGAGGCAATGCCCGAGAGTGTCAGGAAAGAGATTCTCTCTGACGACTCCGAGTTGGTTTGGAACATTCCGAGCCTCGAGGGCGCAGGGATGTCGGCCGATCTCATCGACGCTCAGCTCAATTACATGTCATCGTGGCTGGGCACTCTCGTGAACCACTACATGCACAATTGCGAAGTCCATGAGAGGCTGGATGATCACTTGAGGGCGGTGAAAGCCGCCTTGGTGCTCAGAGAGCACAGCAACACTCTTTCCGACTCTCTTAAAGGTTTATGCAACCTCTATGATTCTTAGACGACGTGTTTTGTTCGCTTTTGTTCATTTATCACGCTCGTAATTACATTGGATTGGTTGCAATTGTATGATGATAAAGCTGGCGCGGCGGTGCTCGTGTATTGTTGGAATTGGTCTATTGGCGGCGGCTGCCCGACGTATATCGCTTTTGGTGACGGGTTTGATGGCGGGTGGTTAAGCGGCGGTCGGGTTGGCGGTGTTTCTGGCCATTCGGCAATGGTGGGGCCCATGCCAGCTAAGCCAATGGGTGATGGTGGGTTGCTAGCCGAGAGCCCACCCATTGGTGATGGCCGTGCGGCACAGGCAGAGCCCCGGGCGCTGAGCCATTGGGTGATGGCGATGATCCGCGACTTGCAACCATCACATATGGGTGATGTCATGTAATGGGGTGGAAGGAGACCCACTTCAGCCCATCTTGGCTCTGGAAGACTGGTCTCCGACTCTCCCTTTGTCGAGCGCAAGTCTGCAACAGAGATTCGGGGCTTTCATTCAATTCACCTTCCCTGGAGAATGCCTCGGAGGTCCCGGATTGCACCTTTGACGCCAAACCGACCGGTCGTGCTACGGAGGGGGCCAAAGTGTTGGTAATTGTCCATACCAATGGGGTCCATCAACTGCCATTCCAGTTCTGCAAATGCGATGACTATGTGGAAGAGGACGTTCAACTTCTCCGGATGGGATTTTACCCTGCTTCACACAAAGACGTCAAGACTGCGTTCACGTTCGCGCTGCTTGACGCGTATCTCCTGGAGACTTTGGAATGCTACACCTCTGCATTCCACTTCTTCTCAAAACTGCGTCGCTTGACCAACGAGGTGTTCCCGAAACATGTTCCTGTAAGAAAGTCCCACTTCTGCTCCACTCTGTTAAAATGACTCGTCTTCTTGAATAGGATCGTTATCGGGAAGTCCTTCGTTGCGGTAGACAATGGAGGAAGTTGAAGGACTTGAAGAGATACGGATTCGGACACACTGGGGAAATGCCAAAGGAAGGGCAAATGGCTCTGTTCTGCGCCGCCTGCCCTCAGCCCGGTGTGAACCTTCCGGATGATTGGGAAGACGACAGTGACCAATGGAAGTACGGAATTACGCTCGCCGCTGACGGGAACTTCACTCTTCTTCATCGACAGCAAAAGAGAAACGATGACGTGTGGTTAAAGAATGGAGAAGGATACCTGGTTGAACGACACAGGTACGAAAAGCACTTGAAGAACGCGACGGAAATAAAAGAAGTGCGTGACTATTTACCTGCGTTACTGCGACAGCCAACCAAGTACTCTAGCCGCCGACCTGCCATGAACATCGGGCTGTGGAAGACAAATCGAAGACCATTAAAGGGTGTGATGTTACTGGGGTAGGCGCTTTTGCCTGTTCGCGACACGGGTGCTTTGTTCCTGCTGGAGTCGTCAACTTCCACAAGGGAGAGAGGTGAGTGGTACTATCATTATAAGTAATGTCGAAGTGTTCAATGGCCCAAACCCACGAAATAGGCAAATGTATATGGATTACGGACTATGCCGCGGAGTAAACGCTATTGGGGTCCAAAAAGGCCGGCGACTCGTCCTACTCTACGACATAAACTGCCAGTATTCCCGCAACCTGAGAAAGCGGTTACAAGAAGGGCACCGTTACCTGGACCTTCCAGAAGGCTTGGTCATGGTGTTTGGGATTGGTCAATTCCACGTTCACGGTCACCAAGAGATGTGCTACGCCCGTTTCTCCCCAATGTTTATCAAGGGTATCGGATACACGTCAGGGGAGATCTTGGAGTCTCTCTGGTCTGTCCTGAATGAGGCGTCTCGGCCGACGCAAACCATGTCATTGGCCCACAGAACAGAGGTCTTGGATGCGTTGATAGGGGATAGCAACTGGAAAAAAATGATCAATCTCCGTGAGTCATGACAGTGTCATTTGCGAGTTGATTACTGACTGTTTGGGTGCAGTGAAGTCCATTCCAAGCGCATACCAACGAAGCATGAAGGAGTTAGAGGAGGCTCGCGAGGCGTTTGACCTTCTCAATGAGACTGCGTCTCCCTCACAACGCACACTTTGGCAACATCAACTTGAACGGGCTCTGCTGGAGCGAGTCGATGACGTGAGTGCCATGGACGTCCTCAACGTCAGTCTTTCCAAACGTGAGATTTAAACCAGCGCCTTGTCTGAAGTAGTGCTAACTAGACAGCTGAGTAGCGCCATCCAGAGCAAAAATTCAGCATGGGCTCATGGTGGAAGAGCAGACTGCCAACGTCGGGCTTGGGGTCACTTCGTGGTTGGTGCGAGGTTTCAAGATCCAGGAGTCTCAGTAAGGTGTCCAATATGCAAACCTTTTCACATAATTGCTAATCCTGGTCTAGATTGCAGCTTAAGGCCCATATTCGATCCTTGCCCCGGCCCTCTTTGAGGACAGAGATTCAGGAGCTAGAGATCGCAAAAAAAGGGAAGTTCTCCAGGCCGAAATTGTCTCATTTTGCGCCTCCTCTCAAATCCTCTTCCCTGATGTGGATCTTGAAGACTACCGGTGCTTTAGTCCTCCGGAGTCCAATCCGGAAATTGAAGGGGAGGATGGCGACGTCCTACCAGCAACGGCGGATTTGGGCGAGAACCCGTTTGTCGACGTACCTGATCCCGAGGAAGTCGACATACCTCTTCCCTCGTCTTTTGCTGACTTGCCATCTTCAATGAGAGCGGCACGTCGGAAGGAAATCAAGCTCCGCGTTGCGCAAGCGACGGACGCGCTGGAAGAAATCCGAACCGAGGTTGGTCGCAAGTCATATCTTTATCGATCCAACATTCGACTGGCCGACGGGAAGAAGCAGAAGACCAGGGGGTACGCAGCGGTCAAGGCGTCTAACCAGGCTATGCGGATGGCTATTCGAATATATGACCAGGCGCGGTGGGCTCTGTCTAGGTTAGGGGCTTCAACGGACTTGCTGGAGGAACTGAAGCCCATCACCAAGGAAGACACCAAGGCCATCACCTCCGTCTATAAACCCAATGCAGCTGGAGAGTCAAGGACAAAGCTTTCCTGGATATGGGGGATTAATGTGGGCAAAGACTCTCAAAATTCACCATATCTCGAAGAACGTGAGTCTTGAAATTTCGGTCTCCATGTTTTCCGCTCAGTAACAACTTTTGAGCAGTGTATCGGGTGAACTGGCTCAGGGCTAAAAGCAGAGTTAATAGATGGGAAGAAGAGAAACAACTGTTGGAGGAAGAGATGGTATGGGTTTGTAGATTTTTTGACAGAAAGGCCGAGACCTGTCTGGGTTGGCGGGAACTGGCGGGAAGCGCGCGACCAGGTCACCAAGCCTATGCAAGTCGACAGGCTGAAACTTGGCGCCTCTTATCGAGCGAGGCCGAGGCGAGCTTCCGGAAAGCAAGAACTGGATTGGATTCTGGCGATGGCCAATTGAGTGCTTCGTTGGAGTTTGAATGGTAGCGATGTGGCGGATATTGCGTGTTGGCCGTGGACATATGGTTAGTTAGTCAATAGAAACGATTCCGCACCTGACTGATGCGTAGGCTCGACTCGATGGTGTAGGTCCGTATTGGGCGCTGAGACTTCAGAGGAATGACATCAGTCATCACCGCAAAAGAGCTGGCTTGCGGCTTTGACTGACGTCATGCTTGGCGTGAAATGACATTCATCGACGGATACAGCCCATTACTCCACCATCAACCTCGGTTAAATCCAGGCTGACAACATCATCTGCGCGATACATGGCTGCGACTTCCACGACTGACACGAGAGTATCGTCTACACGATGCGCATCGTCGCTCATGACATCCATGTCATCTCACGCCAACCTCAGGATGCCAGGTGGGAGGGGCTGGAAGTAAAAGAGCGTCGAGCACCGGACTAGCCAGGCGCAATCGACCTGACGTTCAGACTCTGACTGGAACTCGTAAACAGGTATCTGCGCCTGGAGTTCGTCTGGCCCGATTTCATTTATTGCGGCCGTCCTATCTGCAGTCTGGAATCAACATTTTTCATCCATTTCCATATTTTGGCTTTTGGCTTCTTTTTGTATTTCTATGCCCTTGCTCCAGTCAACAACTTGGAAAGTCAAGCGCTGGAAGAGGGCTGCGCCTAGCCAACGCTTCCGGCACAGGTATTCTATCCGAAAACGTGACGGTCTCCGCCGTTCAATGGATAGTGTTGCTTCCAACGTTGAAAGCCTGGCGCGCGCAGTCTATCCGACGAGAAGGACGATCTGGGCTGTGCTGTTCCGCCACGCGCACTCTATCCGAAATCATTTCCGGTTCAGATCCGTGCGGACGACCATCTGGGCCACGGTATTCCGCAATCAGCATTCTATCCGACATTCACGAGCCTCGTGCGCGCAGTCTATCCGTTTTTTTTTTTTTTTTTCACTCTGGAAAACCCATCGGCTAGGCGGTACCCGATACGCTTCACTATCCCAGGTCCAGGCGTTCCATCCCAACGTTGTATTATCCGATTTCGTTTGCGATTCACGGTTCAGATCTGCGCGGAGGACAATCTGGGCCGCGTTGTTCCGCGATTAGCATTCTATCCGACATTCACGAGCCTCGCGCGTGCAGTCTATCCGATTTTTTCTCTCTGGAAAACCCATCGGCTAGGCGGTACCCGATACACTTCACTAAACCAGGTCCAGGCGCTCCATCCCGACCTTGTATCCGACGCCAAAGAGGGGCTGTCCGGGGTGTTTCTCTCACGTTTTCCAAGGAACGCAGCCCAACGTATATTATCAGGGCGATCTCACTCTTCCAGACTTCAACAAAAGCTGTTATGGCTTCCCCTCCCGCGCTTCTCTTTCCATATGCCCAGACTATGAGGTCGCTTTCCGTGGGTCAGTTCAATTCCCTTTTGCACTACCTGGGTCTGCGGGTCCTCGCCTCTGCGCAACAATATCTTGCCACGTCAGAACCAGAGGAAACAGTATTCCGGGAAGGTTTTGAAGCGGAGCTAGTGAGTATCCACGACTACCCACCAACTCAACAGGCAGTTTTAACGTGGTGGCCCCTTTCACAATAGCAAGCTTTGGTAGTCGTCATTTATTGCGCCAAGATGCGTTTTCCAGGGATAACGCCACCTGAGTTCCTACAACGGCTTTTGCTCATCAACTTGGATGAGTGTTATGGCCCACTTTGCATTCTAGATGGAGTGCTAGCCAGCCTTCCAGACGACATTGACGTTTCTGCAGCGGATGCTGGTCCAAACGCATGGTGGGCTCCAGGTGCCTCTCCGCGACGCTTGACGATCGAGGAGATCATTGATTGCTGGAACCAGTGGCAGACAATGGATAGGCCGTCACCTGCTACCCACGACCCCGCGCCGGGACCGCCGGCGACCCTCGAGCGCTTGAGGAGAACGCGCGATCTCCTCAAAAAAACTGTAGGATTGATCAGTGAAGAGCTCGAGTCCAGTATGACAGAGCTCTCCGCAGCAACAGAGTGGAAGAAGTTCCTAGTGTTGGAGTTTCCAGAAATTGCTGGTGAGGTCTCCCCAGATCTTATGCCTTAGACGCTTATCTCAGATGTTATACGATGGATAGAAGTGGCCACTCGGGCGTTGGATCGCCCTCTGTCTTCCTTCTTCATTTCCACTGAAGCTCCCACCCAATGGTTGGCCGTCGCTCAATGGATTTTCGACCGCGTCCACACGGTCGTCTACGAAGCCAGTCAGCTTCCTCTTTCTAGCGAAGAAAAGGCTGTATTTATCCGTTACGTGCAGCAGGAGTTTGTGAGTACTTTTCCTACTTACTCGCTTGATCAAGATTTCAGAAACTCAGGCGCGCCTTTAAGATCTTCGCTCAGGTCGCGAGCGGCTACTTGTTCCTTTGTTTGGATGAGCTGATTGAAAATCGCTTCACATGGGCTTGTTCCAGTGTTTTGCTGTATTTCAGCACCACTGAGGACATGCTATTTGATGGAACGTTGCGGGGGATCTTTGGCCCTCCCGAAACTCCTCGTCAGGCCAACTGGTTGAAGGCCTTTCTACAACGGGAGAAACCACCCCCACCGAGATGGCAACACCTCTTGGAGGAGTGCAATGTCAAACGAGAATATCCGGAGAGGGACTGGTCTTATCCGAGATGCAAGGTTGCGGCAACAAGGCTTCCCCAGCAAATCACTCAGTTCGACAAACTCATATTTACCCTAGAGGAAGAATTGGCCAAAAGAAAAGAACGTGTGGCGGAGATGAGAGCAATTAAAGAGGCTTGGGAGAACGCTTTATCCTAAATGAGTATCCCACTTACTTACTAGCATGGTGTCCGTCCTTCCGATCACGCCTGGAATCAGAATAATATAAATATATATTGTCCATCGTAGACGCCGACCCCCGACCACCATTGTCACTAGCCCCGCATGCCCTCCCTGAACCGCCCACCATTGCCTGCTGGCTGCGCCTTAGTGCGCGACGTTGGGCTATATCTCCAATCGCTAGTCAAGCATAAGAACGATCCATCCTCCGTCGCCCCTACTCCACCTCCGCAGCTTGGCCTCGAGCTTCAGATCGAATGTGAGCTCATTGCGGAGGTTATCTTGACTGCACTGCAAAACGCAAGTGGGTTGGCTGCTTCCTTCGACCCCCTGCGCGTCTGTGCTCACCTTCTCCCGGACAGGACAAACCACCTGGCCCCTGAGCGACTACCTGAAGGCTTCGGGCGGAAGAAAGATGACCGACAGCTTACCTGGAGTCTCTACAGTCAAACCAGATGGCGAGCTGGAGGTTCTCGACGAGCCCTTCTGCGTCATGGATTCGAAGGAGTTGATTTTGGCTTGGTATTGTCCGCATATTTTGACTCGTGAAAGACAAGCAAGTATTGTTAGTTACCTTTCAGCTCAACCACCTCAACCACTAACATCATGTTCGTTGGCGGTTTAATAGGACAAACTTACATTTGCCGTGGAATGGTTGTCAAAAGTCCCAGGACTAGCTATGGACGGTGAATCTGAATCCAGTTTCCGCTCCCACCCTTCCCTCTTTGGCAAGGACAATAGCTTTAGGAGTGGAGTCATAACGTTGGCATCCTGTTGGTCGATGCAGGGTCATCCGGTGAGTCTTTCCTTCGTCCCACCGACAAGACTGGAATTTGACCGCTCTTAGAACGGACCATTCTCCCCTTCGGCCAACTTTAAGAGACCCAATCAGCCCGTGCTACCATTTTTAAAGATGATCTCGGAGAGTCTGGCAATCCTGGGTGGTATTCTCTCTATTATCCATCCGGCGATGTTTGAATGCGGGCTAGATGTTTTAGCAAACCTCAACGCTGGTCAAATCAAGGATGTGCAAGATGTAGACATCCTGCGTAAGGTGCTCGAGTCATGGAGCTCGCCGTTTACCGCATTTTCCCTCATTATCAACCGCGAAACACCAGTCCATAAGGACGGGCTAAGCCCTCCGTTTAGTTACGACTTACTTTATACAGGAGGGTTCTACGAGGACGCACGGCTAGAGGTCCGTGGCATCGGCCTGAGGGTGCGATACGTCCCTGGGACTGTGGTAGCTCTTTTGGCCGGGGTCTTCCCTCACGGGGTGTCTTCGGTCAACGGAGAGCGGTTTTGCTTAGCTCATTTCTTCCGAAAGCCTATCCTCGACCAAGTTCCTTTTTTCCGTCAGCCAGGCTTGCCAAAATACAGTCACCTTGTAAATCTTTATTTCGATGGGTTTCGATACACTGTTACATAGTGCTCCTGTATTTCAAAAAGTATTTAAGAGTTATGTTTCTTTGCTCTCCAATCTTTGATCACGACCCAACTCCTCACCTCATTGGCATCCTGGAACCAGAAAAAGCAAATCTCAGACTCCATGGCCGGATTATCCAAGCTGAATGAGCAGCAGAAAGTGCGGTGCAGGGAGCTAAGAAGAGGTCAGTGTTCCTTCCAAGTCCCGGAAAAGATAGGTAACTTACGTTGGAAATCAGAACAAACTTCAACCAGTGTCAACCTCCGCTTCGCTCTGTACGACGTTGAGAACCTGATAGAAGGAATTGAACGCTTGGCGGAGCTCTCCTGCGAGTCCGACGCAGGGGATGAATTGCGCCAAGAGCTGCTCCCTGGAGCAGACAAACTCAAACAGGCGCTGGAGATGCTGATCGAAGGGAATAGACGATGTCGGGGCCTCCTGCGAGAGTTGGAGAAAGGGCGATGATAATTTCTATAGAAGGACACGAATTTCTACATGGTGTCCAAAGCGAAAGAATGAAAAAAAGTCAAAGGTGTTTACAAAAAGTCATAAAAATTATCGGCCGCTTGAATTTCGTCTGAGTCGAACAGCAAGGTAAGCGAAGAAAAACGCTCAAGCCTGCTGACTAGATCTTTTAGAACCAAGGAGGCATCTCTAGAGGTATCCTCTGCAGTGTTCTTGAGATCTTCTATGAGGTGTGAGAGGGTAACCCATTGGAGGCGCGCGCGAAGTGAGTCTAAGATGAGGGGAATAAGAGGAGAAATAAGAGGAGAAATCTTATAGAAGGGTTGGCAACCCAACGGAGATCACCACTTACTGCAAGCAACCTGAGCGTTCTCCTTACGCGCTTTGGCCAGGGTGACCTCCAATTTGGACAAAGGAGACCTCGAATTGTGAGGGATTGGAGCAAGAGACTGTCGAAGATCCGTTAGCTCGTCTCTTGCACGTGATAACACTAGTGGTTCTGGTTAGAGGACGATGTTGAGAGGCCAATTGGACAGGTTACGCACAGCCAAAAAGATTGCCGTCCAGGCCAGCAAGGCACGAGGTCGGAGTTGTCTCATTCAGAGCGACTTGCTTGAACCTCTTGTAGGCTGGCATGAATCTCTCTACTTGTCCGGGCGAGAGACCGGCTTGGGACCGAAGGAGATCGCGTAGGTACAGGTCTCGAAGACCGCAGTTGGACGGATAACGGCTAGGGTCGTAAAAGCACGCCGAGCAAGACATGTGGGTCTCTAAAGGTGCGCATTTGACTGAGCACAGAGGGGAGCCGCAGTTTACCTCCTTTCGAAACTCTTCTATATTGCCAACCCAGGTGGCCCAAAAATCCATTCTAGCTTCAATCTGGATAGCGAAGTTCAGCTCTTCGAGGTCGACAATGTCAATGTCGAGTTCTTGTGAAGGGAGTATAGGACTATGGGGGGGGGATTGCGAAAGGGAGGAGGAGAGAGTGCGGTTCATCGTGATGGCAAGGAACAAGGGATAGATTGTCGCTCCAGGTATACAAGTCCCCCTTGATAGCTCTCAATCTTCGCGGAGTTTGAACTTGGGCGTCCTACGCCTTCGGCGTTACTTCCCATAAATAAAAGGGACCTGGGTTGGATTGGTGGACCCGGTGCCTGCAGGCATTCATCCCAAATTTCTCTTTGAAGGTATGGAACAAGTCTGAGCGCACTGACGTCTGGCTATGCCCATTGATTCCTTAGTGTTGTTTCCTTAGTGTTGGCCATGTCAATCCGCGAGCGTAGCTCCAGCACGTCGATAACGACTGGTGACCACAAAGTCCGCATCGTCGTTCGAACAGAAATAGAGCACGCGCAAACCCCGTCCCAGCCTAGTGTCCCCGATAATGAGTTCTCAAAACTCGTTATGGGTGTTATAGCCGTTGGTATGTGCGCGGGGCTTGCTCACAGGCGGCGCGACTCACTAGCACTTTATCAGACCAAAAACGATTGCAAAGCAGGTTAACAGCGGCTATGAGAGATATGAATAGCGCAGCGGACGCCTGGAGCAGGCTAGAGGAGAAGCTGGAGGAGACACATGGGGAGAACTTTGACTTGGTGCTGGCAGGGTACCCCGGCAAGTTGGACTGTTCGTTGGATTCTCTGAGGGAAGCGCTGAACGAGCTCGAGAGAATATCCACCGCCAACGGACGCTGGATCAACGCGTCTTTCTCTAGGCTTAACGGAAACTCGGTGGCCGCAGAGGCGGCGTCGATGGAGGGAAGTGCGGACGAGCAAGAGTCGCACTCTAGTGACTGAGTTCAATTAGGTCATTCGTTTGTATCATGTATCACCTGTCCTGGAAGTATCAGTTTCCCTGGCTGGACTGTCTGTTACTGATTTACGGAGTAAACTGTTGAGGCGTTATACGTCGGAAACTACGTACATCTTTAGGCTAAACCCCAGGGCCTGTTTCGGATACAGTGATTAACTTATCCGAGAGAAGTAAATCCACGGTGGAAGTACTTGGGAAACCTGTTAGACCGGGATGCTATAAATTGCCTTCTGGAATCATGAATTGTGGCCCATTGATCCCCTCCCTAGTTTCGCTATTGGTTTGTCAACCTTTGCTATAATAAGTTATTCACTTGTTAACCCCGCGAGCAGGCCAACACAATAATGTCTACCGTCTTGACTTCGGCGGTTGAAAATGATCTGCGGGCCATTCTCAAACATCTGGAAGTCCTCCAAGGTGAGTGAGAATGTTGGAAAGATGGTGTTCAGCTGGTAAAGAGGGTTTCAAGCGTCACGCCACTCTATATCCGACATCCAGGAGAAGATTGGCAACTGCCGGAGCCCAAGTTCACTCCCCTACCTGTCTTCTGCTCTACCCTTTGCAGACCCTCGGTTATTGGACCAACTGGATGAAGCCCAAAACACCAAGCGGTATGCCCTCAAGGAGCTTCGCGCGATTACCCGTCTCGCGTCGCTTGCTATCCGCCGGATAGAGGAGGTTGAGAGGTTTACCCCAACGGCCAACCCTCACCCAGGCTTGGTAGAAATGAGGGGACTCTTGGTAGAGGAAATGTTGGATTCGTTCCTTCCGGATCTACTAGCGAAGGCCTCAAGAAATGAGACTTCACTAGACGCTGAGTTTGGCAAAGCGAAACGGTTCATTTCCGATTTTCTGGCGCATTGTTGACGTTGGAAGCACTCGGTAGTATGCTGTTACCGCTAACGTTCTCATTTGATTTTACAATCTATCCGAAATACTTATCCTGGGACGATTCTCGGTTTCGCCGTCTGAATCAAATCTATCCGAAGAGATCAGATTAGCATTCCGTAAAAAATTGGAACGACTTTGCCATCACTCTATTCTTAGCGTGATTTATCTATGAAGCACTGAGGGAGGTGATAAAAAAGCTATGGTTCTTCCATCTCTGCCAACAGCAATTGTCGAATAGCGTTGACCAGGTTCCGTCCAGGCCCTACGGCCTTCGCGGCAAGTTCCAGGATGTCTCCTCGCAAAACGTCAAGGAGCACCTGGTTGACTTCCTGATTCGGATGTCGGAGGTGCTCCTCTCTGTGTTTAATCATGAACTCCATCTCCATCCAGGCATCTGACACACCTATTTCGATGTTGGCTGTTGTGTATTGGGAGACTGCGGCGGATACAACTTACTGTGAAGGAATCGGATATTTTCGCCCGTATCCGACAGGTCTCCGCGATCAGAAGTTGGTGCTGCGACTTGAAATCCATCGATCATTAGTGGAGTAACAACGAGGGAATGTTTACGCACCAGCACCCTCGCAGTGAGACTCCGCTATTTTGACCAGGCATTTGGCAGATTTCAGACCGCGAGTCAGGGCCGCGTGAATGCAAGATTGAAAGTAATCTGCGCATTCCTCCCTGCTTTCAAAGGTGAGGTTTGCTGTCAACACGGGCAGAGTATGGGCTTCCGACTCTTCGAGCGCTTGTAGCCTCTTGCGCAACTCTGACGACAGGTCAGAGCCAGTGATTTTCTGGGAATGTTTGAGAAAATACCTTGAACGCGTTCCAGTGCATGCTCGACTTCGAGCAACTCCCATTCAATGGGGCTCATGGTTTGTGCGGGAATGTTGAACCTTGAAAAGTCCGGTTGGATTAAATAGGGTGGTCCATAGACAGTCGAGGCCGTGATCCGAGAAGTGTAGCTTGTCCGAGCGGATGCAAATGGGCGGTTGGAAAATTCCCCGACGTTGAAGTTGTAAAACTTGTAATAAAGATGAAGCGGCGCCGCTCTTCCCTTAACTGCATGCGTCATCAACTTTGCCTTGACCAGGACCCCTGAAAACCAATAGAGAGGTTATTGAAAGTCCGGACTTGAGACGATAGGTATTTCCTTGTCCTGAGATGGGGGGTCGGGAAAAGTAGCTCTTTGGCAAAAGTCCGGATATCGACGCCGCCAAGAGGAGGTCTTTTCCAAAGTCCGGATACTGGGCCACTGGTTCTCGGATATCCGGGTGCGGCTTTATCCGCGCCTGAGAGCGGCGGAAGACTGTTGCAGCCGATGTGGAAAATGTCTCTTGAGGGTAGTTCAGCCACGACAACGCGACATCCGAGAGCACCGAGAAGGGTATTCCAAATTCAGCCAAGGCAGATGAGGTGTGACGTCGAAGGGTTGACAATAAATGGCATTACAAATATACAGTTCGCGAAAAGTGATACATCGATGTGAGCCTAGTCGCTGTCGGAATGAATTCCTCCCAAAGAAACACAGTCAGAGTCGCCCGAATCCCAAAGGCAATGCCCCCCAATCTCCTGTTCAATGAGCGCCAGGGCGTGGTCGATCTTGTCCGAATCGTTGCGATCGCCGTCGTTCAGGACGTTGTCGATAACTAAGAGGGTGTTGCTAAGTTGTTCAAGGCGACTGACGATGCTCCTGTGCTTGGAACGAGCGATAGCGGCATCTAGAACAAAACAGAATAAGAGACCACAGACGCAGGATAAATTTAATAACTCACATCCTGCAGCACGAGCCGCGAGTTGGCGGTCTCGGCGACGATTCTCAAGCATCGGAAAATCTGCGAAGCCCGGTTAGAAGAAGTTCAGGGGAACGGTTAGTCTACGTACGGCTTCGCTGAATGTATGCCCTTTTTTTGGAAAGTTTGGGGGCCTTTCCGGCGGTGCTCTTGGATCGCTGTCCGTGTCCAGGACGCGGGAGATTGACTGAAGAAGCACGGCTACTGACATCAGCCTGAGAGCCGACCTTGAGGACAAGGTTAACGAGGAATGGGTGTATTGTTGTGGCGTGCCTACCTCGTTCTTGTCCGCTGAGACGTGGTCAGCGCCGACGGTTCCTTGGTGTTCATTAGCCACAGGTGCGCTGCTGTCAACCTGCAGAAAAGATATTTGTTATCTATACTGATCAGAATGAGTGGGTATAAGCGAACTTACTTTGTCGAGGACTGGTTCCGGGGTGTTGTGCGCGTTTCCGGTCATTTTGGTTTTTAGAGATGAACAGAATGAAGGAAAGAGGTTGGAAGGGAGGTGCCGCGTCAGCAGTTGAGTTTATATTGCGGCTTTGCAGTTGAGACGTAATAAAGTCAACTGTTGACTAACGAGATGTCAAGTGGCGCAGGTATGATGTCCCAGCTGAGTATTCAAATAAATCTGAGGTCGTCTCAGCTCAGACAAGTTGGTCGAGGGCCAGGAATACCAGCTATCTGCTTGAGGGTGGATAGATATCTGTCCGATGGGTGTTGACTAACGAGATGTCAAGTGGCGTAGGTATGATGTCCCAGCTGAGTATTCAAATAAATCTGAGGTCGTCTCAGCTCAGACAAGTTGGTCGAGGGCCAGGAATACCAGCTATCTGCTTGAGGGTGGATAGATATCTGTCCGATGGGTCTTGGTGTAAGTGGGATGCCCCAGCTGAGCGCGAGGAGATTCAGCAAACAGTCTCAGCTGAGACAACTGGGCTGAAGTCAGCTGAAGATCGTCTTTCACGGGCTGAACGTCGAACCGGGGGGAGTGTTGATCATGGTTAATGTCCCAGCTGAGTACTGTGTTAATCCAAGAGGTAGTTCGGCTGAGACAACTCAATTGCAATCTGGGATAATTCAAGAGGGCGATCTGCTGATACAATTTAGTTGAAGTATAAGCTTGGGTTCCAGCTGGAACAATTCCGATGATAGCCTCCTGGGTTGACTATGGGTCTTGGTGGATGTCCCAGCTGAGTGTGGGATTTTCCCAAAGGTCCTTCAGCTGAGACATGCTTGATGGCCATTTATCCCCCATGGGTCCCGGTAGACATCCCTCTCAAGCCGGAAGATATTTTCGAAAACATTTCAGCTGAGACAATTGAACTGTGGTGTTTCCCATTGGAGCGCTGACCTTTGTAGATGTCCCAGCCGAGTTCGAGGATAATAGAAAACTGAGCGCGGTTAAATTACTACTATTGGTCTATCCGTCCTTGATTACGGAAACGCCTGGCTCTTCTTCAACCCCCGGCCGGGTTCCAGCTGGAACAACAACAATGATCTTGCGGGCTAGTGTCAAAAGCATGTACATAGCCAGCTGGGATATCAGTGGTGGTAGTAGGGGATGGATATTCAGCCGAGATATGTATAAAGGTGCCACAAGAATTCCCAGCTGAGTCCGTTGGCTCATGAGGCTTGGACTTTTCCTATCTCTTGCGAGACATCATTCTTAGAGTTATTCCACTGAGTGCCCTGCTGTCAATCCGTCCGTCCCATATCCGTTTATCCGTCTATCCGTCTTCCGTTCGACAGTAGGCGACCAATACCTGACATGATCAGCTCTATATATAGTGCCAGCAACCTATCACCTTAACCGGTGATAGCGGCCTTTTTGGCTCAGTTGGTTTATCGCGAGTTGCTGGCGCGGTTTCTAACAGAGAGGGAGCGAGAAGCTGCGCAAAGGTTTTGACGGTCGTCCTCATTTCATTGTCGTCCTCTGCCAAGTTGAACACGTCATTCCCGTGCAAAACTTGTTCGTCGTGCTCTGGGTCATCGACATTGTCGTCCGGTTCAAGTAACGCTGCATCGAGGCCTAGTGTCATCATTGTTGCCAATGTTTAGCCAAACGTCCACCCCACAATGGGAAACCTGACTCACCATCGTCCTCAATCGAAGTCAGGGGCGAAGGAGCACCACTCTCACTGGCAGGCCCTCCACCCTGCTCACCAGCCTTCTCTCCTTTTGCTCGGAGAGCCTCGAGCTCCTTCTTGAGCTGACCCAAATGTGCCTTCGAAGCAGAAACTCTCCCCTTGGCCCCCTTGATACGAGACATCTTCCAGCCCCTCACACCGGCTACAGGGGTATGAATCAAGAACAGCAAACGAAGCAGGGCCCAGACGTACGGTCAGAAGCTGAGTAGTCCAACAGCATATGCGCCAACGTTTCTTGCTCAGCATCCAGAGAGGCTTCTAGGTCTTTGATAGCCTTAGTATAACCACCTGAAATCCCTCAGGTTCAATGTTAGATACATTTTCAGGGAAATAAACACCCTTACCGATGGTGGTAGGCCGTGGTTGTGACTGCTTCCTTTTCTTTGCCATTGGGACTATGCGAGAGGATTAGCTCAGTCGACGAAGATGGTTGATGCTGAATGGGCGAGGAAGGTGAGCGGTCTCGTGGGACTGGATGTGGGGGGTTTCGAACCGGGAAAATTGCGGGTGGAGACGGCGAGTTGCCAAACCACCTCTGTCGCGACCATCGGGACGTTGACACCTTGAATTCACAGCTGAAATCACAGGTAAACAGGAGTGGCCGACGAAGACCAATCAGGACTCACCTTCACCCCAAAATTTTGGGAGAATGCACCCTCTGGGATCGAAGGACATCGAGACGATCGGCGAAACCAATCACGAGGACCCCAAATCCATCACATCGGCGCCCACCTGGTCAGGCTCAAGTCAAAATTCCACCCGATTATCGAGGAATTCAATCTGAATTCCACCCCTTTTCTCTCCTCCTATCGACCTTGGCTGTTACATCCGGTCAACGATCCGCACATACCATGCGGTAGTTCAGGCCAAGAACCCTACAAAGGCGAGCCGGTGCTCCATATGTCATGCATTCACATGGTGCGCCGATCATTTGACGTCACTTCTGTGATGTTTTGATCCTCCCGCGGATGTTTCCCGGACTTAACCAAGTTTTCGTGCTTGCAACAACCAAAGAATATGAATTTCCAGAGCAAAACCGAATGCAGACGATGTACAGAAAGTAAAAAAGAAAAGATGAAGACAGCGAGGAAAGACAATGGAGTGGTGGGTTGCCGACCGAAAGGAACAATGGGGGAAAGGTGTGAAAATACCGGGGGAGACCATAGGATCAGTCACCACCATGACATGGGGCGGGTTCCAAAGGAGGCGGGGTCGCGTACCCTAGCTCTTCGCACACGTCGACAAGGCAGCCAGAGATGACCTCGTAGGTGATGCTGGACATGGAGAGCTCCTCAAAGACGTAGCCGCACCAGTGCAGCCTCCCATCAGAGCCGTACTCCACCGGGACACGAGTAGGGATCCCAGCAAGTGCCCGCACTCGGAACCCCTTCTTGAACCCCTCCTCGGGGCCCCGCTGAGTCGTGCTCTCTCCGTTGCGTTCCGCGTCCAGAGCGCGGTAGATCTCCTTGGAGATCGCCTGCATCTCGTCCTTGATTCCGGGCCACGACCAACGATAGTCGCCTAACGCCTTGTTAGCCTCGGCCTTCCAGGCCCGAAAGACAACGTCCAAGCTTGTAGGCTTTGAACGATCTGTGGCAGACGTTAACCTTGATCGATATGCAGACGGGTGGAACACTCACCCACGACACCAGTGTCTGGTCACTTGAACGCACAGGCGTCAGCATCAATCCAGTATGAGCCATGCAGAACGTACCAGGATCTCTGAGCCAAATACCACTAAGGTCTGCCAAAAATTGCATTGTAACGCGGTAGAGAGCGAATCGAAGATAGTCGTGTCTTGTGGGGAGTGTCATGAGCTTCATCACAAGTGTACGAACCACTTGGGTTCGAGCATCCCGATCCGCAGGGGTTGGGATCGGGACATAGAATACGCTCTCCGGATCCCACCCAGGAGGCTCCGGCAGAGAAGACCCTTCGGATTCAGGGTCTTCTCCAACTGACGAGTCGTTATTTGAATCGGAGGAATTGACGATGGGCGGCTCGATCGATTCACTGGCGGTGGTAGACGTCGAGGCAGAGGCGGGCGTTGCTGAGGAATAAACGGCGGGTATGCGTCTAGGTACTGGCGGCAGACGAACCGAACCGGGAGCTGCCACCCAGACGTATTTAGGTCTGGCAGGCTTAGAGGAGGTAGGCTTAGAGGAGGGAGAGGACATGGCGACGAGGATGCGGATAGATGGTTCCAAAAAAAAACTGATGGGGGATTGATTGAGCAGGCCAGTGATTGCCTCTGTGATGACATCAATCGGCATCGGACTCCGCCACTCCTCCTCCACAGAGACTAAACCACCTCGCCATTTTCTTGCGATCGTTCTCGAGAAAGGGCTTGGTTTTCACGTTTTATATGCCTTAGAACATGTATCCTGCTGTGGGTGAAAACCCCACCCCAGTATGCGGGCTCAACAAAAAGTCAGACGACGACATCCATTCACTTCACACTCACCTATGCAACTTGACTCCAACTTCCACCTTGAGATGGCTCGCCCAAAGAAGTATCACACAAAAGCCGAAAGAAAAGAGGCTAATCGAGCCAAGAACAGGAAGTATTATTCCAGGTGAGATATTATCCTATTTGGAACGAAAAATTCCTAACACCACTACAGAAAGAAAGATGAAATCAATAGGCACCGGCGAGAGAAGCATGCCAAAAACGTTGCTCGGTGCGCAATCTCTCCACTATTTCCCTGAGATTGAAACACTTATTTCATCCTAGCCTGGCACGCAGAGAGCTTCGACCTTGGACCCAGCTGGGTGAAGGACGAAAGGGAACGACCAGGTCAAGGTATGTTCCGTTCGGAACATCTGCATTGCGCTGGGAGGCTAACAAATCATTCCCCAGCACTCATAATGACGAGACCGTCAAGAGATCGGTGGCGGCAGCACGAGTTATATTTAGAACATACCAGAGGGTCGTCTCCAACGACGCCTCTGCGTATTGTTTGAACCTCTGCCGCCAGCTGTTCAAGGATTTCGAAAACGGCATTTCAATCGCTGAAGCAAGGAACACGGCCGCCTACCACGCCAATAGAATCGCAACGTTCACCAAACAAGTGCGCGTGCATTACGATGTCATTCTGGACCGTGCAGGGATTGGCTCGGATTTCAAGACAGTCGAGAGCATGATGAATCAAATAGGAGATGCGGTGAGGATGGTGGAGGACATTGAAGCGTGCCTCCTTGAAGGATTTGAGGCTTTAATCCGTTCCTTCAGAGAGAAAAATCTTGTCTTTCAACTGTAGATGTACTTAGTAAATGTAGTCACTAGAAGTATCGAAGTACAGGAGGTCATATAATCTCTGGAAAGTCGAAAACTCCTCTTCCCCTACTGTCGTGAACAGCAAGTACGAGCCCCTATTTTTCCTTATCTTATCTTATCGCTTTCATCGTTTTTATCATCTTTTCTTTATTCTCATTTTTGCTCTTATTCTCGACACGGACACTTTCTCCCATGGAACACTGCCTCGTTATGCCCTTCGCCCTACGTCTTATTGTTCTCTCCATTCTTGCACTGCCTCGTTACTCCCGTTATTGTTTCTTCGCTCTTCGCGCAGCCTTCGCGCAGCCTTGTGACTCTCCTTATTGTTCTTTTGTGTCTCGCCATCCGTTCGTCACCTTGACTCATCGCGGCTATGTAGACTGTAGAATAGGTGTATATAAGCTAGGTAGATCCCTCTGTATTTCCTCAGCTTGACCTCTTCGTCAATACACCGCTTCAGCATTCATCAGCATTCGTCGCTCATCGCTCTTATCCCGCTCGCCGTTCTTATCTGCTCCGCATCACTGGTCTTTGGTTTGGTTTAGTGTTCGCTCTTCGCGACACCTACCATGAACCAATCAGACATTGGGACACTGTTCACGCGACGCCAGAAAAAGACAAGCCAATCATTCAATGACAAACAATTTATTTACGAGGGGAATACTACAACATCTACTTAATTAGTGTCCACCGTCGGACCCGAAGACCCCTCCCCAACGTTCTGATCGCCCTCGTGCCGTTGGAAGGCGCCGCCGTGGACCCCCAAATTGCTCGAGTTCTCGTGACGTGCCAACCTCTCCAAGAGAGCATCAAGCTTGCTCTCAAGGTCCTCCGCGCGCTTCTCGGCACTCGCAAGCTTTTGCTGCGTCATCTGTAGCTCCGACTCCACTTCGACTCTAGCCCGTCGGTCGGCACGAGTCAGGGCATTCATCGTCAGACGAACCTCATTGTGAATTTTCCGGACGTGCTCGGGCGCATCTTTCCTAAGCTTTCGCGATGTGAAATGCACAAACGGTGTTCTTGAGGCCGGGTGTTGCATGGCTAAGTAAAGCCAGCAGCCTGTACGAGTGGAAATGGATTCACACTGTCATAGTCAGCATTACAGAAATTGAAGTATCAAAAAAAGCGACTCACTCTAGACAAAAGGTCCGCGGTCCACCTGTCGAGGTCTTTCGTAGCCTTCCTTTGAGAGGATATGACCGGCTTGAGTTCACGGACACGGTGAATGGCTGGGGTATTCAGGCGTTAATGGTCTGAGCGCTTGCGCAAAATGATTCCGACTTACGGTATGGCTCTGAACCTCTGCCCGCACCTTCTACCACGCCCCAGGTCGCGTTGCGGCCAGAGGGTTGCCTGCGATACTGCTGCCCTTTACTCTTCCTCTTCTGACCAACCTCGTCGTCCGAATCCTCCTCCTCGACAGACGATTCATCGTATCCGGGATTCTGTCCAGAAGGGCTGGGGGGGTTGGGTGAGCTGGGCGTCCCCGCACGACTCAGAGCAGACGAAGGCGACGGCGAAGAGGGGGGGGAGTTGCTGGAGGGGGTGGCGAGTGTTGTGGTTGATTCGTCTGCTGCTCACGTAGGAGATCTTCTGCGAGCAGTTGGGGATCGACGGGAATATCGATCACGGGATTAGCTGCACCAGGCGCAGGGACTTGTTGGGAAGGCAATCCTGCTTGTAGAGACAGGGGAGGGTCAGGGGACTGAGGAAGGACGGGCTGCAAAGGGGCCTGCGGCTGCCTCTGTGGCTCTTCCTGAGGTACTTCAACAGGCTACAACGTGTTAGAGGAGTGTCGATATATAGCCAGATTTTCATCAGAACGTACCTTGGGCTTTCGGAACCGATGTAAAGCGCAGGTGGAGAGAAGAGGCTTATCGGGGCATTTGAGGCAGCGCTTTGGCGCCCGCTTTCTCTTTTCTTTGGGATTTTCGGCCATGGCGGTTCAAGAGCAAGGACAAAAGGTGTTTGTGGGGTGGATTCCAAGGTGTTTGTTTTGGTGAGAAAACATCGGGATGCGACACACCGAAGGAAACGATCCCGCCCGTTTCCTTCCGAGTGAAAGATGTTCTTTCGAGTGCACCAAGATGTCTAGCACGAGACGCCGATGCCAGATACTTTGGGACGACGACAGCGACTGCGATGGAGCGGGCAATGGGGAGTACCCCTCAGCTCTTTTGGAAGCTGTAGAGAAAGAGGACTGGGACTCACCAACTAAGGTCCGCCGAACAGTGGTCAAGACTCCAAAGCCACGTCGGGACATTGGCAGTCGCAAAAAACGGCGGGTGGACAATATGGAGGAAGATACGGTTTTGTGGGATGGTCAACCGTCTCCTTGGGGAGATTATGCTGTTTCGGGAGACTCCGAAATGGATCACACAGCCACTGCCTCCGGGGATTCCGAGGCGGACTTGGACGCATTTGTCGATGCGATCAATGCCCATGTCGCTGGATTCTACTTCCTTGAGCGCAATCTCTTTGCGGTGCAAGGGTGGGATTGCGTGAGGAGACAGTCTACGGTAAGTGAAATGTATGTTACATGGGCTAGAACTAGCACTGAACTGAGTAGGACCATTGGTTTCACCTGGAGTACCAGGTTCTTGACGGCGACCTGCTCCTTGCCTGTACCTGCCCAAGGAGTCTTGACCCAACATGCATTCATCGACAATTCTTTCGTTATTTTGAAATAGAGGCGCTGTCTGAAATGCAGCAAGATAGGAATACAGGTGAGTATCACACAGCAAGTTTTTCAATAAATATGCATTGACCGGGTTGTGATTAGACTCCCCGGCTATTCTTTTCCTACGCCAGGTCCTCCAGAACGAGGAGGTATACTCCTTGTTCTCGGTAAAATCCACTTCGTCATCGGCTCTGAAAGGTCGGGCTATCGTGCGCCATACTGGGGTGGCGGGGAGCTGGCGTGGGGATTGGAAGTGTTCGAAGGATCATGGAGGTTCGAGCTGTGTTCACATCCGAAGAGTCCAGGAACTGGTGGGGCATCCTGAGGAGCAGGATCGGGACCACGGAGTGAGGGAGGGGGGTAGTACTGTGACCGACATGGGTACGTACGTTAAGATGTCAACGTTGAACACAGAAGATTGATTACTTGACCAGTAATTACACGTTCGGGGTCCGTTTCGTGTACCTTGGAATCCAGGTCCCGGCTTGGGCCTCTCTGCCCAGCGATCCTCATTTGTATGCGGTTCCAGCACCGTTTCGCTCGCCGCCTTCTGTACCTTTGCCCCTGAATGAAACGTCGTCGTGTCCTTGTCCATCGGGAAGAACGTTCTACGACCCCTCACGTCCAACAACCGAGCGATTGTGCAAGATATACACGATCTCCCAAGTCTACGAACACCACATCATGCTTCAGCGGTGTCCGACCTGCCCTCCCACCAGCCGCCGTTTCATCGGTCCAGATCTTCGAGAGATGGGGCTTTTCAATTACAACAACACTGTCCTCGTTTCCCATGAATTGATGGAGGAGTACACAAGTGCATACACTCTCTCGGAAACGCCTTTCTCTGCTTGGGTCCAGCATCTCGCACGGCGTTACGCAGCCTTCAATCAGGCATTCATGGGAGAAGACCTCTTCCGCTCGGTTTGGTTCGCGTACGTAGAGCTTCAAAACTTCGACAACGACATGACGTGTGGCAAATGCGGCGAGTTCCCCGACACCGTGATCTGGGATGGCATAACGCTGGCCTTCGGTCGCAAGCACGTTCGAAGCTCCCTCCGCCCACCAACAACACCATCCCAGGACTCCCTGGTTCGCGAGAAAATGAAGTATCACAAGAAACAACAGCTGATTGAGGACAAAAATCTACGGAAGCGACTGCGCCTTGTGCTTGATCCGCCTGACTTGGATGGATTATCTGACTGGGAGGCTGAAGATGCACTGCCGACACCTTCCAGTTCGCCCTTGAAAGGCTCCGGTGCACGCGCGCGAGAGGTGAAATTAATTCGGGAACACCTGGGGCGCCTCGAGGCGGTGGAGGAAGGGCTGCGCAAGACATGTCCAGCGGTGGCAGATATATTTGCGTCGGTTTATGGTCCTTGTTCGTTTGCAGAAGGCGAGAAGCCAGACTTGGCCTACAAGTCTTTTTTCAGACAGGTGAGCGCTGGTGTTATTCGAGGGGAATTTGTTGGTTAATGGATTGGTGAAGTTGGCGGCGGAGGAATCCGTCCTTCAACTTGTGAATGCCGTAGGTCTGGCCGCAGTAAAATCGTTTCTTCAGGAGCCGACATTGGAGAGACGTGCAGCTTTGATCCCGATCCCAGCACTTTATGGGACTCCTCGGGGTGGAAAGCGATGTCCCTTCGCTTGTAATGATAATGGAATGGATTGTAGAGCGGGTGGAGAAGATACTGGGAGATTTGAAGGTTCACGAGCCGCTGCCCGATCGTTTGGCGTCACTCCCAAGCCCATCAGCGTCGTCGGATTGGAAGCAGGTGTTACTCGGCTTAAATAAGCTGAGTGTAATTTAACGCGAGCGCGCGCGAGCATTTTGTTCCCTTTCATCAGTCAACTGGGAACTTATTACCTTATATGGTACATTGCAGATTTATTCAGTCTCCGCTTTCACTTTCACTTACTTCCTGGATATTTTTCGGTATATTCATGTCAAACTCCCTCTCTCCTGTCATATAGAATACTCTAAGTAACATTAACAGAAAAAAATAACAATAAAATAAAAAAGGGGTTTCATAAAAACCTGTAGCTGCAAAAACATGTTGCCACGGTTGCGTCCGAGTTTGAAACACCGCAATGACGCAATAAGCGGAACTGATTGAGTCCCAGTTCCGCTTATTGCATCAGCCAAGCCAATGCCAAGCTAATGCTCCACCGGTACCTGGAGTTGAGGGGGAAAGAAGACAACTACTGATATCTCCTTCATCTTTGGTGTGTTTTCTTGGATTTTGGGCTCGTTTTGAAGCTAATAATTGGTGTTATGAGACGCTAAAATTTTATCCCGCACAATGCTGCCGTTGTGGAGGAGATTGCGGCCGGGTACATGAGGCTGGGGATTCCGGAACGAGGAGGATCATTAGTGAAAAGCAAGGGTCGGCTGACCCCTGCAGGTTTTCGGGTCAACCCTGCGATGGGTCGGGTATGGGTCGCCATTTTCAGACCCGAGATCTTTAAAACAAGCCACAGATCATCAGAAACGGATGGGAAATGGCTGAGATACGGTCAAATTATTATTTTAACCATATCTCAGTCATTTCTTATCCGTTTTCGATGATCTAAGACCCAACCCGTGCGGAAAACCCGTCGGGTTACGGGTGGGGTTAAGCCAGGGGTCGGGTCTATTAAACATGTAAGACAATTTCGTTGTGTATTCGTTAGTGAACTAACTATAGTAATACTACTCTTTTGTTACATTTTCTAAATACATCAGTAAAGGTGATTACGGCGGAGCCTTATTTAAGCCGAGTCTCCGCCATGCATGTGCATTGGCCCGTATACTAGTGTATTGCGTTTCTGAGTTGTCTCAATCTGTCTTTCTAACAGGTGCGATAGACTGGGTGCTACTATAGCATGCCGCAGATACGCCACAGGCCCGTGTATCCTCGTTTGAAGGGGGATGGCCGCAAGGATAGGTCGTCAAAGACAGACGACAAATGTGGCAAGTATTATGCCCAATACGGGGAGCAGCGGCTGACGGGGGGGATCATGGTGGCGTGGTGTACCCATAGCATATGTTATGGGTTTCATTGCATCGCAGAGAGCGAAGGGAGGGACGATGTTTTTGCGGCGATGGTTACTCGTTGGCCGGTGGCTCCCAAACGCGTCGTCTACGATTTTGCCTGTGCCTTAGGACCTTACTGTCTTCTCCGGGAGCCCCACTTCTTCCAGGCCACTCATTTTGCTATCGACCACTTCCACAGTTCTGGGCATACCAAATGCTCTCCAGCGGCCTTCCTATCAGAATACTAGTGGGCTGCGGGCCGTTAAACGGCATACAACCGAGGCCTGTTGGGACAAAATGCCCCAAAACCAACAAAGGAAAAATCCGCAACACCGAGAGTCGAACCCTCGACCTCACCGGACATCACGTGGCCTTAAGGTGTCGAGAATTTTGGACGCGCGAAACCCCGCGCAAAAGAACCCGAGTCCCAACAGGCCTCGGAACTCCAATGTCGATCCCCGACTAGTGGCCATCAACTCGAGCGCCGCTGAATGCGGAAATAGTTCGCTGAAGAAGATCCGAAAATCTGTCAGCTACATGTCACAGAGAAGGGCAATCGTGTACACGAAGATCTTTTTGTCCATCTGGAACCGGGTTCGCCTGCGGAAGGCTTTGGGCATTAAACTTGTCTAGTGTGTTTGATGTCGTATACGTAGTATTATCTATGTATTGAAACCGTGTCACGGTACCCGGTACCCTCACGTGACCAGCTATCGCCTGAAATCGACGGTCTTTTCGACGATTTGGGAAGTGGGAGGTCTTTTGAAGAGCAGAGGTCCAAGCTCGAGCGGATTTGGCAGGCGGTTTGGCGCCGAGCGATGCCGGCGTCCATTTCGGGCAGCGAAGTGCCCGTTTTGGTCGTTTTTGATGCGGAGCTTGAATTGGAACATTTGAACTTCACATCTCTCCCTTGCTCTCGATGGCGCTCGGTGCGTCTGTACATGAATTTCACGATTGATTAAGACGCAGATAGATTCTATCTGTACTATTAACTTAGAAATGGGCTCCCATCCCATGTGTAAGAGCAATAATCAACCACCCAGGGCTCCATTGGCCAGAATTTCGGGTTGAACTGGGAAGAGACATACAATGGACGAGAAACCAAATGGATGGGGCACAGAAGACGTTGAGATAACGTATGATCAAGCTGAATTAGACTCTGAGAGAGAAGCAGAAGAATTGGAGGAGGGTAAAGATGAATTTTCGCACCTCTGGCTGTAGGTTGATAGGGGCTTGTTTACTAAATCAATCAGATCAGCCGTTTCTCGCTTCGGTGGTGTTCGGTGGGTATCAGGGTGGTAGATTGACAGCGGGAACCATGCCAAGGGCTCCCATTATACGGTATAATGCTACTGTGTACCGGTACCCCACCGAAAAAGCGAGGGTACCCGGGGGTACCCCCGCTAGTGGGCAGTATGCCTTATATCCTATATTTAAAACCGATTCCTAGTTCGACTTTGTGAATATTCGCAGTCTCGTGAGACAGCGATGGCCAAGTGAACGGGCCTCTACTGGTGCACAGTCTTAAAAAACGACATGAGGATCGTGGCAGTCATTGGAAACTGCAATTGATCAATGTACCTTGATCTCAAATCGTCCACGGTCCTGAGGAACTGCTCGACGATGAAAGCCAAATTCACGCGGTCTATAGAGACCGCGTGAAGGGATACTGTTACGAAGGAAATGTCATAAGCAGTAACAAAATGTCCACGTGATATTGTCCCTACAGGTAGGGGTTATAGGTTCCTACTGGTAGGGTGTGATAAGACACACATACGGTGTGACGGTTATCTGGGCTTTGATGGAATCCTTCCCGCACAATTTCCGTTTCATATAGCAGCTTCCATTGGTAAGTATAAGTACAGGCTCTCTGGCAGAGAAGGTCTGGTAGAGCTTATCGGATGGGTCGGGTGACCACAGCGGGTATCCTCTTAATTTACATAAGTCTTGGTGGATGAAGTCGATACCTTGCAGGGAAGCCCTGGTGCGAATCCCATACCAGCACTGCTTGCATAAATCGAAGTGGTGTTGTGTTGCATAGCTGCGTCCGCTTTCCGCAGGTTTAAAAGAAGTCGGTATCCCTGTGGGAAAGTGAAAAAATCAGGGGTTACTGAAGGATGATCGATGATCAGTCACCGGAACGACATACGCAAAAGGCGAAGATGGTGTGGAGTCAGCTATCAGGAGATAAAGGTCAGGAACAGAAATGTGAGGATCGGTAAGCTTGACATACCCGAACAGAATGCCCGTAAACGTCTTCGGGGCCACACAACCTCCCAATAGATAGACTACGACTGATATCAGTGGAGTCCAAGATTATGACGAGTCTGAACTTACCGAATAGGAGAATGAAAGCCCACGTTCCATCGCGCATAAGGACGCCCGTCAATCGTACTTGCTTCCACCCCAGTGTCCTGATTAGCCCAACGCACTTGTATGCTGTGGCAAGGAACAATATAGCTTGGAAGACCACCGGAAAAATGCTGCCAGCAGAAGCGGTTATGTTAAAGGTCAGCATAAAGAAAACGACCATATGGGAGTGAGACTGTGCGTACGTGGTGACCAGGAAAATCCTCCCCGGCTCTGATATCAGAATGCAGTGATCATCGAAGGCTAAACGAGGTATAGAAAGCCCCATAGCAGTAGCAATGGCTGCGACCTCTACAGCGAAGATGATGCCTATGGACCACTTTATGTATTTTTTCTGGTGATAAAGGGCAAACACTGTGGAAACCAAAGAGTTAGTCATGGGTTCGTGGATAGTAGGCGCGTTTTAGCCCAGTGGGATTACCTCTCAGCACGAGAACATAGTCCACCAGTGTCATAAGGAGTGTGGAAGCCACCGCTTGCCACACGTTCTGGGTAAAACAATCACGAGCGGATGATACAGTTATGAACTGTGCAGACCTGGAGCGCTGGAGTGAGGTGGGTTTGCAAATGAGTCAGTCAATTCACTCACAGTTGAGCCGCTACAGCAAAGTAGCGGATGAAAAAGAAAAGAAATTTCGTGATATTCCAGTCTTGACTGAATCGAGGAGCTTAGTGCTTAGCCTGGAAAGAACAAAGCGAAATTTTTATACTTACGTCCAGATGTGCTGAACCTACACATTGATCTCGTCAGTACCAAAAGAGCTCTGAAGGCATACGAAAAAGACTCCTTACCTCGCCGGAAAATGTAATCAGGACGTCGTATACCAGGAATGCGCAAGCGGCAGCTTTTTGAGAAGGGTGTCAGTTCTGTCAGAGTGGGGCCCTACTCGGCAGTACATTGACGTCCATACCATTACTGTAGCCGATGGTCTTCTGGAGTCGAGCCATATAGAGCATCAGCTCGAGCGGAATACCAGGAGGGGGAACACCTGGAGGGCCATCCATGGTTGACGAGACTGATACTGTACCAGGAGTCTGTGGTGCCCGAGGCGAGGGGGAGCCTGGAGGAAAAATAGTGCGGTATAAGAATCCTAGATAAAGTACTGGAACTGAAGGTGACAAGGATCTTGACATACCGTGTATTGTTTCTCTGCTCCAGAGGGTGGGTATCCAATCGGATTTGGCGATCTTCCTTATTTGTCAATTACTGATAATAGATAGTCACTGATGTCCATAACGCGTTCATCGCAAAACTACAGGTGCCTGAGATGAGATTGCTATTAAGCGCCCGGGCGCTTAGGTGTAATGTAAAAAGACGACGGCGATGTAGTGAATATGGACAAATTTTCTTACTCCCAAACACCTGTCTACTGTTCTCGCCTGTCAAAGGTGGTCGGGAAGGAATGACACTGTGCTTGGCGCGAACACAAGGTCATGTCTGGTGTGAAACATAGAGGTGGGAGATGGAGTATCAGCGTTCGCTTTCCGCAAGTTAAGAAGCAGTCGATATCCCTATCAAGAACTGTGATAAGATAGAAAGTGGAGATAAGCTTTGTAGATTTCACGCACGCAGAAGGCGAAGAGGGTATTCATCCAGCTGAATATGATAGTTGGGGAGCTGAGGTATTGAATCGAGATTATAAGGTTTGATTGCCTGATCTAAATGGTGGACTTACCCGTACAGCAAATCGGAGAGCGCATTTGTGGCGATTCCATTCAATATACAAGCGAAGAGCAAAAACACTGAGCGTGGTTAAGGGTGAAGTATTTCACAAATCAACAGAACAGCTCACCGAATACGAGGACGAACGTCCAAGTCCCGTCCCGCATGAGAACCGTAGTGAGGCGCACTTGTTTCCATCCAGCTGCCCTAACCACAGAGAAGCACCTCCAAATGGTAGCTACAAACAGAGCGGTTTGGAATACCACCACCGGGATGCTGTCATTGGTAATTGTACATGTCAGATCTGCACGTTCTCGTTGAACAGCGGTGGAGAGAGCAAGATAAACTTACCTGGCTATGAGAGAGACGGGAGGCGCTTCAACAAGAACACAATGGTCGTCGAATTTGGACGTGGAAAGAGCGATTATCAAAGAAGTCAAAACGACAACAATCTCAGCGACGAAAAGAGAAGCCGTGAGGTATTTCACCAAAGGCATGTGAATGTATAGTGCGTGAACTGGGATCGTAAATGAACGGTGCTCCAAATGAGTTTCCTATACTCTCTTGGTACTACAGGGGCTTACCTCGTGCTAGAAGAATATAATCGACTGAACAAAGGACGAGCATGGCCGCTACTGCCTCATAAGCCATCAAGGCGTGGCACTCGCGCGGCCTGAGCTTTGTGGTGCTGCCGAATTGCGTCGATCTGGACGAATAGAGTTTGGGTAGATCCGTCAACTTCGTTCTATAGATGTCGTCACTTACATCTGCACTGCTACTGTGAAATATCGAATGAATAGAAAGATGAACTTTGGAAGGCACCAAGGTTGGCTACGAAACTCTGATTACGGTAGGCCTTCGCGTAAGATCAAAGCCAGTGACATACGGCCAGATGAGCTGAACCTTCAGTGGAACATATTTTCTTTTACTGAATGGCTGGAAAGGAGAAAGAACGGACACAGACCTCATCTTGGAATGTTAACATCACGTCGTAGAGGAGAAACGTGCATGCCGCAACTGCCAGGTACCGGGCGTCATCGAGCTGGTGATCTGCTGATAGATTGTTACATACCCCCACTATAAGTCGCAACGCGAGCCCCTGCCGCATATTCTCCCGTCATAACAGGAGTTTCCATTGCAAAAGTTGGATATGTAGTACGTTGTATGTCCTGTTCGCACTGTGCGTGATAGCGATCCCAATAGAGGCCAAGGAATCACGACTTGGTATCGAAGCGCTCACATTTTAATGGGTGTGCTCTCGTGGTGACATAAATCTCGGGGAGATGTCCGAGGATGATAGAAATCGCAAGAACCCTTCTCCTTACCGCGTGCCAAGTGGATCAGATCCTGCAGTAAGCGCCTTAGCGCTTATTTCAGCCCTTAGGGGAGGGATAAAAAAAGTCGTATGTGGATGAACCTGTCATCCCCAACGTCTTTGGTGCACTTGTCTTCGCCATGCACCGCGATGCGGATCGCGCAGGCTAAAGCGGTGTCCCTTGGGTTCGAACTCCCGACCAGGTAGGATCACGTGAACTCCAGCGATCGACCTGCCCTAAACTCTGACCACGACCGGATTGATTTTCGATTTGTTAATAGTCTTCCTCTTCTTCTTCAGTTTCTTCTCTTCTCCCTTTAGGTTTGAAGCATTAGGTTGCTTCAATCGTTGGCCAGCACACATCTGTCGAGAACGTTCAAGGAAAGCTTCAATGGCAGCTCAAGTCTCTCAACAATACGCATGTGAGTCCTGTTTCTGCTTTGAGCATTGGAAGATTGTGGTTTGCGGAGAATCTGGAGGGAATCGATATCGATGTGGAAGAATTCAAAAAATATAGGTTGGGTACGACTGGGATACACAGGAAAAGCAACGAAATCTACCTATGGACGACCAGGAGGCCACCAGGGGAATCTGGATGCTGAATCTCTGCCGGCGCCCGCTGATTTGGCCTCCACAAAGGCCCACAGGCGACCCAAAGCCAGTTTTTGCATCCTGGGGATATTTGGGCGTCCACAAAGCTTTACCACGGATACCTGTCTGGTTTGAGCTCGTCTCCTAGCCGGGAGACGCGCCTTGGGCGTATTGGTGGGGCTTGGGCCACGTTCTATCGGATCCACGAGGCGGTCGTGTGTGTTGGTTCCACCCGGACCTCGTTACCACAGCGGGCTGGGCCCTTAAAAAGTGCCTAGGACATCCTTCCCAATCCCTGGCCAACGAGCATCGCTGGCACCCCGGGATCCGGACGCCAGATTCACGAGGCTGTTCACCTGGTATTTGTGGAATGGCTGGACCAACAGTGTGGTTGCTTAAATGCTTTCACTCTTTTTTGCTTTTTTTCCTTGATCGCTTCTCGCGCCCATCAGATGACTGACTGTTCGCCCAAAAGTCCGCGCCCAAAAGTCTCTCGGTCTCGTAGGAGGGACCCCTGATTACCTGCCCGTTCAAGGCTTTGAATCTCCAGATGTTGCCGCCAAGACCTACACGTACAGTGCCGATGGTCGACTCTATGCCTACGCACTTCCCACTCTGTATGTACCGTTACGATTCTCCACCGAGTGAGGCTGATCATGCTTCAGTGTGCGTATCTTCCAGGCGGAGGGTGCTCAACTCTTACAGGAATTGCCCCTCCCGAACATCATCGAGATGAGTTTTTCTCCACGTGGAACCTACCTCTCGACATGGGAGCGCCCCGTCAAGCTCGAGGACGGCGCCCAGCACAAGAACTTGCGCGTCTTCTCCGTCTCCACCGGAGAGGAACTCATTTCCTTCTCCCAAAAGTCGATCGAAGGATGGCAAATCCAGTACACCATCTCCGAGTCCCATGCTGTTCGCCTCGTATCATCCGAGATCCAGGTGTACAGGCCATCCGAATGGTCCAAGGGTATTGCCGACAAGCTCAAGGTCGAGGGCGCCACCAACATCGCGCTCAGTCCCGGCCTCAACCCTTCCGTCGCAGTCTTTGTGGCTGAGAAGAAGGGAGCACCCGCGAGCATCAAGGTCTACGGCCTTCTCTCACTCAACGCCCCACCCACCTGCCAAAAGACGTTCTTCAAGGCTGATCGTGCTCAGATGAAGTGGAACGTCTTGGGCACCCAGGTGCTGCTCCTCACCCAAACCGAGGTCGACAACACGAACAAGAGTTACTATGGCGAGACTGGGCTTTATCTTTTGAGTGCAGCTGGCAACTTCGATTGCCGTGTGACGCTCGACAAGGAAGGGCCTATCCACGATTTCGCATGGAGTCCCAACTCAAAAGAGTTCGGAGTGGTCTACGGATGTAAGTGAAGCTCCATCTCCGTCTCGATTCACTAACTGACTTTGAGGTAGATATGCCCGCTAAGACGATGTTGTTCGACCACCGTGTTCGCAGTGTCCACGATTTCGGCCTGGCTCCATACAACTTCATTTCCTTCAACCCTCAAGGTCGACTTATCGCTCTCGCCGGTTTCGGTAACCTTGCGGGTAAGATGGACATCTTCGACCGCCGCACCGTGAAGAAGCTGTGCACCATCGACGCGCCCAACACTTCCCACTGTGAATGGTCCCCCGATGGTCGATTCATCCTCACCGCCACCCTGTCACCCCGTCTGCGTGTCGACAACGGCGTCAAGATCTGGCATTGCACAGGTCCTCTCGTCCACATTCAAGCCACTGAAGAGCTCTACCAGGCCTCCTGGCGTCCCACCCCCGTCGAAGGCGTCCCTCCCTTCCCGCAAGCCATCCCACCTGCCCCGGCCCCGGCTCCCAGTGTCAAGGCTTACAACGAGAGCAACGAGGGCAAGAAGAGCGCCACGCCCGCCAAACCGGCTGGTGCCTACCGACCACCTGGCGCCCGAGGACTCGCCACACCCGCTATCTTCAAACGTGAAGACGAGGGTGGTATCCGCCTGGACGGTACCTCCACACCTCCTCGATACGGGCGGGGACCCGTTCCTGGTGCGCCCGGCTACGGATCCCAATCCAACGGCTATGGAAACGGAAATGGGCAGAGGAGAGTGGTGCCCGGTGCTCCACCTCCAGGCTCGGGCCCGAGTGAGGAGAAGAAGGGCGGTAGGAGGAAGAAGGGGAAGAAGGACGGTGAAGGGCAGGATGGAGGTGCCGGTACGCCTCCCGCTGTTGATGTTGGTGCTGCGAATGGGCAGCAGGGAGGAGGTGGAGGCAAGAAGGGCAAGAACAGGGCTCAGCCTGGTTCGGGTAACGGATCAGCTGCGCCTACTCCCCCGGCTCCTTCGACGCCTGCGGCATTGGAGCCTCAGACCCCTGTTACCCCCGGTGGCGATGGACTTGATGCTGTCGCGAAGAAGATTAGAAACTTGAACAAGAAGGTTCGTGAGACCTTTCCAGTGGCTCGGGATGTTGCTCATGATTATCGTTCGTATAGCTCAAGGCCATCGACGAGCTGAAGGAGAAGCAGAAGAGGGGAGAACGCCTCGAAGCCACCCAGTTGAAGAAGATCGAAGGAGAGGCTGACATCAGGAAGGAGCTCGCTGGCTTGAACGCTCAGGCTGGCTCCTCGTAAACCCCTACTCCCTTCCCTTTCCCATCATCGTCATCTGTCGCATTGTGCTGTGCTCTGCCTCACTCGCTCTTCACGGACATGTACATGATGTGTGTGCATAGTACACGATAATGTCGATACGACCTTTTTCTTTTTCTTAGAAAAGCATGTTGTACGCATTCACGACGCTTACAAAATATGGGTGGGGTGGGTCTTGGCACCCAGGGCCCATCGTTAGACATCATGGTTTGGTTTTTCTTCATGACTGCTTTCGTTTTAGCTTTCCTTCGTATTTAGGTGATCCTAGGCTTAGTTTTGTGGGTTGTATCTGGATGTACATACTAATGGATAGAAGCGTGACGTGCTTTCGAACGAGCTGCTAGTTCAAGTCTGGATCTTGGTCAAGACGTGCTGGTTCCCTTAGAGGAATCAGAGGATGTGCACACGGATAAGTACAATTCGTGGACAATTGAATTAGTATTACACGCTATATATTATGCGACAGAATACAGGAGAGGGGATACCAAGGCGCATTGGAAGACTTTCAATTCAAGCTGCAGGGAGGAGGGGTGTACCCAAGAACCGGAACACAGGTGCCACGTTCTTCGAAGAAGAGCAGGCCCATAATCCGCAAACATTCCAAGTCATAGGTCTTTGGGGCGGCGGCACTACTGATGAGAGAAGGAGGAGTACGACAGTTCCCCTTCCTAATGGCGCTCTTGACGACGCTCGAGACCATGTTGGCAAGCTTGTATGCAATCCATCCCCACGTTCGGGGTATACCGTCCTCGTCTAGGCAGGGAATGCCAAAGTCGTACTCTTTTGGACCAAATGCGTCGATAGTGACTTTGAGGAACGGGGCGTCAGGCAATAAAGGGGAAATGACCTCGTTGGGGACCAAAGGATCAGTGAGAATGTCGTCAAATCCTTTCCGGAGGATTTGTTCGCAGTACTCGGGTGAATGGGACATGTCCTTAAGGTTTAAGCCACGGCCGTGCCTTCCGTCATAGGTGAGCAAAGGGTGGAATACAGAGGTGCCTCTGTCACTGTTCCAAATCATGCGAGGCAGGATAAAGACGTGGTCGATTTGGTGAGTCAAGAATTGGTCCAGCTCTGTATTGTCAATTTCTGGGCTCTCGAGACCGTCGCAGGGAACAAGGGCAGGGAGCGGGCGGTCCAGACGGAGGAGCCCATTGGTGTAGAAGAGGTACGAAGGATAGATTGCAGCCATTTTCGTTGTGTTGAAGATGTGTCTTGAGAGTGAGATTTACCAGGAGGCTCAGGGGCTCGGATTACTGACGCGTTTGAGAGACGATGTACGTTGATATAGCTTCACCTCGGGCGCCCTTATATATCTGGAGCGGGGACCAGCTCCATACAGAAGGACAATGGGCTCCAGGGCCCTTTGTGGTGCCAGTCCCATTGACAATGGCAGGTCCGCGTGACAAAGGACAACGGCGCTTAGTTACCGCGCGCTTTGACGCCGAGCTACGAATTGGTGCAGAACTTGAAAGGACAATATAGCCCAAATTGCAAATGGATTGTCTAAGTTGGTCGGTGGTCAAAGCGTCTCTAGGAATAATGTGTGTCCTGTGGCTTCCAAAATTCTTCTATATAAAGCCTCTGAAAATTCAGGATTGGTTTCCTTCGCAACTCAATTCACCCTAACTGAAGCTCACTATGACTGATCAACATTCTGGAGGTACGGAGTCTACTCTAACCCCATCCTCGCCCTAGTAAGTGTTCAAATCTTGACATATGGTCCCCTCGGCTAATTTCATCGTTTCGTCGCTTAGTACGGATATCTTCTACTTTGCCATCAATGCCACAGAGGCAGTCACTGATAACTTGTATGTTCCCCTTAACCCTTGCTCTTGTCTACCTGCTCACGGCCTCGAAACTTTTAACAAACTGATATAGCTGGCTAATTTGTCCTGGAGGCTCTCGCATTCGATTGGGCGAAGGTGACCCACGCCTGGAGCCCACCCATCTCTACCTCAGCTGTGAGCCGACCGACGAGCGTCTGAGAGAATCGGTGGACAACAATGCGGACTGCGCCATAATTCTTCCTAGATCTCCCTCTACATTCCCGCCGGTAGAGGTTCCCGAACGGGGACAGCCTGAGTTTTGCTACGTGGATCTTCGAACTGTCGACAACAAATTTGGCTCGTATCTGAAAGATCTCACTGACCTTCGCTGGTGCGAACAAAACATCCTAGGCGCCAACTTCAAGGTTCCGAATATGTCACGAGATGGTGTATTCACTGTTATGATAGATGTAAGTCAACTACTTTCACGCCTTTTGGATTACCACTCACGTCCTTCTATAGGTCCTTGGAAGAGTTAAGACCGTAAGCATTGATCTACTGCACTCGGAGCCTCACCGTTGGGCGTACATGGGAGCTTTACTCGCGCGTCATATCTGGACCTACATCCTGGAACTGCAGCGCGAAGCCGAGCTTGAGATTGTGGCGGCCGGTGACCCGAATGCTGTATCTGCGATTGCACGAGCCCTCTATAACATGGATGACCGGTCCGTCAGGCTTCTAGGCTTAGTTTGGTTTGAGGAACATAGTGCTTGGGTCCCAATTTTGGGATACACTCCTGAACCGCACGACTCGTTGATCAAGAGCCTTTCAATCTCATAGAAAAGTCTATCTTTTCAGTTTTCTTTTTTTTTTCCCCCTTTTGTGCCTAGTGTATCTTAATTCGATTTTAATGACCAGAAACCATACCGAGGCCTGAACTTGTCCATGATGTTCGAGAGAAATGACCTAGCTCAGGTTCGAACCGGCGAGTATGACAGCGCTCGGCATCAGATAACTCCTGCCCGAGCTGAGCGGCAATATGAAGTGTATACAGTACAGTGGCCGCGGTGGCCAAGTCACTTGAGGAACTCGACAGGGGAAAGTAAACTAATCGACAACAAGTGCACGGTGTCTCTCTGATCTTGGCACAAAGTCGCAAGTGTATCGCTCGGGAGCACTGAGAATTGAAACCTGACGTTAGGCAGTACTGTCGACATCGTCTTTGATACTCACCAGATAAGATCGGAATTCACTTTCATCTCCATTGGTAGCGGGTTTCCGACCTTATCCTTCGGCGGTTCGATATTGAATACCGTCAGGATGCAAGCTGCAACGAAAGTCAAGGCCTCGTTGCTGAGGTGGCGGCCGGGACAGATTCTTGAAGGATGTAAGTGTCAAAGTGAGCGTCGGTGTCTGTCGATACGCACCTGCGACCATACCCAAAGACTCCGATGTATGGGTCAAGGACATCAGGATCGATCTTGCCGCCCTTGAGGAAGCGCTCTGGTTTGAACTCCAAAGGGTCTTGATAGATTTCGGCGTCGTGCATGATGGACCTGAGGACGCAGGAGAATTATCGCTGTGAATTTGGCATAGAAGGATATTCTATTACCATGTGTTGGCCAATACTGTTGTGCCCTTCGGGATGAAATAGCCCTTGTACTCGTAGTCTTCGGTGGAAACATGGGGGAGGCCTGTTACAATGGGATAGGAGTCAACGAAACTAGAAGCGCATGCTGATTTTTGAACTCACCCAGTGGAAGAATTGTGTGCCATCGGCTGACCTCTTTAATAATTGCTTGTACGTATGGAAGCTGAGAACAGTCAGCAGGGGTGGGTAGCCGATCTTTGCCAATAACTGCCTCTATTTCCTCTTGAGCCCGCCTCTGGACCTCCGGATGTTTGGCGAGGAGGAGGAAGAGAACGTGGGCGGCTGTGACAGTCTGCGGGACGTGAGTAGGTATCGAATGCGACTTTATAGCATGCGATGATCAGTGTACTCACAGTATCAGAACCAGCTGGAATGAATTTGATGAGTCGTCGCTTTCTAAGTACTAATGAGGAAGGACGCTTACCAAAGTAGGATACCAATGCGACGTTTCGCGCTTGTATTTCTTGAGATGCATATTCGGGACTATCTTTGGGAGGTAGTTCGTCGATCAAGCTCGTTGCCATACTGATGAATTCGTTTTGCTTGCCAGACCTCTATGACATGAGCCCCGATTAGCCTAGTGTAAGAAACCAAGGCGCAACACACACCATGCGCTCCTGCGCTTCTCGGAAAGGCTCGTTTATGATTACTTGACATGCTGCCGCCATCGCACTAAGCCTCTTCTTCCAAGCAGCGCCGGGGAACCAAGTTGGGACATAGCGGAGCCAGGGGAACTGATTCACGAGCAGTCGACCCGGAAGGGTGACCTCGGAGAACCCCTTGTTCACAAATTCACTCTTCAATACCAGGTTCTTGTTGTATTCGTAGTCGTTGACGCCATATGAGACTCGCATAATGATGGCCCCAAAACAGCTGATGATCAAAAGTTAGGCGCTTCGAAGGATTGCTAATGTCCACTTACAATCGAGTTTCCTCGAAAAATTCTGCAGGGTTCTCCAACAACCGGTGGACGAATGCGATACCTTCTTGCTCGATGACAGGGCGGAAGTTGTTCTCCACTCCTTGCGGACTAAGGAAGTGATGGAAGGATTTTCGATGGGATCTCCAAGCAGCGCCGTATCGCATCAAGCCAAAGTTCCAGTCAAGTTTGATTCTAAATTGCAGTAAGCATTGCGAAAGAGGGTTGCACGTCGCGACAGTTGAGTTTTAACTCACATATCATAAGCAGGTAGATAGGTCCTGTCGGAGAAGATAGCAGCTTTCTTCTCCATGATCTCAAGGACAGCGGGCAGCGAGTTAAGGACGAGGATCGGCGCCCCGAAGGCTTCTAAATATGTCACGTCACCTAATGTTCGTGAGATCAGTTCGAGGTGTGGGATTCAAGTGAGGAGATCACTCACCATACTGCTGCGCCCAGTCCCTGTAAACTTCCCAGTGGTTCTCTGTGGGCATTTGGTGCACGTTTCCGATGACAGGAAAGCGTGGAGGACCAGGCGGTAATGGGAGAGCAGACCTGTGCACATTGAAGAGTTTCTTCGCGACGTACAAAGCTAGAAGAGCAAACGAAAAGCCTGCATAGGGTGCCCATGTCGGTGCGTCTGCAAATTGAACTGAAAAGTCGAGATCTGGAAAGAGAGGCATAGTAGGGAAAAGCGTCAGAGCGGAGGGAATTTCAAGGCGTCCATATATACTACCCGGTTATAGATAGCGGTGGCAAAGAACCACCAATCATGGAGCCTGGTGAAGCTTCGTACACACCAGGGCCTCCGGACTCGTGTCATTCGACAGGGTGCCGTAAAGTCAACGAAGCCTTCATTCTCCACTGTTACCTCATGATCACCAAAGTTGACCGTTATCACTGGACAGGACTGAAGCACCGTGTCTATGCCAGCACTCTCCGGCGAAGGGAATTCTGCGAAAAGTGGAGGCGGTGGTGGTTCTTTGACATGATCAGATCATTGGTAGAACGTCCATTGATCATCTGAGGTCCGATTAGGGCGCAAACCCTAAAGCTGCGCATTGTCGCAACCCAAAGCTGCAGTGAAAACTGGAGTGGGGCTGCGAGTTTCCGGTTAAACCGCCCATTTATAAGTCTAATTCGAGCTTGGTACAAAGTCCCTGACAAGTGCCAGGTGGGCGCGCGAACGAGGGGTAACCTCGCAATCGAAAGGTTCAGGGGCGCTGGATTTGTCGTTAAACACAGTAATGGCCCATAAACATAGGTCGAAATTAAGCTCACCACAGAAGGTCGGAGTTCACCTTCATTTCCATCGGTAAGCAGTTGCCAAGTTCGTCCTTTGGAGGCTTGATCTCGAACACTGCGAGGAAACATGCGACGAAGTAGGTGAGAGCTTCATTGCTCAAATGACGACCAGGACAAATCCTGCGCACCATTTTGATGGTCTATACATCAGCAACTGAGCCAAAGGATAAGAAATAATGAACGCACCTCCGCCCATACCCGAATTGCCCGGCGTTTGGATCTAAAACAGATGCATCAAGGTTCCCGTCTTCGGTTAGATAACGCTCTGGTCTGAACTCGAAAGGGTCTTTGAACGTGTTAGCATCGTGCATGATGGCCCTGTGCGGAGTTGCTTTAGAAATGCCCTCAACTGACAAATGCGAAGCGTTTACCAGGCGTTGGGTAGAACGGATGTTCCTTTGGGAATGAAGTAACCATTGTACTCAAAGTCTTGGGAAGAAACGTGTGGAATGGCTTCGGGAAATTCAGACGCTCTATACAGGACCAAAAAAGACCAGAATACAAACCGAGAGGAAGGACAGTGTGCCAGCGATTCACCTCTTTGACGATGGCATGGACGTAGGGTAACTGAGAGCAATCCTCGGGAGTGGGTAAGCGATGCTTCCCGACGATCGCGTCAATCTGCTCCTGCGCCCGGCGTTGTACTTCCGGATGGGTCGCCAGAGCGAAAAACAGAGCATGAGTCGATGTAACCGTCTATTTGACAACAAGATTAGCATTGTAGGAAGCTGAAGGAGTCCAAGTAGTACGCCTACTGTATCAGAACCAGCTTTGGATAGAAAGAAGTTCAAGATGTTGCAAGCGGTGAACACTGAGAGTTCTTTTCTCACCAAAGTAGGCCACGAGGGCAGTATTCCTCGCCAGTTCTTCTTCCGACGCATAACTTGGATCATCCTCATTTGGTAGCAACTCAATGAGGCGAGCGGCAACACTCATAAATTCAGTTTCCTGCCCACTCCTCTGATAAACCACACGGTCAAGCCAAGGGACACGAAAACAAAACCGGAAACGTACAATTCGTTCTTTAGCCTCTCTGAAAGGCTTCGCCAAGATAACCTCCGAAGCAGCCGTCACCTCTTCCAACCTACGTTTCCACCCAGCTCCGGGAAGCCAAGAAGGGATGTGCTCCATAATCGGGAACTGATTGACCAAAAACCGACCTGGCAGAGTGACCTCGGAGAACCCTTTCACGGATAGCTCGGCATGAGCGATGAGGGATTTGTTGTACTCGTAATCGTCCACGCCATACGAGATACGGAGAATTATTCCCCCAAAGCAACTGAAGAGGATTGTGATAAGCACCGGTGTCCATGCAGACGATAGCCATGCCTCGTACTATCGAGTTTCCTGTAATAGCGCCTTTGGGTTATTCGCAATCCGTCCCAGGAAGGCATGTACCTCCTGTTCGATAATCGGTCTATATTTCTGGACTTCTCTCTGGTGGAAGAACTGGTGAAAGGAGCGTCGATGATCTCGCCATCTCTGGGAGTAGTCCATTGTGACAAAGTTCCAAGTGACGCGGATCCTGGTTTTCCGGAAGCGTGAAGAAAGGCATGACGCTGAAAGACATGTGGACATACATTTCATAGGCAGGTACGTATTGCCGGTCAGAGAAAATGGGTGCAGCCTTCTCCAGGAGATCAACGACAGGGGCTAAAGAGTTGAGAACTAGGATGGGGGAACCGAGAACTTCCAGGTAGATTATATCGCCTAAATATCGTTGTCAGCGGTAATATACTTGAGAGGATACAGTGGCGGCACACCGTATTGCTTCCCCCACTCCTTGTACACTTCCCAGTGACGTTCCGAGGGCATCTGCAGTAGATTTCCAAGAATCGGGAGCCCTTTCGGTCCTGGAGGCAAGGACAATCCACTAGGATTCCTCTTGCGCCTGCAGAGCATCCGAGCGAGTGATACCGCACCGAGGAGAGTCATAAATAGGACTGCCAGTCGATGTGAGGTCGTTAAGCGAAGAGGAAACACCGGGTCACAAAACGTCATGAAATAAGACATGGAGGGAAGAGTCTTTCGTCAAAAGTCGGGGATTGCTTAGCAAGGGGATGCTTATAATCGAAGCGAGGGGCCTTTTTGGTCACTTTTATAGCCAGGACATGGATGGTCGACGTCGATTCTCAGGACAGGGTCCGACCTCCATTGATACAGCGTTAGGGCTGTCTGGGAGCTTCGAGTTGAGAGAAAAAGACCATACAAGGCGAGATTAAGGTGGGAAGATGAGAGCCGGCTATCTGCCAACAGGACGAAAAGCGGTGTACGCATGCTGAGAAGGCGTTCTCCAGTCAGGCATTTGATTCGACGAACTGCCAACCGTCCAAGAGCACCGAGCACGGCAGTAATTTAGCCATCCGGTTGTGAGGAGGTAGCAGGCCTCCCTTTGAGTCATAAAGTGAGTTGCGAACGAAGAAGAGGAGACTGTGCCTACGTACTTTGCGGTTGACTTCGAGGAGCACTTCGGAAAAGGCTCTTTGAATTTCAACGCCAATGCGTGGGAAGGGCTTGAAGCGGAGATTCGATACAGAGAGTTGCCGATGATGCTGATGATGTTGCCGGTCTCCAAATCTTCGAGCGTCAGTCATTACTCCTCTGTACAACCCATTTCCCTATGCTCAGTACCCTTAGTATGACCTATCTATAGATCCGGAGGTCTACACTGGTCGTCTGGGTCGAATTGTGCTTGGATGATTTTGGCGGCCGCCTTGAACGGAGATTCCGCCCATTCGAGACTAGGGGTCTAAGTTGGGTCCACCAAGCCTTCAGTGTTTTAACAACAGAGCTTGCTCCAGTAGCATGCTGATCTATTCTCTGCTGAACGATGTGTCGATGTGGCGTCAAGACAAATCATACTCCACTCACAACACCGTCCACACCGGCCATTTGTCGCGGACTACCCTTCTGACTTCCAACATAAACACCCCTCTCTTTTCAAATTCAGCCACTTACAACTTCTCTCCGAGGAAGGAGAAGAAGTTATCCAACGGAAACTAAAGTAAACAAAGAGAACGACGACAACGAGACACCCGAGCACACGCCGCGAAGTTCGCTCAAGCTTCCGACTTAAACACCCCTGTCTTCTAAGATTTAGTTAAAGATCGTTACTTGCACCTTCTCCTCCTCCGAAGGAGTTATCCAACGAACACTGATGTAAATAGAGAGAATGAGGACAACGAGACACCCGAGCACAAGCCGCGAAGTTGGCTCAAGCAGTGCCTTTCTGGCATTGAGGATCCTGATGCTTGCTCGGGAATTTCGCTTGAAGAAGTTTGTTGAAGAAGTGGAAGAAGGGCAGCAATTACCAGCCGCTTACACATCCCCTCTTCCAGAGCGGAGAATCTGAACCTGTGGTTGGACTCTAGTAAGCCTAGCTCAAAATAGCGTACATATGCACATATGGCGTTTAGAACGGATTGTTACTTAGGGTCCCTGGTATTGCATAACCTCAAATAGCACACCTTCAAAGGACATAGCGTGCTTAACATGCGACGAGAACCGACGACTTCAGTTACACAGAACAGGTTACGTACGGCCCTCCCTACCCGGCGGCACTTTACAGTTTCAAATTACCCCGTGCAGAATTTGAATTGCCCAGTTAAACCGCGACTTTCCTCCATTGTCCTCGATCACGATGATTATCAGCAAAGAAACACCAGTAAAGTAATCGTAAGTAATCGTCCCAAATCCAGCACATCGAATTCCAGGCAAGGCGGAAGTTCATTAGACAACTCTGAAAGTAGGCTAATTAGGGTAGAAAGAAAAGTAAGGAGCGTCATGGGTAGTTGATTAAGTTGTGGTAGAAGTTTAAGCTTTAAGTTGAGCCCTAGTAGAAGGCCGTGACTATGACTATGTAAACTAGCCATCGCAGTGCATGATCGAAATCATTTGCATTGGGCGAGGAGTACTATGTAGTTCGATAAAAACACACGGAAGACAGAACGAACCAGCGAGATACAAATACAACGGCATCAAACTGCCGATAACACTAATAGTACACAATTATCTTCTGATGCACCAGAGTCCGCAGAACGAGAGAGGGAAATATGTTAGTGTCCAAAATCGCCAGAGTAATAAATGAGTGTTGAGAAATAAGTTATCGCAAGAAACAGATAGAGAGGAAGAAAACAGAAATGAAAGTGAGAAGGGAAGCGGTAAGAAAAGGTCAAGATCAGCCTTTCCGGATGTCCAATTGTACACCCGGGACCTGCAAGGCCAAATCCCTCGTGAACCAGGGATCCAAGATCATCCCAGACCCATAAAGGACAGCTGAAACGGACCTCAAGGTCTTATTCCGTGAAAGAACCATGGACGACAAGACCCCATCCGTCGACCAACACTGGTCAAGCACCAGCGATTTAAGGCGAGGTAACGGTTTCCGGCTCCCCTTGGCACAGGTGAGTGCCTGGAGGTGCGCATCCGTGACGGGAGAAACCATCCTCAGATGGGTGAGGTGATCCAAGAAGCTGGGCGAAGGAGCCGATAACGCATGCAAAATGAAATCTTGGGGCGGATGCCCAACATGCCCGGACGGCTCGAACCACACGAACGAGCGGAGCCGGAACGAGCCCTCCCCCGACGCAAGCCGCGACAGCGCCTCGAATGCCTCATGGTATTGATACCCGAACGTCCTGTTCAGGTTGAGTTCCACCAACCCCGGAACATCCAGCGCACCGAAAAACTCTGTCGGTTGAAGAAGGTGCGGGCCCAAGGTGAGGCTTCGCAGAGATGGAAGCTTTATTGACCCGCGATTGACGTGAAAGATCCCGTCAAACCCGACACGGTCGATTGAGAGATGGCGTAGGGATCTCGAACACCGCGACAGGATAGCAGCGAGGACGTCCCAGCTGATACGGGTATTGAACTCGATGGCGCAAAGTTGCTCCCAAGGAGCATCGACCCATGCCAAGTGATTGATCTGGGGGCCTGCGTATCGAAGGGAGGTGAGGTAAGGAGCGGCGTATAGCGACTGTTGCAGTTGCCACGAGGAAGGGAAGTTGAGCCCGAACGTGCGCAGGACCGGCAGCGGACGGTGGGCAACGGCTTGGAGAAAGTGGTCAACGGAATACTTGAGGTGGAACTCGACGTGCCGCCAGCGGTGGGTTTGGGAGATTGCAGTGTGTAGAAGGGACAGGACGACGGGGTCTGGGCCCGATCCTGACAGCGACAAGGGCTCGTCGAGACGGAGGTCTAGAGGACAGTGGAGCCCCGACCGATAGACCCAGCGATTCACGTATGTGATGTCGTCCACCCGCGGCACCGTGATCCACAACTTGGACCACAGGGTGGGTATGGACAGCGTGACAGCCCTCCAGTGCGAGCAGACGGCCCCGAGGACAACTGGGGCTGCAGCGACCTTGCGTGGGCCCGAGGGCTTGAAGGGGGTTGGAGAAGGAACATCGACGGCGTAGTCGGCTTGGAAATGGAGAAAGATAGATTCTAGGATCTCGAACGGGAGCATGTCGATCTTGCAGGGACCCATCGAGGGACCTGAGAGCTGGTTAAGCGGGATGAACCATGTCCATAGCTTGATTCCAATGTCTTTGAGCGGTATAGCTAGGGCGCTGTCGTCCATATTCGCGCTATAGTGCTCTCGTCCACATCAATACAACAATGGGAAGGAACCGCTCTCACCAGTCGACTCTCGCGTGCGTCACGAAACCTGTCGTGCAGAGTCCTCAGAGGACAAAATGCGATTATTGCTGGGCGTTGGAGCTCTGATTAAGTACTTGGGACGCCATGATCCCCGGGTCTTGTAGAAGCGATAAGTTGATACAAAAGAAAGATTCAACCAGCTGGGCGCGCTGCTGTGACCAGACACAGCCGCCAGCGATCATCACACCTGTGATCTTCTCCAATCTTTTGATTCTCCGCGACAATGTCGGCCGTCGGCATTGCCACGAGCTCATCACTTGGCCAGCCGACTCGGACATCATTTCTCGGCCGGCCAATTCATTGACGGTCGCTCCATTTGGTTAGGCTCCGGAGGGGTTGTTAGGGCGACATTGTATCCGAAATGGTAGTCAGGAGAGCGGAAGAGAGTGTGCGCGACTTGGACGAGCTCTAGTCTGAGTTCAAAGCTACATTCCTTCGAATCTTGATACATTCACACCAATAGATAGTCTCTGATGGACATGTCAATCTTGAAACTCCAAAGAAACCCCACCTGATAGCAGCCCAAGAGCAGAATCACGTCCCATCTGACTTGGCCATATGGAGATTGATTCAAACGGAGCAAGTTCTCAAGGCGAGCGATGACGTTGAAGTTCTAGGCACAAACTTGGCAGGTCTGCCAACCGCGCACGACTCGAAATGAAAAAGTTTACTCTTACTCTTTTCAACTTCCACCTTCCTCTTTTCGTCGCTCCAGCGGGCAGGGGGGACCATCTGGTTCATTTTCCCCACTCCATTCGGTTTCGTGGCTAGCGGCTTGCATTTCCTAAAGCCTATTCGTACAGGGTATAAATATACCCAGGGTCAAAGGCCAATCTCGAAAGCCAAGGGCTTGTCAACCGGTGACCGTTGTACACATATTCTCCCTTCGAACTCTAGCCAGCCCATCGACCCTGCCTTGTTCGCCTCGCCTGGAGTCTTATCTCTGTTTCCTTCCAGCTCAGCGCCTTCACCGACGCCAACGTCCACTCCTTTGACCTACTATCCACGCTCGTTACACTCTACTTTTCTGATACCATGTTCAAGCGCTTGCTGAGCGCGTCGCTGCTCCTCGGCGCAACCACGGCTCATCTCGCTGCATTCCATAAAGGAATGTATTGTCTCAACGTACGTCCTCTGACACCCGTACAGCGTGGCGGCCGCCTGACACCAGGCTTGTGGATATCTTCACCTAGGGCGTGAGCGGGCAAACCGACTACAACTCCTACGACATCGTTTCTCCGCTCTACCAACTCCCATTCAGAGATTGGTGGTGTAAGCCTTTAATACATCATCCACTCTTGTCCTCAACCTAACAACACATTACAGTCCATCACGTTAATAGAGTCAGTTTTTTCATTTCATCCACTTTCCCTCCGACACACTCGAGTTGAACTTTACCTATTCTTACAAATTGGATTAGTGCGACGAATTCCCACCAGCACCAGGAGACTTTCTCGATCTGTGAGCACCACCCCCTTCCTACCCCCGATATTCGAGCACCCCCATTGATCGCAGAGTAGCCCGGCAGGAGGATCCTTCATGGTCGAAATCGCGTCCAACCGCGCCAAAACCACGCTCTCGTATGGTGGACGCGATGCCTCCGACTGGCCCGATGGTAACCATTATCCAGAGGACTACGTACGTCATCTACTTATGCTTCTCTTACCTTTGATTATCTCCATCCGAGTCCATCCTGCGTTGAACCTGACGACGATCATCGCCTTTTGCAGAACGAACCGGGTTGTATAATCCATCCAAACAGTGAGTCCAAACTTCGCGCCTCGACCCTCGTGCTTGATGCTTGGAGCCTCGCGTTTTGAACCCCTTCAACTTGCGCCGGGAACATGGCGCTTGGAGCATCGAGCTCGAACATCGCACTCGACTTTGGAGCCTCGAGCTAGCACCTCGAGCTTGACCTTGGAGCATCGAGCTCGTACATCACGCTTGGAGCATCGAGCTTCGCAACCTTCCATCTCCAACTCTCAAAAACTAACTTGAACTCAACCTCCTCCAAGTGCACGCCCAGAACCAGTCTATGGCGGCTGGAACCGCGTTTGCTATTTCGTATAACGTGAGTGTTTACTTGCTTCGTTGTGTTGTGTTCTTCATCCTCGTCGCGAGTACCTACACACGCTTCATTCTCGTCCCCCCTTTCATCCTCGTCCTCCCTTTCATCATTGATTATCCTGCTCCGAGTCGTCGATCTCGAGGAAACAGAGTGACATCATCCCTTCCTCGATCGAACCGCCCAACGTTCGATGTTCGATGTTAACGTGTCGGATGGGCTAAACCTAAACTTTCTTCGACTTTGGATTCTCTTCAACTTCAAGTCCCATTCTTACACTTTCTTCAACTTGAACTTTGACTTTCTTCAGCTTTCATTCCTAAATAAACTCTCTCCACTTGTTTGAACTTACAACTGGCACTCCCACCCCCACTAGTCCGACATCAAACAAGTCACACCCGAAAACCTCGTCGTGTTTACCGTTCGCCACAAGTGAGTCGTGATCGCTAGCTTATACGTCCTCCTCAGAATCTGAACCTCTGAACCTCTAAATCTGAACCTCTAAATCTAACCTTCCGAATATGAACTTTCGAATATGAACTTCCGAATTTGAACGCGCCGACTGATTATTATATGGACGCTTATCACCGACTTCTACTAACTCCTCTTCTATGGCCACTTCTCTTCAATGTCGACTCCTCTTCGATTGCGACTTGAAGAACTCCCTGGAAGCGAGTCGTCTGGTACGACGTCCCCGCCGCGATGCCCGCGTGTCCCCCAGAGGGGTGCATCTGTGCCGTGAGTTTCTCACTTACCCGACAAGCGTATACTTGGGTATCGGTCTGACTGACTGGTCGCTGTTACAGTGGGGCTGGGTACGTTCTCATCTGCGTCTCAAGGTTTCGAATTGTATGACTCAACAAGTTATTGGGTACTTCTACGCTCTTGGAAACTCGATAACTTTCTCTCTATGGATATCAGGTTCCCAATGGGTACGTCATCCGTCCATCCCATCTCACCTCCCATTCCCGAACTTTCTCCCGCCTGCTCTTCCTCCCTATCTCCCTCTCTTCCTCCCTCCTCACCCCTCCTCACCCAACCCCCCTTCACCCAATCTAACACCCCCTCCCACTCCCCAGATGCGGCCAACCAAACATCTACCACACCCCCTTCCGCTGCCGCGTAACCAACGTCAACACCCAAATCAGCACCCCGCTCGCCCCTCCCAAGCCCCCCGTCTGGTGCGAAGACAACCCCGCCACGTGCACCCGCGGCGCCAAGCAGATGATCTACTGGAACCAGCTGGAGGGGAATAATATCTTCGTGGAGGGGTTGGATAGGCGGGGTGACCCGAAGAGTCCGGGGTATAATGAGAAGTGCGGGTTTGCTGATGGTGAGTACAGAGTTCTTGGATGCTTGGGTAGTGGTGATGTGTGGTCGTTCTTGATTGTGGTGATACTCGATGCGGGATGAGTGGCGAGGGGTGATGGGGTGGTGCCGATGGTGGTTCTTTGAACATTTGATCGGGATGGACGACGTTGGGCGCTAGCGCCCACCCTCCGCCAGGAGGTGGCTAGATGCGGAGCCTTTAATTGGACGGATCACTGATCCCATATCCCTTTCGATTCCCATCATCTAGGCGCGCAGAACGACATCTTCGCCAGCGCTCCTTCGAACGGTGGAAATGGGAACAACGGTGGTGGGAGTGGGAATGTAGCTCCCCCTTCTCAACCACCCGGTGGGTCGAGAGCCGATCCCAACGCCAACCCAGGCAACACGAATGGGAACACGAACGGGAACACCAACCCCACCGTCAACCCCGGAGGAAGCGGAAACGGAAACTCGAACGCCAATTCTGGCGGAAGCTCCAATCCCAACGCCAACTCTAGCGGGAACTCCAACACCAACTCCAACTCGCCCACACCCGGATCCTCGTCATCCTCCTCCTCGACTACACCCACAGAAGCGGAAGAGTTCGTGCAGAACGACCCACCCGCGTGCAGGGCCGATCAAGCTAGGCGACGCCGACGGGGTGTCGAGCAACGCGCGCTCAAGTCGGGAAGACATGGGAGGCATGCGCGGTCGAGGGTTTCGCATTGGTGATCACTGTCGTGGCTCGAGGGAGGGATTGGGGCCGTGCTTCGCGTCGGCAATGATTCTTATTGTGACGGAGACGAGCCTGATTTGTCCGCGGCTATTGTGATTTTGTTGGCGACGATCCTGATTCCTCCGAGTCCTCGTGGATCGTACTTAGTTTTAGTTCCCCTATAGATAGTCGTTTTGCTTTCCTTTCGTAACTCGAGAATTTGGTACAATACCATTCGATGGCGCTAGGACGTCATCTTTCAATGTGCCTTCCGTACTTGCACCTTTGCTTTTCTTACAATTGGCTTTTTTCGCAATTGGATTTCTCCTTCCTTCCTTCCAACAGCTCTCCATTCCTATACATACCTGTTGTCACATCTACCGTACCACCTACGATATCGTCACTCTGCCTTATACCTCCCACATTGCAATATGTATGTATGTGTGCTACTACCCTGCTTGTGCCCAGTGCCGGTGATCGTGGTGGCGGTTTTTGCTTTATCTTCTCCTTCATTTGCATACCCCCTCCTCTCCTCTTCCCTTTCATGCGTCGATACGCATATACCAAGACTTGCGGAATTATAGCACCGCTGCTTTTCGTCTTCTCTTTCACTGCCTTTCCAGGCATTCTCTGCTCTCAAGTTGTACTAGATTCCCGGTTGTCTGCCGTTGACCGACTCCCCATCAACTCTCCTGTAGGCTGTGGCCCTACATACTCACCACTGGGCTCACGTTCTGGATGCCACCAACGTCCTCAGACCTCAGTCACACTCAACGGTCGTACTCAGGCGCGCCCCGTCTTTACCTCAAGGCATTCTCTTAAACCCACCCTTACTGTCCCACAGAGCACTTGGGCCAGCCTGACCCGTCCGCCCTCTCCATCGAGCGACCCTCCTACCTCATCGACTCCCAGTTCGTCGATCATCAAAGACCCTTATACTTAACTGCACTCAGCCCACTCGGAGGTGTCATTAATGTCAGAAGAAGCTCTTGGTTGTGTACCTGGCAGTCCGAGCCGGTTCCCGGTTTTCTTCATTTCATCAAAGATCGACAGCTCCAGCTCTCTTGGAGACATGAACCTATTCTGAATCTGTCCACCGTGAGATGGATCTCAAGATCCAAGGACTTCCGGGCTAACTTGAAGGCGAGAAAACAACAATCCAAAGGTTCCCTGACGTTTTCTGTCCATCTCAACCCGGCGGCCCGCCCTTCAAAATGGGATTCCAACTGACATGGTATGTACGCAATATGTACGCCTAAAAATATCTAGGAATTCGAGTTTACTCGACTTCTTTCCCGTTCGTTTTATGTATGGCGTCTGGCACGCATACGCTGATTCCAGAATCCTGAAGCATACACCTCCCCTCCCACCTGGGTCGACGTCGATCATCGAACACGACCTGAAATAGTTCACCAGGTCCAAAGTGTCAAACAGTCAAAGAGTGCTTTATCACCAGACCAAGGCCGGTCCCAGCCCCTTCTTCATCCATACATACATACTGCCCAAGTACTTCCCGTTGGCAGTACACTTGAAGAAAATTCGAATCGCCGCCGGGCCCTGACGTCGATTGAACCATTATTTAATCAAGCTTCGATTAAAACGTGGTCCTTTCCAATGGAGATCGCCAGGATCCTGGGAGGGACCCGAAGCGTTGGCGTACCTGACGGTTTCTGTCATCCCAGTTGCCCCGATATGTAGGACTCGTGCGTTCCTTACCACCAGGCCTGACCCCAGTGATCGCCCTACTCACCGATCGACGAAGAGTGGAACTGGTGGACGCACGCGAGAGCCAAACCGGGATATCGTTTGAATGTCGTATTAGATTGAGCAGTGGGGGAGAGAGAGCAGTCTACAGTCCTACATGAACATAAGTAAAAGAAAAAGCCCCGATTAGTATTGCATGGTCTAGTCTATATAAATGATAAGTAACTCTATATCGCCTGGTTGGTTAAATACGTCGTGGAAAGCGAGTGACTTTTAGGTTTTTCTTCGTACAATGCAGCAGTAGCAGCAGCAGCATACCGTTGGCATAGGACACGCGACATACCGTCAGTATAGCGTATACCACAGCGGAGGTATAGCATACACCATACACCATGGGCATAGCATACACACCACCACCGGCGTAGCATACAACACACCATCGGCATCGTCCTCCCCATGTCACAAGGGTCGTTGGTTGGAGCAGCCAGCGACGGGTATCCAGTTCCCTCCCCTCTATCTATCTATCTCCACCAAACACCCCCCACTCTACCACGTCCTCATAGCCCGGTCGCTAGGAGAGTGGTGGTCCACTTATACGTATTTGCCAAAGAGGGGGATGAGCGATTGGGCGAGGGTGTACGAGAAGACGAGCTTAGGTCCAACAACAAGGATCTACACATGCGATCGTCAGCGATCCCGATAGAACACAGAGACAAGGCACACCGCAACTCACCTTGGGCGTCAAACCCTTAAAGAACGCCGTCGGGCCCTCATTCTTGATCAACTCCTTCACCACCGTGACGCCGCTAACCTTTCTATCAAAATTGGCGTTCTGAATCCTGGTCTTGACAACATCCAGCGGTGCAGCGACGGTGATCGAGGCAACCGCACCCGCGACGGATGCAATAAAGTTTTGGCCCCAAGTGGCCTTGGAGTAGTCCTCGACGCCAAGGACGTATTCTTTGGTCGCGGCCGAAGCACCGAAGAGCGCGAAGCTCCCGGGCGCGTTTCGGGCCATCGTCCAGCCCCAGCCGCGGTAGAGCGCCGTACCCTCCTCTGCGAAGATGCGGAGCACGCCGCGGCCGCGGAAGGCCTCCGGGTTCACTTGTCGCTTGATTTTGAGGACGTCGAGCGGGAGGAGGACCTAGAAATCAGATGTTAGCGGGCCGAGTTGGGAGATTTCACGCGTTTGGTGGGTACGTACGACTTCACCGATACCGGTCAAACTGGACGTGGGGTTTCGCGTTAGGACGTGTAGCGTCTTGACCAGGTTATGGAACGCACCTTCCAGCAGCAGCCTGCATCATCATCTTGCCCTTCCTCTCTCCAAAGGTATTGGTGAACTGCGTCTTGTAATGCTTGTTGATCAAGTCGTTGAACCAGGGTTGACCACCAAACTTGTACACTCGCTGGGCGACCTTGTAACCTGCGGCATATCCGAGACCAGGGAACAGAGACAGAATCCTCTTGCCGAGGGGTGCAGTGGCGGCGTCTCGGAAGATGATGGGCGACAAGTTTGCGAACGTGACCTGTCGAGTCACGGACATGTCAGAACCATTTCGCGGTGTTCGGTGAGCGTTGGCGGACGAACCTTGGACTTGTTGCTCATCAGACGCTTCGCCACGGTGTCCACGGGGTGGAAAATGAGCAGCTCAGCAATACCTAACACACCGTTTTAAAAACTCGTGAGCTGGTAATGACACGACGAAGAACGCACCTGAAGTCCCGGAACCCAGAATCCTGGCAGTGCCAGAGTCCTTGCCTGATGTTGGTGCTGGCGACATTTTTGGAGGATGTGTATTAATTGAGGAAACCAGGAAAAGGGCAGGCGGGACCTTGGGGGCCTTTTGAAGAGAGCAAGGTGCTGAGCAAAAAGTCTACAGCGCACCAGCGTGGCGCCCCGAAATTTGATCCCGGAGAAACAGGGCCAAACACGGGTCTTTTTTAGCGCTGATCCGTCAGACCGACCCTCCTCGTTCTCTTCTGAGCCTATGTAGGTGTAGACCGACATGGAATTGAGCGAGATCTCGTCTGCTGAGATGATAAAACGGTGGTATGTTTAATTCCCCTGATACCTTGGCCCGACCATTTTTCGTGACGACTCGCATGAACTTACTCCGCTGTACGAAATGCAGCTGTAAAACCGAAGTTGAACGGTGTGTTCGCTTGGAGTTCGCACATTTGGGATACATAGCTTTCAACGAGAAGCTATACCTCACAGCCCATTGGCATAAAAACCTGAAAGCAGTATACCATGTGGATCTATGAAAACGGTATTCTACAGCAGAGGAAAAGATGTATGAATGTCGACGGAGGTGAGTTGCTGGAGTCTCTAGAAGATCTTCGTGGCGAGGCCAATAGCGAAGGGGATGCACACTCCGCATGCAACTCCCGTGATGATAACCTACAGCGTACGCGTAAACCATGTCAGCTTCGAACGATGGTATGCGTGAACGTAGTGAAAGGGACGCACCAAAAGCTTCAAGGCGGAGGGTAGATGTACCGGTGAATGGCAGAATTAGCCTTACATCGAGAAATGAACCACGGAGACTGGACAGACCTTATGGTAGGTAACACTAATAGGTGCCTCACTCGTGGCCTTATAGAAGAAATGTCGGGTCGAATTGATTTCTCGACCGCAGTTCTAATAGTAGTATTCCATCAGCCAGCCATCCATAACCGTCGACCAGGTTCTTGGTATGTACTCACAATGTCCGGACCGTCACTAACGATCTCCTTCTGCACTACGAACTGCCTATCCCTGAGGTAAATCCGCCTCTGGGGGCAGATCTCCCGGTAGGTGACGCCGCCGTTAGAGTCTGCGTTGCTGTCGGTGTTCATCGACATGGGGTCGGCGCTAAGAGCGGTTGAGGGTATTGAGGCTGGGGGATTCAAAGGGAGATGTGGGTTGAAGCTCTGGGGAGGGAGGAAGGGGTTTTTATATTTTCTGGCCGACCTCACCTTGCCAAATTGGGGGGTCTCATGGGCTTCAGAACAACCTCCTCCTCGCGCTCCGCTGCTCAAAATGTTAGGTCCCCAATGGGATACTACTACTAATCATTGGGTTACCGTTGCCACCTTTAATGTGATGTCACGGTCGCACACCTTTGCAGGGACGTTTCTTCTCAGGGAAACCCTCACTGGTCGATGACACCAAAAGGGCAAGGTTCGACTCCGCCTCGAGGTGATGAGCCTCCCATTTTGGCGAAAACGAGACCTAAAGCTTACGCGTCGGTTATACTACACAGCCTTGCCCTGCCCATTTGCAGGCTGTCGCTCGTCCCATGGCTCAGCCTCAGAGTGGCACGAGCGCCCAAAATCCTTTCCTTATTCAAATCGGATTGAAATGATCACTAACGTTTAAAGACCACTTTGCTTTCGATTGTGACTGGGAAATGAATACACGTTCCACCACATCTAGTTCACGAACTTCGTAAAAATCTGCCTGCTATGTATACATGCGGAAAGTGTTCATTCGAAATTACTCGAGGTATTCAGTATATTGATCTGACATGTTCGTATCATCACACGTCCGCCATTACTTACCGTGACATACATACGTAGCTATAGGGAGCATTGATCACAAAATGATTAACAGACTGGATTCAGCGATAAGTACCAACGTTAACCTGTCCCGTCCCTGCACCCTGCAAAACCGACAGACGGGCTCCGAATAAACAGAACCTTAACTGGAAGATTCTCTCTGTGTGCACTCGTACGTATACGTAACGAAGAATATCATTCAGAGCCTCGTCACATCCCTATGACACACATTCCCCAACTTGAACGCGGAAACGATCATTTCCTACTTAACGCGGATGAGGAAGGCGACCATTCGCGATCCGTTGCCTGTTCCAATGAATTGAGGTAATGGGCGGGGGGCGATAGAGGCAATTGAATTGTCGGAAGTAAGTGTGCATGCGGTAAAAACTATTCAAAAGGGCATCAACGTCAACGTCAAACGGCGAATAATGTCAATTTCAAATACTTTGTGCCACAGATGCTGTGTGTGTGTGTGTGTGTGTGTGTGTAATTCAAAGGTCTGTGATTGTTTAGCGGCTAAACCTTTGCACGGATCTAGCGCACGCCTCGTGGTTCCTTGCCAAATCGAGTCTAACTGGTTATACTCGTATGTATCAAAAATGTTCCGCAAGGTATGTACATGATTAGTTCCTATTCCTACACACGAGTCATCGAAAACCTTTCAGACCAAACTGACTCGTAGTACTTACGTTTAGCAAGCAGTACTGGTGGCAGGAAGCGACTTACTGTTCTCCGATGGAAACGCCCTTCGAGGAGACAACAGAACCGCGGGCGCCTATTTTATAACGCGCTAATAGCTGCGTACGTCTATGTACTACAGTTGTCGCTTACACCTGCCGAGGTGTTGTTCCAACGGAGTCAATTATCCAGTCGCTAGCAATCCTGATTCCCCCTGCCTTCCTTCGACTCGAGGCGACAAGCGATAGCTGTACCAGAATACTGGTGGTGGGCTATGTAATAGGTACTGGTTACCTTGAAACTGAAACACGGACACACCCTAGCTATAGACAGAGGAAGAAATCACGGATATGTCGCTAGCGAATGCCTGACTCCTTGGCAAATAGCCTCGAGGTCACCGAAATGACATGGGCGCTTAACAGCGCCGCCCTGGTACCGACTAAATTCCTGGCTAAGGTTCTCGTACCTTCCTGTCAATATTTGGTTGTAGAAGCCTACTAATGTCGCGTGCCGCTCCGAAAATGACGAGAATGTCATGGAAAATGAGACGTGCGGAATTGCAGTTCAACAAGTTGGCGCCGGGCACCGGTTCCTGCTGCATCCATAATCCCGACAGCTGAGCCACAGCACTGGATGCGCTATGTATTGACAGATAGTAGTAAGTATGTAATATAATGGCCAATAGGGTTTACGGTAGGCGATCACTTCCCCATATGCATTGCAACCTTGCTCGAAGGCGAAATTGGAAGCCAATGGGCGCTTGCGGGCGGTCCTAAACAATTTCACCCAGATCGAACCCCAAACGGCAGCGAGTACTTTTGGGGGCCGGGGGCACGTTCATAACTCGTCAGGGTTAGATAGAAGATCTGATATCTCCTTTCCATTCTCACTATTCGCGATTCAGGGTGAAGCCTCAGAGTGGGTCGCTGTGAGAACAATGAAAGAACTTAAGGCCGTGGAATAGAGTACTTTGGTGCGACCCCAGGATAAGTGCAGTGCGGTTCACACAAGAGTCAAGGTGTACATTAGCATATGATCATCAAGCTACAGATTTACTACAGTGTCCAGGGCGAAAAGAGTGAGGGGTAGCATACCAGGATATCCATTTTGGGGTGGCTCCCTATGCCAAGGAAACGGATGGCCAACAAGAGGCGGTTCCAGATCGACTCCTACGTGTTGAAGTGGTACGCAACGTGGACGGCAATCGTAGACACGACACCGAAGAGGAAGATGGCGACTGTCGCAAAGGCCTGTTGGCGATGTGTTAGCTCGAAAACCCAGAGGCGAGGTAAAGTTTCAATTGGACGCCATACTCACAGCGTCGTTACCGTTTACGAGCCACCGCGCTAACCCGAGGGCCGCACCACCCTCACCTATACCAAGACCTCGATCCTATGCGTAAATGACGCGTCAATATTCAGTTGCGTTGTCGGGCTCATGGATCAACAACGTACCGTCGCGTCTCTGACTTTGACCCCTCCGCCGTTTGTATCCTTTTTTTCCTGACTCCCCGTGCGGTAGTTGTAAATGCGATCCGAGAATGTCTCCTGGCCATAATTGAAGGTCTAAAGAATGGGGAGCACGAGAGACGAGTGGAATATTATCAGTGGAAAGGAAAGGGCGCGCGTCGAAAAGAGACTGACTCTATCTGCAGAGGCAAAGTCGAGGCCACGGGTCCCAGCCTCCTGCCTATCACGAATGTAAACACTCCGAAGAGCGGATCTGTCCGCGAACGTAAATCCCTCAGACATGGTCTTTGGCAGGGTACCGCAGGGAAGACAGCTGGGACGGAGGAAGAAAGAAGGATGGGGCACTATGGATTTGGGGTTTTCCTGGCTTTAAACTCCCTGACGCAAGGCAAATCTGTGTGTGAGAACACGCCCTAAAACTAAGCTTTTGAAATCGTGATAAAAACATCTCGATCTGCCCTTCTCGGTGGTTCCGCGGTATTCTGAGTGTATGTAACGGAATCGAGAAGATCGCTTTGGGAGAGGTACCGTCATGTTTGATCCCCGCCAAAAAACGTGTAGATTCACGCATGGGATCTCACTGCGAGCAGAGTTGCAGTGATACCGTGCGATCGCGACGCGTGTCCCCGTATACAGTACCTTGACTGGTGAGGCTGGAGGGGTGCATGGGTTGCGAAGAAGTGGGTTCAGTGGAAACGCGCCGTGCGACGGTACTGTACATCTAGGGTGCGCGATGCTCAGCTCTTCCTTCAAGACGTGATAATACCTGCGGCCGGCCTCGAGGCGATGGGAGGGCACAATATTAGCTCGGTCTCAACGTCCCAGGTGATTGGACGCACTGGATTCCATTGGATCTTTTTGGGGTGGGGACAATGGTATTGGGCCCTACGCCGCGATAAAAACCCTAGGGGGAGTCTGGTATCTCGAGCCCTGAGGGATAGGGAAAGATGCACCGTTATCCAACTATCCACGATCTGGTGTGGGGGAAAGTGGCGGGATGTTTAACGGTTCAGGCCGAAGCGAAGAGAAGGGACGACGAGAACAGTTATTTTTTAGTAGTAGTTCGGCTGAGAAGGCGCGTCTTTAACAGAAGTGTGACTGCTTCTAGGGTCCTATTGTCGTGAGACGCCGTCCAACATTGATTCGGATGCAAGAAGGACAAGGGGTGCACAGGAAATACGTGCGCCCAAACAGGAAAAGTGTGATTCGGCAAGGTTTGCCAAGGGGCAAAGGAGTCACATTTCAGAGCCTTATGCGAGTTTCTGTCAGTTTGCCTGTCTGGCTTGATTGTTGGCAGGGTGTTGGCAGGGTTTTACAGCGGTTTTGCCGCTGAGGGGTCCCAACAATGATTGGAGATTCCGAGCGGTTTGTTCAGATGTTAACCAAGGAGGCTATTTGTTTACCAGGATTCCATACCTCTGTAGATGTTTCCTACCGTCTTACTTTGAACGTTGAGGTTGTCCTTGTCGTTCTTTTCCGTCGGCGTCGTGCAACCATAAGGTTGAGGAACAAGGCCCGCTTACCGCATCCAGCAAGAATCAAACTCAGAATGATGCCATCAAAAAACAAACCGGTCCCACTGGCTCGTCATGGTCATTGACTTTCATCCAGTCCAGGATCTGGTTTCCAGGTAAGTTTTTGTTTTGCTCAGAAACAGGACAGTAAAGAACCAAAGATTGCCACAGCATCTAAATGACAGCGACAAGGCTCATGCGCTGACCTAGAAACCAAAGGAAACAAGCCAGCGCTTTTTCGGTGCGTTGTGGGACTAGATTCTTGTTTTCAGAGAACTGATTTCGTTTTGCTTAGAAACTATCATGAGTCTGAGCTCCTTGAGCTCAATATGTATGCGGTGTCGCATTACCTCGTTGCGCACGAAACCCCTTGATTCATGGCTCATTCTGGGACAACGAGGCTATAGGGATTCAGCCGGTTTCGACTGGTCGCGCAAGCCTCACAAGCCTACACACGACAAGCGACGAGAACGTCCCGGAAATGCTGACCATGAACCCACTGACTGGATTCTGAACAGTCTTCGTCGACCGGACAAGGGGAAAGGCCACAAACCACGGCATTTCGAGGCGAAAACCCACAAAAAGGCTGATTCTCGAACTCACCATTTCCCCAAGGGAACTTTCGATTGGAACAAGCCTCGCCACCCACCTCCACCGAAACCACGGGGCACATTCAACTGGGACAATCCACCCAGAGGGGCCTTCATTCGACCCAAACCATACGTTCCACCGCCTGAAATCAAACCGGAAGCTGTTCCACGGTACTTCGAGACCCATGTCCGTCAGTGGTCAGAAAACGCAGACCTGCGGGGTCACCTCGTCGACTTTGGGATCCCAGACGGAGACCTGCAACCCCTCCTCGACGCCTTCGTCGCCGATGTCGAGTCAGGATCGCTCACCACCCCCAACAACTTTGCCAAATATGAATTGGAGCGCTTCTCCCAACCCCTCCAGATGCGCCAAAGTCTATCCATCCTCTACTCCACCATCTTCTACACGTGGGCGACCGAGCCGTGCCGACGAGACATGTTAGTGAACAAGTACAAGGTCAACCCATCGACGCTGGACCAGATGACGAAATTGGTTGAAGCGACCGACCGCCGTTACGTGGCCGAGCAGTTCGTCGAAACACGGCGTATGCAGCGCAAGGTCATCATGCACGTCGGACCCACCAATAGCGGCAAGACGCACCATGCGCTACGCGCTCTCGCCGCAGCACCCTACGGCGTCTACGCTGGCCCCCTCCGCCTTCTCGCACACGAAATCTGGGAACGCCTCAACCTCGGGCACATTGTCCCCAAAGGCGTCGAAGACGGCACATACAAAAACGACGACGCTCCCTACCTCAAGGCCCTCCCCCACTTCTCCACCCTCTCAGAACTCGGCAACCCGGAATACGCGCGGCTCACGAACATGATCACCGGTGAAGAGCAGAAAATCGTCTCCGACGAGGCGAAGATTCTCAGCTGCACGGTGGAGATGTTGAGTTTCCATCGGACGTACGATGTGGCTGTCGTCGACGAGATCCAGATGATCACCGATCCGCAGAGAGGGAGTGGGTGGACGAATGCGGTGCTCGGGTTGGCTGCGAAGGAAGTACACCTGTGTGGAGAGGAGACGGCTGTGCCGATCGTCGAGGCGCTGCTCAAGGACACTGGTGACGAGTTGATCGTCAAGCGGTATGAGCGGCTGACGCCTTTGAAGGTCGAGGAGGAGAGCCTGGGAGGGGATTACTCCAAGGTTCAGAAGGGTGATTGCATTGTGGTGTTCAACAGGAAGGGGATCTTTGCGGTCAAGAAGAAGGTTGAGGCGCTGACGGGCTTGCGGTGTGCTGTCGTATATGGGCGACTTCCTCCCGAGATTCGAAGTGAACAGGCTAGCTTGTTCAACGACCCGGATTCGGGGTATGATGTCCTCATTGGAAGCGACGCCATTGGTATGGGTCTGAACCTGTAAGTGCAACAATTGACCGTCTTCCGTAGCATAGTTCATACCCTTCTCAGGAAAATTCGACGTGTCATCTTCGACTCCGTCAAGAAATTTTCAGCTGGCGGCGAGTCTCTTCTCTCGATATCGCAGGTTAAGCAAATCGCCGGACGAGCAGGTCGATTCGGCCTTCACGAAGAGCCTGGAGGATACGCGACTACTCTGCACGAAGAAGACCTCCCCTACCTGCGAGAAGCCGTCGGGTCACCGTTCATCCCTCTTCCCTTTGCCCGTATCACCTTCGACGCCAACACGTTCAGCAACCTTCTCTCCGTCCTGCCACCAAACAGCTCCACTTCCACCGTCATCCTTGCACACCATTACGCTGGCCGTCTCCCGCCCAAGGTTCGCTACCAAGACACAGATTTCGAGCTGACGTCGACCTTCAACTTCATCGACGAATTCTCGGACACGCTGACGGCGAGAGAGCGCGTCCTCCACCTCAACGCGCCTGTGACTTGGCGGGACCCCCTTACTGTTGCGATGGTCCGTACGTTCTTGGAGCAAGCCCGCGATAAGATGTACGTCGACCTCCCTGCGGCGCTCAAAACGACGAGGTTTATGGATATCATGGAGGGTATCGAGAAGGAGATGAAGAACGAGAGTATTCCGCGGTCTAACCTGCGCGACCTCAGCACCCTTGAATCCTTCCACAAGTCCCTCGTCTTGTACATCTGGATGTCCTTCCGCGCACCCATCTTGTACCCCCAATTCCAGCTGGCGACGGAGCTCAAGGCGAGGCTGGAGCGGGTGTTGGAGTGGTCGTTGGAGGGTATGTCGGATGCTAGTTATATCAGGAAGATGAACAAGCAGGCGGAGAAGGGGGAGGAGAAGGTGGAGAAGAAGACGTCGAAACCTCATATTCCTCATTATAATACGCGGTTGAAGGCGAGAGAGGGGATGGCGGTGGAGACTGCTGCTGCTGCGGCAGCGTCGTGATCAACATAGACTAGATCAGCATAGACAGCATATTTTCGTTAACCCCCCATACGCATTCCTGTATCTTATTCGTATATAATGTCCTGTGTAATGCACCATTTTGCTTTTGAGCCCAGGCCTGGGGTGAGAGCGTCTTTCCTCTGCGCTATCCTCGCCTCTTCGAAGATCCACGTGCAGACTAAGGGGCACCGATTCACGATACATATCAACCGCGACACGTTTCCCTCATTCTCACCCAAAATCGTATCTACAGCATGTCTCCCTCAGGTACTTGGAATCGTTTGAGAACTGTAAACCTTTGAATGATGATTTTCGTGAGGACGAGTCGGGTTCCGGGAAGTCCGGATCAAGTATTTGTTTCGGGGGATACCGCCAAACATTGGAATTCTTCCTCTCTGTCCGCGACGTTGACCTCACCGTCTGCTCACCGTCACCAACGATGCTCTCGACAATTCAACGACGGGCTTGCCGCTCCTTCTTGGAAGTCTCGCGGTCGTTCTCGACGACGCCGAGATGGTCTTACCAGCACGACCCACTCCTCAGCGACGCCCAGAGATTGCTGGCAGCGTCCCAACCACCACCACCGCCGTCAACGCCCGTGCCGACACCGAGAGTGACGCCAACGACGGCGACTACAACGCCAGCGACGACGCCAGAGTTCTTCGAGGTCCCACCTGAGCGCGACCCGGTTCTGCATTTCCTGACCACGAGCGTCATGGACCACGGCCGCTACGCACGCGCTCAAAAGGTCATTTCGGAAATGTTGCTGCACATCCACACCCTCACCCGTTCTCCACCGGTGCCCATCGTCCACGAGGCCATCCGTAAAGCGTCCCCGGCTGTGCGCGTCAAATCCACCAAGGTGGGCGCACGGTCAATTGTGCGGCCTGTCGCGCTCAGCGAGCGTCAGAGAACGAGCCATGGTATTCGCTGGATTTTGGAGGCCAGCAAGAACAAGCCTGGTATCAAGTTGCAGCTGAGGTTGGCGAAGGAGATGATTTCGGTTATCAAGGGGGATAGTGCTGCGTTGAAGAAGAAGGAACAGGTTCACAAAGCTGCTATGGTTGCTCGGTGCGTTCTTGCCTATACATTATGGTGGATTTGAAGGCTGATATGTGGTTTTTTAGTGGAGCTTTGTCTGGACGATAGAAGCTACCTTGGCTCTTTTCTTACCCGTTGCAAAAGTAATCTTTGGCCCACACCCTATAATATACAGGCTCGTAATATTCAACTTTGGATGAACATGAGGGAAACGGATTCACCCAGGACGACCCGGTCATGGAGGGCGAAGTATGTACGTGGAAAGAGCGCTGGCAAGGAGAACGGAGGGAACCTCCAGTCTCAACGCACAAGGTGGAACGCCCTGTCACTGAATGACTCGAACTTCAGAAACAGTGGTGCACAACTGGCGTGATGTTGTAGACGTCGCAACGACTTTCAGAGCGTCATCTCCGACGCCTCACTCAGGCCTTTTCTAGCGTTCATCCTCCCTTGGGATTTTGGAAAGGAGCCCCCCTTTGCCGCTGAAGCCGGCCCTCTTCTGACATGCTTGACATACATTGCGTTACGACGACCACCAGGTGACCAACTTGGTAGCCGAAGGGTGTCGGTAGCCGTCTGTGCGTGCACTTTCCGACCTCGTGGTAGTCTCACCTCAATCTTCAGCTGGTTTCTGGACGCCTGCTTTCATCGAGCGAACGTTAACTTGTCGCTGTCGCCCACCAGGCCCCGGTGCGTCCACCCTCCCCTGCGATAATTACCCACTTTGTCCTTCAAAGTAGTCAGCTGACCATTGATTGAACCTCACAGTCGTGCCGATCGATGCTTCAAAACCACGCAGAGAAGTTTTTTGTCCATCCAAATAACATTCATCGCACACACTAATTATACACTACCACTCCATGCATCTATTAGCTAAGTTGAAGCCGAGCGCTTAGTACCATCCTCCAGCATGGTAGCCACCGTACCTGGGACCGCCGTAGCCACCACCGTAGCCACCACCGAATCCTCCAGCGCGGTAGCCACCGTAGCGGGGACCACTGAAGCCACCCACTGGTCGTGGAGCGAATCCGCCACCGAGACGACCTCCAGAGAAGTTGTTGGGGCGGTTGCGGCGGGAACCTTCACCTTGCGTGCGTTGGTTGCCGTTGTTGTTCTTTCGGTTGGTGGAGAGGGGGCTCTTGCCAGTGTTGGAGGTGACCTTCTTGTTGTTGTTGTTGGCCTTGTTGGTGGAAGGAGTCGTCTTCTTCTTGGCGTCCTTCTTGGTAGTGGAAGAAGAGTTCCTCTTGTTGGAAGTGGTCTTCGTGTTGGGCGAGCCCGAGGGCGACTTGTTCTTCTTGGAGCTCACCTGCTTGTTGTTGGCAGGCTTGTTGTTGGAAGAAGTGGTCCGCTTCGTCGAGGTGGACTTCTTGTTCGAGTTAGGGTTCCGCTTGGTGGTGGAAGACTGCTTGTTGTTGGAGCTAGTGCTCTTCTTCGTCGACAAGGACTGCTTGTTGTTGCCAGTGTTCCTCTTCGTGGTCGAGGTTTGCTTGTTGGCGGCAGACTGCTTGCTATTTGAGCCAGTATTCCTCTTCGTAGTCGAGGACTGCTTGTTGGCGGCCGTGGTCGTCTTCTTCGTGGTAGAAGACTGGTTATTGGTCTTTTGCTTCAAGGCAGGGGAGTTCGCAGCTTGGGCGGGTGTAACCGACTTGGAACCAGTTTTGGAAGCGCCCTTGCCAGACTTGCGAGCCTCGAGCTGGACCTCGTCAAACTCACGAGCCTCAATGTCAAACTCGTCGAATCCACGGGCCTCGATGTCGAATTCGTCAAATTCGCGGGCATCGAGGTCGTCGAAGTCGCGGACTTCCAACTCGTCGGTCCACTCCCTGGCATCGAGGTCCTCAAAGTCGAACTCGCGGGCTTCGAGCTCGAGGGAGGCGTCAATGTCGCGCTCGACGAGGGAGAGATCGGCGGAGGCATCCTAAAAAGGGGAATAGTGATATCAGCGCCCGGGTCGGGGAGGGTGGCGATCGATGATGGGACCTACCATGGGCAAAGCCAAGACGGAGGCGCTCTTGTAGGCGAGGACGGCGGCCAAGGTAACGAAGCTGGTGGAGAGACGCATTGTGATTTATAAAAAGAGGGTGAAGGGTAGGGTGTTGAAAACTAGGTGGGGGTCATCGTCGAGGTGAGTGGGCGCTCATGAGATAACGATGATGAGGGAGACGTACAGTGTGATAGGAGAGGTTGGGGGTGGGTTTGTTATTTGGGGTAGGACCAGCCTAAGTCTGCGAGGGGGAGGAGGTCAGTGGACATTGGACTCGAAAGAGGGGAGGAATGCGGACTCACTGTTTGGATGTGGGATGGGAGGGATGCACCAGGCACTCTGAGGAAATCCCAACTCGGACCCGCATACCTTTAAATAACCCTCGAATCTTGTTTGTACGAGGTTTGGTTATCTTAGGGCGCTGAATAAAGCACGACGGCTGGTCTGCGGGCGGAGCTGCTGTCCATCAGGGTACTTTCCATCATCAATCCGGAGTGTCCGCGAAGATTGAGTCGAGCACAGCCGGGCGATGGGCGTTGCTACCCTTTTTCACTGATCACGCGCGTTTGCAGGATTTGACATCGCTTTTTCAGCGGCTGCGATGGCGTATTGGGGTGACGGCCTTGCTGGGTTTAGAATGAAATTGATCCAGTTGCTGTCATTATCTTCACGGGCGCGATTTGCTAGGTGAGATCTATCAGAAGACAGAGAAGTACTTCTGAGGAAAGTGATGTCCTCCATCCGAGGTATGTATGTCTCCATACCATCGGCTCGGAGACATATCCTACAAAGTTCAGGGAATCCACTGCACTGCAGCCCACTGATATCTTCCTTGTAGTGTTGTCGAATTGCCCGAATGTGCGTCGCAAAGGAACCCACAGCCTCATTGATAAAAATAGCATGATCATATCTACATTTCGCCATTTTGACTGTTCCATCCGTTTCACCATCCATGTATCCTGATCATCCGACCTGGACAGCCCTCTAGTGTTCTACTCTTTCAGGAAGAGACCCGAGATGACTAGCTCAAGCAGCGCTCATGCTCGTTGGGCGGTGTTTATGACGAGATCGATCCGCGTGCAGATTAGTAATTGAAATCCATCTGGTGGAGGGGAAACCCTTTGGTAAAGATCTCTCGTTAGGATTTTGCAGTGCAGTTGCCTCGAGCCTTGACACCGGCGACCAAGCACCGCTGTCCCGTCCCCAGGCGGCCCCTTCATACCCGGCGGACCCGCAGATAGTCCTGCGTGCACACAACTTGGAACGCCCATCGCGGGGCTATGTACCTTGTTTGGGTCCGCGCGCTTGCTTATCTTTGCAGGTGTCTACAGCGGGAAGCATCGGCAAAATCCTCCATGGAATGATGTCCCGGGTATCGTGGAGTTGAATTGATTTCGGACTATAGGTCCACTGAATAGTCCGAAGTGGTCGCGAACTCGAGCGACTATTTGAGAGTAAAAATAGATCGCTGAACTCTAAGTACGTCTTCTCGGTGGAAAGGATCCCCAATGGCCTCAGAAAAGGAACTCTCGCTTAGGGGATTCGCGAAAGAAAACTTTGTCAGTTTTGATTTGATGGTGGCTCGACGGTAAGAGCCAACCGAGCGGAAGAAATTGTGATGAAGCAGGGCGGGATCCCAGCCATCAATTTCTGTTTAGGCTCTGGCTTTCCCTACTTGGAACTTCAAAGAAAATGGTTGAATGCGCTGGCAGCGCTGCAATGGACTGGGAAGCATAGGGAATTTCGCAGGCGCGGGGCCGCGGTGATTGGTTACCGAAGTCTGTGTACATATATACGTTGCGATGTTCTTTCGTATGCACAAAGGGTTGGGTGCCGAGGTGGCTGACTGTCGTAATCTTCGTCGCTGTACAGCGAGCTTTAGTCAACGCCAAGAGCTCTGGATCGGGATGAGCGGGCTACATATTATGAAGGGGAGGGCACCATGTACGTTAGATGAGGGGATTTTTACAGAGTACAGAGTCGTACATCAAATTACAGTATTATTGCTAAGGTATCTGAAGTTCGAAATGAAAGTAGAAGCGAAATATACAACGATTATTTAGGCGAGCGCGAAGTTGAACGTGATCTAGATGGAGAAGGCTCGATCCTTGTTCTAGTCCGTACCAACTCGAGACTGTCCAGCGGCGGAGGTTGATGTGATGAGTGTGGTGGATGAGTCGAATTGGTACCGTGTGACGTCTCCTCGCGCTCGCTTCTCAATCTTTCGACGTAGATGAAAGTGACCATAATCAGATCCGAGAGGTGGTGCTCGGAATCAGATACGTGGATGTCGAGGTAGGATGGTAGAGGACCGCCTTTGTGTTTTGGTCTCCAACGGGTCGGGATGTATTCTGCGACGAGAGTGTCGTCTGTTTTTGGATCTTCGTTGATGCTATAGAGCTACAAGGGTGTAAGGAGCGAGGAACTCGAGAAGGAAAGGGCGGTGAACGCACTTTTAGACATCGCTCGTCTAGCTCCCATCGGTATCGTTTACCATGAGTAGAGAATATCCGATTTCTATCAGAAAGGGAACATCAGAGATGCACAAGAGTATCGTAGTGACAAGAGCTTACCTTCCAAAGAAAGACCACCCTTCCTTCTGAAATAGCTCGCTGGCGGTGATCTCTTTTCCTCCAACATTAAACCGAGTCGAACGGATAGTATGGAACTCGATGTCGGCAAACTGGACCCAATGCTCCCTCGTAAAAAAAGGATGGTTTTCTGCATGTACGGGGGTATGTCCTGCACTAGTAGACGTCGCCGAGCGGAACTCGTAGTCGGATCCAGTGGAGATCCTACGTTCCTCGACGATAACATCGTCCTGGGGTATCCCAGAGCCTCGTCCATCGGCTTCTGGATGCTCGGACCATGATGGATGCGTTTCGAGGAAGTGACGCTCCTCCCAAAGCTGCCTCTCGGATGTGGGGAGGCTTAGATCTGGCAGAGAGCGGTAGATGATAGCGCGCTTGTGGTTAGGGGACTCGACCTTGTAGAATAGGCGCCCATTCTCGTCAGAGTATATGCTGTTCCAAGGGCTACGCGTAGATAGATATAGACGCATCTCCCAGTCTAAATAATGACTAGAACTGCGAACGGGGTTGTTTGGGGGGTGGGGGTAATAGGAGTATGGTCAAATGTGAAGTTCTCCGATGAACTCCTGGGTTTAAATTCCAATTCTACTGGGGCAATGGGCATTTTCGAGTCTGCACCGTTCTCGTTGCGTTCTAGATGCATTGGAATAGTCTGTGGAACGACTGCATTGTAAGCGCTCCAGCACCAGAGCAATTCGAAGGCCAATTAACGAGGCGCTGCTTTGCGAAAAGGTCTAGATTCAGCTGGAGCGGCCGAAGAAGCCGTGATCTTCCTTCAAGTTCCGTTTGATGGCCGGGTCCAGCGCTTGGATGGCCGATGACGACGGTGGCCTTGGCGCTGCTCAGCTTTATCCTGTTCTATCATGTCGCAGCGTCCTCTTCAACTTGATCGTGCCAATAATGCCTACTTTGTAGTGACTCTGTCGCAGTCTGGGTCGCTTTATACGTCTCCTGGGTCTCTGGCTGAACAACACCCAGCTCTCAGTTACGTCGGTCGTGTTGGAGAGCTTGAAGATACCCATGTCTATAGCACCCCTTTGAACCAGGAGGATGTCGTCAGCCAATTCCTCAAGGAGAGAAGAGGTGGAGGGGAGGGAATTATCCACATCTCTATCCCAGAGGAGACAGTACTGGAAAAGAGAAAGAAGAGAGACGAGTTATAGGTCAGTTGACCTTTAACGAACCCAATGAACCCAGTTCTGACATACATTATAGATCCATAGCGAGAGTTTCTGCATAGGAAGGGAATAACGACTCTCAAACATGTATCATTACAATGATCTCGAATCGAAATATTTGTACTTGAAGATTCATTTGGTTCGGAAACAACCTGGTTCACGCTGATTTGTTCGTAACAAACTCATCGAGTTCCAAATTCGTTACGCTAACAGAGATAGGAAGAAGATGACAATAAACCCCAGTACAAACAATGTGGAACCTGAATTGAAAACCCCAGTGTAAGAGAACGAAATAAAAAATGGGAAACTAATCGAACGAGAAACCAACTGTCCGCCTCCTGATTGACAATCCTTCACGACGACGCCTGGGCAGGAACTGCCTTCAGCACGGGAGGTTCTGCCTCTGCTTCATGTACCGTCTCTCCAGAGAAGAACGAATGATGCCGCGTTGTTTCATTGGCCAGCATTTGCAAAGAGTGCAGTTCGGCAGGTACGCGGTATTTCATGAACGCGACAAAGGTCACGACAATCATGTCCATCACCGCTAACCCTTCCGGCATGATCTCCAGCGAGGCCTTGCGAGAACGGGATACTATCCCAAGTTTTGCTCTGCGGTACCTCGCCAAGGGCATCATGGTTGAATCTGCGAGCACCAGCTGGGCAAGTTGGTCAGTCTCTCCGTCACTGAAGAACCATATGTCATGTTACTCACGATGGGAGATTGGACAAACATTTGCCAGACGTATTTCCGGCTGTCTGGGCCTACGAATGCCCAAGAGCTGTGGATATATCCGTTAGCAACTGGCGCAAGCAATGCCGATTGGACTCACTTTTCGTGCACCTCCAAAGCACGGACATCGGGCTCGCTGTCTGTCACCGGCGTCAAACACTCCGATTTCCCCTCCTCTACCACCTGGACTCTCTGCGTGCCGATGTCAATGTGATAGTCCCCCTCCAAACATAGGCTTATAGCTGAAGCGCCCTTGTGTAGTGCATGTGGGGTGATGATTCCGACTTCTGTCTCGACCTGTCCCCTTGACGGAGAGAGATTGTCGAGGCGGTAGATGGTCGTCGTTCCAGTTTGTTCCAAGGTATCGAGTAATGAGAGCTGGCTTCCAGGTGAAGAGCTACCACTTGTACTGGTGCTCGATTTAGACGAGGAAGTTGAAGCCTTCCTCGTTCTTATCGCGTATAGGGGCTGTCCTGATGGTGACATCAACACCGTTGCAGAGGGGTCGTTGTTCACGAGGTAGAGTTGTAGCTTGGACATCGCGTCGAGCGGTCTTGATTGTCCGGTAACCCCACTAGTATCACCCTTTTATACCATAGCTCGGGATCTTCTTGTCGGTGGTGCTACACGAACCAATGAGACGAGAATAGGTGCTGTGGAATTGGCTTCTGGCCTTGCGATGATGACACAGCTCTCACGCCCCTATCATGTCTAATTGCCCACTACGATCGGCCCGACTAGGCTCTAAACACGGTTTGAAACCTACAGTCTAGGCGAGGCATTTCGATTGTAAGGTGTATTAATGGGACAAAGTACAGCCTATTGAAAGGAACGAGATATGTATGACGAGTTTAGTAAGTGTGCATCATTCAAGGCTAGTACCGCAGAACAGGCCTACCTCACTCGGAACTCAGGCCCAGGCGCTGGTGGAAACGAGAGCAATGTATAGCACAGAAAGATTAATTTATTTGATACCCCATATCCTATGAAACTACAACAACACAAACCATCCACGAAGCGTTTAATCGAGCTCGTCAAACTCGAATGAGCGCTCCAACATCTCATCCTCGAACGATCGCTCAAGGAGGTCCTCCACGTCCCGTTCATACAGCTCTCCATCAAAGTCGCGCCCCATCAGTTCCTCGTCGAAGAAATCCCTCCCGAAGAGCTCAGTGTCGATATCCCGTTCGAAGAGGTCGTTGTCGAACAGGTCCCGCTCGAACACGTCAGTGTCGATTTCGCGCTCGAGCATCTCTTCGGCAAAGTCAAGGGAGCGCTCGATGGGCTCTTCGAGGGATCGGGCGGCGGCTGGGGGCGGGGTTGCTTCACCACCGGCGGGAGCGGGAGCCGGAGCAGCACCGGGTGCGGGTTCACCACCACCGCCAGCCTTGCGAGCGTTCTCTTTCGCGGCAGCCTTAGGATGCACAAGGTCACGGAAGAATTTACTGTTAGAAAAAGAGAGGTCAGATTGAATGCGAAGGTGAGAACGGAGCATAACGTACGCAAACTTTTGCATCAGGTTCAATTGCTTGGGCTTCTCAGCTGGAGGAGCGGCAGCGCCCGGGGCAGGACCTCCAGCAGCGGCGGCGGCAGGGGGAGGAGGCGGAGGAGGCGGTGCATCTTGACGGGCTTCGACATCATCCACAAAGTCCCTGGCGTCCAAATCGAACTCGAGCTCTCGTTCCAAGAGTTCCTCGAGGTCACGGGTGGTGAGTTCTTCAATGTCTCGACCGAAGAGGTCAGAAAGCTCCTCTCGACCATACAGGTCGTTTAGGACCTCGACAACAGCACGGCCAAAGAGATCGTCTTGTGTGGCAACGTCGCGACTGTAGGGAAGAGCCATAGGTCAGATCCACGGGCGCTCTCCCGCCCAAACAGACGAGACTCACGCATCGACTTCCTCGACGAGAGGGATAACACTGGCAAGGGCAGGGGCAGCAACGGCGGCGGCGAGGAGGACACGGATGGAGATTTGAACCATTCTGAGTGTTCTTGAAAGTTTAGAAAGTCGGAGGTGTTGTGTTGTAAGTGCTTGCAAAGGATAGAACAAAAGTAAGTTGGGGGCGGGACTATACGCTCAGCGTTTCGTCGATGGAGGAAATTGAGACCAGCTCAAGTTGCCAACAAGAGACCGCAGGGGCGAGGTTTATATCGGATCCATGAGGCTCGGATCTTTTGGGGTGTTGCCGGTTGCGGGCGCTCCTCTTGGGCTTCGTCAATCAATGAAATGATGGGACCACAGCCTCAGTTGCCATCCCGCACACAGAAGGCGTCCTCTTACCCAGACCCAGGACCCCCGAAAACCACCTGTGAGGTCTTTTCTCAGGAAAAAATTGATATCCGGATTTCGTTTTCGAGACCCCTCAGTGTGCTTTATCCGGACGCGGAAAAGACCTCGTACCAAAAGTAGGGAAATATCCGGATTTTTGGAAAAGACCTCAAAAAATCGCCCAAAATCGCCGCAAGGCAGAGAAAAGCATGTATTACAGTATTAGGGCCTAGGTACATTCTACTCAATCATTGTTATCCTCCCCGTCCACCTTGGGCTGTTTGTTAAGAAGCTCCGCGGCCACTGTGGTGATTACTGCCGAATTCCGTCTGACATCTTCCAACAACTCCGCGCTTCTCTGATTCAAATTGAGCCCAGTCTAGTCTAGTCCACTTAGACCTCTATGAACGTCATGTTATATCGTTGTTTGAAGAACGCGAGGGCATTTATTGACATCAGGACGACCTTCCAAAAGTACTTCAGACCGTGATGTTGAAAAAGAATGGTAGAAATGAGTCTCGATCCTGGGACCTTCACATACAAATGCTGGGACAATTACACATAGACTATCAATCCTCATAGTGTTGTAGTCGAAGGGGGAAAGGTTCCTACACCGCCCAAATTTTGAAAATATCCGGATTTTGGAAAGGACCTCGACCTGGCGAACGTCGACTACCCGGATTTTCCCCAAAGACCTACCTGGCCCGGACCCCCCCTTTGTATCCGGATGGGAAAACACCTCTCGTCTCAGGACCCCCCGTTTATATCCGGATTTTCAAAGACCTCATAGGTGGTTTTCGGGGGTCCTCCAGACCCTTGGCCCTCAAACCCTTCTGAGATGGTTATCTGTCCCTGCCTCCACCCGTCGAGCGGCCTCGCATAAATGTCGATCAGTGATGTTTCTCATGAAAATCAGGAGGACAGTCCCCGAGGTTCTTCAACATTGTCCTATACCCTCACCGTGACTTGAGGTCCATACTTCACTTCCCCTCACAATCATGAGTCCGTTGCCCACAGTGCAAATGCATTCTTACAGGGCCCCGATTGCAAATTTAAAACACGAAAAGAGATTGATTTTATTTAACCCCAAATCCCATTACAACCATTACAACATACATACATCCTCCGAAACCGTCTAGTCAAGCTCATCGAACTCGTAGCTACGTTCAAAGAGCTCGTCTTCAAAAGCACGCTCAAGGAGATCATCAACGTCGCGCTCATACAATTCTCCATCAAAGTCACGCTCGAAGAGGTCCTCATCGAGGAAATCCCTCTCGACGAGTTCTGCATCAAAGTCTCGTTCGAAGAGGTCTTCGTCGAAGAAGTCGCGCTCCAAGAGGTCGGAGCCGTCGATCTCGCGCTCGAACATGTCGTCAACAAAGTCGAGGGAGCGCTCGACGGGTGAGTCTTCGAAGGCACGGGTGGTGGGTTCGTCGGCCTCCTTGTCCTCTTTCTTCTCAGATTTCTTCTCAGATTTCTGGGACTTCTTAGTCTTCTTGTCGTCCTTCTTCTTGCCCTTGCCAGAGAAGAAGTTCTTGATGGCGCGACTGGGGGAGATGATATGTTAGCATCAGAGTTGCCCAGACACGAGGACGAGGGAGACATACCCCATCTTCTGGAACCAGTTCAGTTTCTTGGGCTTCTCCTCCTCATCCTTCTTCTCATCCTTATCTTTACGAGCCTCGACCTCGTCGACGAACTCACGGACCTCGAGGTCATCAGCGAAATCGCGGGCATCGACCTCGGCGAACTCGAGCTCACGCTCCAAGAGTTCTTCAATATCACGGGCGGTGAGCTCCTCAAGATCGACATCACGTCCGAAAAGGTCGGCGAGCTCGTCTCGGCCGTAGAGGTCGTCCAAGACCTCGACGACGGCACGGCCGAAGAGCTCGTCCTGAGTGGCAACATCGCGACTGCGTAAGGAGCGGTGTATTAGCACTTGGGCGCTCACATTACGAAACTCAAAATGAGGACTCACGCTTCGAATTCATCAGCGGTGGAGACGATGTTGGCGAAGGCGGGGGCAGCAATGGCAGCAGCGAGGAGGACGCGGATGGAGAGTTGGACCATTGTAAAAAGTTCGTGAAAGATGTATAAAGAACGGAAGTGGTGGTTGTAAGAGTTTTGTTTAATAGGATAGACTTGAGTGTAGGGGCAGACTATACGCTCAGCGTTTAGTGTGTAGGTGGGGGATTGAGACCAGCTCAAGATAGGATCAGACACCACAGCGACGAGGTTTATATACCACCCACACGCCTCGGATCCGGTGCGGTGCTATCGGCAACGGGCGCTCCATTTGGTGTTGATGGATGGGGATGGATCTTCGGCAAGCCACAGCCTTGGTTGCTGCTGCGCAAACACTATGTGTCCTACAGAACCCTCGCTTGTCAGCCATTGGCCTGGGATTTAGTGAAGCTGCATCACTTCCTCAGGTGTCCTTTTGCACTATTGGCTACTCAGCCACGGTGTCCGGTACTCGCGAACACATGCCAGAAATAGGCATGCCATGCCCGCAACCTGCATCTGAAACTGATGAGTCTTTACGCTGGTCAGCTTGATGGGTGGATACCAATCTGGGGGCGTGACCTTCCAAGACCGAGAGGCCCTTCACCGTCCACGACGACATCGGCGGACCTGAACAGCCCACGCAGTCCCACAACGTGGCTTCGGATAATGATCAATCATGCGGACGGGTCGGTGCAATGTTCCAATTTCCCAAGAATTAAAGCACGTATTCCATTTCTAAAGACTAGTAGATAGTTGTAAGTTATGTGTATCACGAGCACACCTTGTTTCGTTCCTCTAGATCTATCGTCACGACGAGCAGCCCAAATGGCTGGATTTGCTGAAGTCGCCAAATTCCCAATTGAAGCAGTCCTGGAGGTCGAATTAATGATAGCACTTAGATGATTGACGGAGAGGACTAACCGAACAGACCCCATCCTCCCCTTCAACGTCTAGAGCAGGTCGAGGGAGGGGAATTTCTCTAACTTTGCTCGGTCCATGGGCACGGTTCATCTTCCTTCCCCAACTTGGCCAGCGAGCCAATAATGCCCAGAGCCCCTCCTCGCTCTCCTCCTCCTCCTCTTCCGTCGGCGTATCGGGCTCTTCTTGCCATTCCGAATTCGGCCCCAAGAGTTTGTCGATCACAAATTTGATTCCATGCGTTCGAATGTCGACCGACCAACCCAGACGATTCACAGTGTCGAATCGTATGACTTGGCCTAGATGGCATCGAGTTTCCATCGCGAAGCCTCCAAGGGCGCAACTTGAGGTGACGCCGTTGCAGATGCCCATAGCGATTGGCTGTTCGGATTTGGAAAAATCAGTTTCCATTACTACAGGTGTTGGAAGGAACCTACGTCGGCGGTGTGGTAGACGTGCGTGACGTGCTGCGTGGAAGGCTATGCGGGCGACGTGATGAGTGGATCAGTCAATATCAAACTAAAAGTGCAACTCACCGGTGACGGCAAGTGTAATCGAGTGGCTGCGAGCTTCTCGGCGGGCGCCTCGAACGCGACGACTGGAACACCGAAGGTCACTCCAATCAAGGAGGACATTGCTCCACCCAGAGAGTGGCCGGTGAGCCAGATATTTGCGTTGGGATACATGTAACTGACATTGTTGTAGAGGTTCTGAAAAGGCCATTAACACGAAATTCCAGAAGGCGCATGGTTGAGACCTACCAATCCTACGGGGTAGAACAGATCATCTTTGTCGACGAGTGAGCCTTCAACACATCTCTGGTCACATTTATACGACCCTTGGTAGCAACCACAGACCGTGGACCAGGTCGGACCAACACGAGCGCAGCAGCAGGAGAATAGGAGGTTGTCATTCAGCTTGTCCTTCCCCGTACTTGGACCACCTCCGCCGACGAGCCAGCCAGCCGAAGTACCCTTGATAGCAATCACCACTGTAGAGTTATCTGTCGACACAAATACGTGCCCTCTCATCCCATCTTCCCCAGGTAACCAGCCCCATGGTGATGACTGTAAAGAAGCGATTAGCAAGGATAAACGAGTCACTGAGAAGCCCAACCTTACCTTATCCCAACCATGGCCCTCGACATCGTACCAGTCTGTCGTATTATCAGCATAGTAAGCGTTGTAGGCCATATTCGCGAACTGAAGCAGTGAGTTCCGGTCTGTTAGAGCTGGTCCTGGAACTTCATCCTCCCACCATTGGATGTTGGTGTCTATTCCCTGCAAGCGCCGGCTGTCTCGGGCAGCAGCAAAGTCGGCATTCGACGATGGTCTATGCACTTTCATGCGCTTCCTGGGTATCGTATACTGGTTCTCTGCAGCAAAGCCGGTCGACGGTGGCACATCAGCGAACACAATCCGGGCGTCTGTGGTCAGGGCATGCTGGTGTCGCAGCTGGAACGTCAAAGGCGCTAGGTTATCGTAAGTAGTCGTTGTCGTCGTCAAGGGCGACGTCGTCGACGATGACAGGTAGGTCGTTACGAGTCCCAGCAATGTCGAGGGCAGCCCGAGCAACATGGAAGACGACAATCCCTGGTACTACGGCTGCAGCAGCCAGAGCTTACCAAATTCAGACTCCGACGGTCGCGTTGTGACACGTGCCGGGTTTGATCGGGGCCTTTAAGTCTCCCACCTTCCAAGTTGCTCTTGCGCTTTTCCAGTATCGACCAGGTTTCCTGTGGCCAATCTTCCGAATTATCGACTTCTTCGGGCTCGAATACTGCACCTAGGAACTGGGAAGCCAACGCGTATAAAAACCGACGTCTTTCACCTTACCGACCTGGGACAATACATTCTCTTCGCTGAATTGCGCAAATGAATAGGCTGTAACCACGACTCCCACTGTCCCCATTGGTTTACATTCTCGTATCCAGTGACCAGCGTTAAATGTTGAAATGGACACGATGCAATCGTACATGGGGAGGCCTTGTCTCTTGACTCCTTGCTCCAACGCCACCCCCCAAAATCAACCTCCAGACCTATATAAACCCTGCTACAATGATAGCCCCGTTCCTCAATCGTTTATCTGGAGCCGATAAGGATGGATATCTCTGGGGCTCAGAATCTACTTAGCCGTTTCCAGCCATTGCTCTCCAGTGCTTGGGAGATCATTCCTTTCACGAGCACGATCGTTGCGGTAGCTGGTGCTCTTGCACTCGTATATCTGGCCAAGCGCTCCCGACTACCTCTCCCACCAGGTCCCCGGAGGATTCCACTGCTCGGAAATGCCCTCCAAATCCCATCAGAACATCCTGCAGTGGTTTATAACGAATGGGCGAAACAATACGGTATGCCAATCCCCACTCGCATTGGACGACTGTAATCGATCCCTTCTCTCCTGTCTAGGCGACATCATGTATCTCGAAGCCATGGGCCAACCCATCATAGTACTCAACTCCCTCCCTGTTGTGGTCGATCTATTGGAGAAGCGAGCGCCCAACTTCTCCGAGCGCCCAGCGACACCTGCCTTTGAGATGTATGTCACAACTTCGTTTCGGTGGACCACTGTACTCAGACAATCAAATAGCATGAACTACAACTGGATGTTTGGACTCATGAGCTACAGTGATCCATCCTGGAAAGCCCATCGCAAGACGTTCCACAAGTTCTTTCACCAGTCCGAAATACCCAAGTACAGGCCTATCCTGGAACAAGAAATGCTCGTCTTCCTCCGCCGTCTATCCAACAACCCTAGCGCTTTCCATGAAGAGACTCGTTCGTACTTTGGGTCTATCATCATCCGCATCTCGTATGGCGTGAACGACAGGGATTACAACAACGTCCTCACAGAACGCGCTGAACGGATTATTAAAGGATTCTCGGAGGTTGCACTTCCTGGAAACTATCTGGTCAACATATTCCCGAGTCTCGCTTATGTTCCTGCTTGGTTCCCTGGAGCAGGCTGGAAACGAAGATTGATGGAGTTGGCTGCGAACATGAATTCGGCTCTCCTCGACTCGTGGAGCGACGCGAAAGAAAGAGTGGTGAATGCCTCCTGGGCCACGATTGGGGAAACCGCTCTCTCAAATCTAACCGTGATAGAGGAATGGATACCAAAGCGAATTCCCGAACGTTGCAACGCAGGTCATTGAGGCTTTGCCGGCCGAAAGTGATCCCAGCTACCTAGAGGAGGAAGCAGTAGCGAGGAATAGCACAGTGGTTGCATACGTCGGTACGTATGGGTCACTGCCATTGTGCTCTATTTCAGTTACTGACGAAAACCATCTTTAAGCTGGGGCAGATACGGTAACCCATCTACAGAATTCGTCACAGGAAGCGTCGACGCTTACATGAACTGACTTCAACTTGCAGACTGTCAGCTCCGCCCATGTGTTGTTCTTTGCTCTAGCATCTAATCTAGAGGCTCAACGAAAGGCTCAAGAAGAACTCGACGAAGTAGTTGGAGCAGAGAGATTACCCATGCCTGAAGATATCCCCCAACTCCCGTATATCCAAGCTATTGTTAAGGAGCTTTCCCGATGGCACACCGTCGCACCGCTCTGTTCGTATTCTCTGCCCGTTCTCAGCCAAATTGCTTACCGAACTGCGTCCCGTGCTTCTGCAGGCATTCCCCACGCCGTGAAGGATGATGACGAGTACCAGGGTTACTTCCTTCCCAAAGGAAGTATCGTGTTTCCTAACACCTGGTTCGTTCGTCCGTCGTTGTTCAGGGTCCATTCTCTCATCTCTTTTGCTAGGGCTATCATGCACGACCCGAAGGTGTTCGAAGACCCGATGAAATTCAAACCAGAAAGGTACCTGAAGGATGGAAAGATCAACCCAGACGTTCGGGATGCTATAAGTGACGGATCCTTCGGATACGGGCGTCGGTGAGTTTACTCCCTCCTCTAAAACCCGAAAGCTCAGGAATATGGATTTCCTTCTGCAGAGTCTGTCCTGGGAGATACCTCAGCAACGACGCGCTGGCATACTTCACAGCCTGCCTCCTTTCTGTTTTTAACATCACTCCTCCCAAAGACGAGAACGGGAATCCGACGCAGATGCCTGAGACTCTCGAGGTAACCTCTAAGGAACTATTGTCGTACGTGTCTAATACTATGAGGTTCTGAATGAATTAACAGAATGGTGCTAGATCCCCTCTTCCATACGAGTGCGACATCACACTTCGCTCTGCCCGACATGCCATCCTCTTCTCCGAGTGAATATGACTCTTGAACCACCATGTCTAGCCCAAACGTTTGACTATTCCGAAGGGATAAATTAGCGCTGTACACCTGTGCACACATGAAATGCAGCGCTCGCGCGACGGAAACCGCCCAAAGAGAACATTAATAAAGAACAGAGATAAGAGGACACGACGTATTCTGTCTCGATAAATCATCTACGTTGATTCGGCGGTTTGGCAATAGGCGCGCTTCGAACAGCCCAGAAGCCAAACTCCAATAATCGACCCTCCTCCGTTCGATGATTGGGATGGTGCTTGCTGAACAGAATCTCAAAAGCCGCGTAGCCTTCGAAGAGTTGGCGTCTCGTCGTCCTCTTTGCCTCGTTCGGTGTATCCCCAGGCTGATCAGGATCCCAAACCTTTCGAAGCTTGATGTACCCGGACGAACTCATCACCCCCTCGTACCCACCAGAACTATCTGTGGAAAGCGAGGATGCAGCCAGTTTCAGCGCGGCGATGATACCTGGCGACAGGGAGTCGTGCGATTGGAGGCCTGCGCCCTCTGCGAAGAACTTCTTTTGTTTCTCCGTGAAGGTGAACTCTCCAGCGGCGCGGAGGGAGACGTGGTAGAGCTTGACTTCGTACGGATGCTGTGGGTCGATAGGGTTCGCTAGGACGATGGATGAGAATTTTCCTGTTTCTTTGGGCTTCGAAGGAGGTTCCCCTGGTAAGCGAACACCGGTGGAGGGGATCTGGATCTGGGCTGTCCAGTCTTTCTCGGCCTGTAACAATATGATCTCGTTGTAGAGACCTTCATAATCTGGTAGCGCGGCCACTCTCTTCTTTGGTTTCCAGCTCTTGTTGGTCGCCTTTTTGCCTTTACCCTTGCCTGTGGGTTCGAATGGTTCAGACCGCTTCTTCCCAGTGAAGATGTCAGCCAAGAACTCCAGCGACATGGCGTACAAGTCGAAGTTGCCCGTGAGGTCATTGACGGCGGCCCCGTAGTTGGGAGATGGAGTTGCGTCGGTGACGGTGTCGGTTGGGCTGGTTGGTTTGGTCGTTGGAGAGGTCGCCTTGATGGACGGGCGGCGGGGTCGGACCAGCCCAGGTCGAATGACGATGGGCTTGATAAGTCTGGGAGGTATACGGACAGTCGGTTTCACTAATACAATGAACACACCGTTACAGGGGATTCATCTCAAGAAGAGGAAGAGTCGTACCTGTAGCTTGCGCTTTCGAGGGTGACCTTGGCCTAGTGGTGACGGCCGGTTTAGGGTCGTCTTCCGTTTGGACGGCTACGAGAAAAGGCATATCAGTGACCAGCTAAATGTGAGTGTATATATTCGACAGACCTTTTTCCTCAGCTCTGGGCTTCTTCCAGAGAGCCTCCAGCTCGCCAGGGTAAGCAATGATGCGAAAGCCTGCTGAAACCGGGGACTTCTTGGGGTCCCTGGTTCCCGCTTCAATTTGTATCCTAGCCTTCTTGCTTCGAGGTGGATACTGTAGCTGGCTCGCTTCAATTGAGTCTGTGCGCGGGCGTTTTAAATTGGGAGCAGATTTCTCCTCCGAGTCTTCAACCGCGTTCGCCTCGGGACGCTCGATGGGTTCCTGTTAATCGGTTAGTTCTGGGCAGGCAGTTTTGAGTGCTTCTTGCAGCTCACCGTGGTGGATGACATTGTTTAAGGTGTTAAAACATTCGGGCGCGGAATCGCCCTTGAACAATACCTCGGTGTGGTCCAAGCAGTTTCATGCATGTTGTCGCATCACGGCGCCTGGATTAAGGAATAGGTATGTATTAGTTGTTTTTATCATCTGTGGCACTCCATAGCAGGTATAAAAAGCCAGACACGAGCTATCCTTTGTGTCAATGGTTGGTTGAGCACAAATAACCAACGGGTCGCTGGACAGGGGGTCGTTCTTCCATCGTGGTGAAGCATGGGATGCCGCTTGATCCGCCGCATTCGGAATTTGAATTTCGAGCGCTTAAGGCCTTGGGCCGTCGACGACTGCCAGAGACGACGCTGTATGCTCACGTGTATGCTGGGTCCTGACGCATTGACGTGGATCAAGGCGCAAACTCAAATGGACCGCCAGCAAAGATAATGCTAACGTTCGACACGGCCTACTCCCGGGGACGTCTTTAGATGTAGAATCGGATTCCGATGATAGCTGTAGATGAATAGACTACGGATCCCATTGCTACATGCGAGGAGCCGCCCTTGAATAAAGTCCGTATTAGAATATTACCAGCGCCATTTTTTCATTTTGATCGCTCAAGGGTGCGCTTTGATGTCACGGTACCAACGCTAAGGTACATAAGACGGACAACTGCCATAAGGAGTCGATATGGCGACACTCCCAACCGAAGACCCGTCAATCGCAGCTTTTGTCCACGCTCCGAAGAACACCCTGCTCCGTCTCGACCCTTCAGGGCCTCCAATCGCAGTAGATGTGGTACTGGACTACAACCAGCTCCGAGAGACTCTACTAGTAATAGACACCTCTACGACCGACTACGTTCTCACAGTGTCCCGAGCGGACTGGACACACGACAAGTTCAACTCCGTCTTCGAGCCCTGGCTCTCGCCTAACGGATGCCACGGACCCATGTTCAACCTGGAGGATATGGCCAAATCGCCCGAGTACTGCGAGGCGGTGCTTCGAGGTGGGGGTGAGTCTTTCCTCGAGACGCTGCCGGATGAGCTGCACGACTTCCAAGAGCGCGTTTTCGGTAGGCCGCGTGTTAGAGTCTGTTTGGGTTTCTTTGGCCGACCCTCGTTGTCTATCTTTTGTGATGACGACGAGAGATCGGAGATGGGTCTGTGCACTAAAGGTTGGATGGCCTGGAGGATTGCGAGCATGGCGTTTAGGGCGATGGAGGAATTTGTTGTGGAGAAGGAGGAGTTTAGAGGGTTTCAGCCGGGAAGGTTTAGGATTTTGGGGATGTTGCATTTGTTAAAGAAAAAGGTGTCTGTTCCGGTGCTCGTGTACTCGCTTCGGAGAGTCTGATTCGCAATGCTCGAAGTTGAGTGTTGTCGCATCTCCTTACACAGAATCACCCTAAAAAGTGATTGGCGAATGTATATGGTATTAGGTTGAACTTGATACAATCTGCTTAACCCGTTTCAACGGACGGATGAGCTACGATAGACGCCACAGGTGTCGCAGGTTAGCACTTGACGATCATGCCACCCACTTGCATACGTTATTTCTGTCTGCCCAGCCCAGCCGAAGTCGATACTTCGGGAGAACCGTACAGACCGCAGATCCCATTGTCAACCCACGGAACCCTTGGTGAGGGAGGACACACCATTGGATATTGAAGGCCGTTTTAGGAAATTCCGGCGCTTCTTTGATCGCTTTGATGTGGCATCCGAAACGCTTTATAACGGCTGGAACGCCAGAATTCTTCTTTCCTGCTCACCACCACTCTTCACTCTATACTAGTCACGCAGAAGAGTGAATATGGCGACGTTTCCGACCTACGAGCCGCCCATTGCGGCTTTCGTGCATGCCCCGGAGAACACACTCCTACGGCTCGACGTATTGCAGCCTCCTACCGTCGTAGGCGTAACCTTGAACCGCGAAGAACTGAGTGCTCTGGAGTCTTCTACTCTTGATTATGCTGTTACGGCCCCTCGACATGACTGGACGTACGACTTCAAGTCTGTCTTTGAACCTTGGCTCTCGCGCAACGGATACCACGGACCTATGTTCAATGTGGGAGATATGGCCCAATCGCCTGAGTACTGCGAGGGAATACTTCAAGACGGATACGAGATATTTCTTAATACGATACCCGACGTGCTTCCGTCCTTTGTGGAAGAGCTGTTTGGCAGTCCGTTCATCAAAGTTTGTCTCGACTTTTTGGGAGCCTTTCAACAACCTTTGGAAATATTTTGCGATGATGATGATGGGAAGATGCGTACTAGGGGATGGATGGCGTGGAGGATTGCGAGCTTGGTACTGGCTGGGCTGAAGGATCTTGTGGAGGAGAGGAAGGAGTTTGAAGGGTATCAGCCAGAGAATTTTAGGATTTTGGGGATGTTACATTTGTTTGAGTATAGTTTGTCTGTCCCGGTGTTGGTGTACGCACCTCGTAGAGTTTGAATGTTCGAAATGTAGTTTCCGTTACGACTAATTAGCCGATGGGAGTGTGAGCGATTGGTCTAAGTTCAGCTGAGAAGTCACGATCGTCTGTTGACACGCAACACCAATCAAGGAAGGTTATGCGGTATCTGTACCCATCCCGAACGCGAGCAAGTAAGTCTCAGCGGGGATGAGCAGGCGCCTCAGGTGTGGCAGCGTCGGGAGGAACTAGTAAAGCCGTCGGCAGAGTGGCCACTCGCTTTACCAGTGTCGCTCGAGTTTGTATACCTTGGCGATGAACCACGTATGGTGGGACTAAGAACCAGACGCGAGTCGCTCGGGTATCGCGTACACGGGAAATTGGTGTCACGCTTCGGGCCCGTTTGTGAGAGGGTGTTTCGACATCCACCGAGCAATCACTTGCGATTGATCATTGCGTAGGCTTCGATAAGAGGGCGGCGGTGACGAGGGGCCCAGGCTGGTTTGGCGCGGTATTGGAGGGATAGTGAGGTGGGTGTCTATGCCACGGTTGGTAGCAAGCGGAGAAGAGGAAGCGGCGATTCAAGGGATGGACTTGATGACGTTGACGATGAGAGCCACGGGAGGGCGAGATTGAGGAGAACTGTGTTTAGAGGATGAACCCGGGTTCCGGTGCTGGAGAACAGCCTGAAGTACGATGTGAGTAACCGAGCGATAGGAAGTATGTATTTCCTCGTCAATTTATTTCTCTCGTTTGAACGCTCGAGGCTGGAGTGAAGGTGGGCTCTCAGACACGGTTGCACGTATAATACGGATACAATACCTGACAAGCCTATTGGTCGATGGGTAGCCCAGTGCCAGCGTGCCTAGAGGCTCGATGCTGCTGAGCAATGGCCTTGGAAACGTGTATAGTTCGAACTTCGACCTAGTCGGGCCAGTAGATATTTGCCAACTTAGCCACTGGTGCTAAGTCGTTGGGCTGGTAAGGGGTTAAATGGGACAGTATTATCGCTTCGAGTGAATTGTCATCCTGGCGTAGAGAAAACGTTAATTCATTGCGCTTTTCGACCAATAAACAAAAATGCCAGAAATTAGCGGAATAGGCGGCAATTTCTCATCGTAGGGCCCGACACACTGACCTGACCAGTCATAGAGCCTTCAGCTTCACAGCGAGTGGCCAAATTTGCCAAGAGGGAGATGGTCGGGGTTGAAACTGGTGATCGGAGCCTGCCAGAAGGGCGAGGTTTCCAAATCCAACGCGCTTCCCGCTGGGTCGCCGTTTGATTTCTTCCCATCACAATATACGACTCTCGACGACACAATTTACAGCTTTTCGCCACCGCGACGACGCAACGACGATGAGCATGAACTTTACAACGACGTGGACGTCAGTAGGGCGATGTAGCGAACCAGAGAGAGCCGCCTACCGACAATGATGCATTGATGACTCGAATCGTGATTTTTCGTCCCAAAACGCGAACGATGAGCTTGGAGGGTTGCTCGCCGTGCGCTACAGCTTGAGGCGGTGGAGACGGGTATTTGATGCTGTTATACGTTAGGCGAGGTCGCTGTCCTTGAGCGTCTTGAAGCGGATTGGAAAGCAAGGGGGAAGCGGGTGAGCGACGGCGCTAGTTATGGTGCGTGTATTGAAGTTTCTGGTTGTAAACTGCTAATGATCCTCTCTATTCATCCATAGGCTCGCCATCAAGGGCGTGTCAAGGCTGCTTCAGCGAGGCCCTCATCCTAAACCGTTGCAGCGCCGGCAGCAGCCTGACTTCAGCCTTGATGTTGAGCAGGGCGGGTTCTTCGTGTCTGCGGAAAGCTTGACTGCGGTTTCGTTCCGGGCGAGCTTGAGGTCCGCATGCACGGCGCTGAATGTCACACCAATTTGAATGGCTAATGGTCGCCTCTGCAAATGAGAAGATTATGCTTCCGTTGGGTAATTCTCGACGAACCAGGTGCGCTTTCGGTTGCTCGACTTGAGGAGGTTGGCTAACCTTCCGCCGCTAGTTGTTCTAAGGGCTTTTTCGATCTCCTAAGTCGTGAAGGGAAACACCAAAAGGCTGGCAGCGACGATGCGTCTCCGTGGTCTACTTCGGGAGGCTGCAGGCGCTGCCATGGTGCATGACACGGCGATCGACTTCGATCATCTCTGCCTCCCATAGGGCGCATATCTGTGCCCTCGTGCAGCTTCTGCTGTTGCTGGACAGGCTGAAGTGAACCATAGGGTCGTCGTTAGTGCCCTGCAGAGATGGCCCTGGGCGCGACTCACAGCTCGAGCCGTATATTGCGATCCCTTTATTGGGCGACGACGATTGGTCCGTTCAGTGTCCACAGTACAAGCACTGTCCGACTTGACGCCGCAACGGCGGAGCCGCTCAGTGTCAGCGTGCTAGAGTCTGTCGAGCTATGGCCTCCCGTAAGTCCAGGAGTCGAGAGTTCAAGAACATCGACAGGGAACGCACTTGTCTGCAGGACCACCACCGCCCAGCGATGCGCCCAGCATCACCCAGTTTCCTTGACGCCAAAGGTCAGCCACAGGTTAGTTCATGCCTCTGTCCGTCCACCCCTCTCTGACGGTTTGGCCAACACAGGAACCCATGTGAAGCTGAGGATGGATGGAGAGGGCGCGAAGTTGTGAGATGAGACCAGTCTTGCAGACCGCGTGGCTTGGTAGAACTAGGAGCGCCTGGCACCGTACACCGCGAACTGTTGTCGCTGAGTATAACAATGTTTGCAGCGGGGCGATGGAGAGAGGGGTGTATGCGACGTCGGGCAGCTCTGGTGGGGTGCAGGCATGGGCGCTCGACGAGTCTCTTGGAGCCAGGTTGGTCGACATCGATGGGGCCTAGGGAAACTGACCAGGGTGAGCATGAACTTTTATTGAACGGAGAGTGGGTTGGAGCGTCGCGCACAGCGACTCTTCCTACCTTCCAGCTCAGCACAAGAAGCTCGAGGCATAGCCCTTGTGGAACAACCACCAGTTGTTTAAGGCCGCCTGTCGAGCTGATGCTTCTGTGGACTTGCTGGCTCAATGCCTACGCCACCATCCCAGTGGGCAAGCACCGTCCACTCGGCTGAGGTGGAGGATGTGCGCTTCGTCAGGCTTCTGCAGCAAACATTCTCCATTCTGGTAAGCACCTCTACGTCCTCCTCTCCTCGAACGTTGGCACTCACGCACTGCTCCCAACAGGCTTCCCACCCCCATGCCGAGTCATCGTCGCGCACTGCGATCCCAAAGGATTGAACGAATCTCGATCGCCGTTGTCCCCAAAGCAGATTCCCGCCCATCCATCGGGGATTTTGGCAGATATATCCGCTCTACGGGCCCGTCGCCGCCTTTTGCAAGGTGGGCGGCCAACTATCTCGATATGGGTTGGACCGTATCTGATTCTGAAGGCAAGGTTTCCGATTTTGGCCCCTGTTGCTGTCGCGCAAGGTCCCCGTTGATGGTCCTTGCCCTTCAAGTCTCCCACAGAATTGACTCAACCTTCTCCTTACGGCAAACACAAGAGCGCCTTCATTTTCGTTGGCAGATTCATCTCAGACGTCAGCAAGACCACCGCCATCTCCTTCCCCGCGCCTTTCACCGTTGGCTTTTCTGCTTCTCCGTGGTTCAGAGCGGCCTCGAGCTACGCTGAAGCCCGTGGAAGGAAGGGAAAGAGCCGAGTCATCGACTTCATGTTGTTTCGTCTGGAGAGCGAAACTCTCTTTGGCTGGGATACCCCCCAAATCGAGATTGGGGCTACCGGCAACTAGGGCGATTGGTCACGGCCCTGAATCGACCAAGAACATTCTTCGTGTTCCTCTCAAATTTAGAACCTTGGAGCCTTTTTTCCCTTTCCTCCTTCGTGCGACGCCCGTCGACCTTATTCTTTCTTTCCTCACGACGCAAGCCACGACACCACCACCGCGTCCAACCACCATCTACTTCCCCGCCTTCCGCCACGCGCCTCCGCTCTTTCCTCTCGCTCAAATCTACGCTACGCCTAATTTACAGTTACAGCTTCATATTGCATTCATTTCATTTCTCGAACTTTCCGCCATCGACACTTCTTTCCTCTCCTTTTACACCCAATATGAACACCCAAACAACGCCCATCGCTCTTCGACGGCGAGCTTGCTCGTCTGTCGCTCGTCGAGTCCGCTTTGACTTGCCAGATCCAGAGGAAGAGGTCCAGACTGCCAGCGACAACCTGAAGAAAGAGCCGCAGGTCTCAGGCATCACCATCCATCCATCATCAATCGTTCATATCTCTACTCACCATCGACGAGTGAGATTCGATGACCCTCCCAAGCCGGTACACCTCAAGAAGGTCGATGACGTGTTGGCGGTAAGTGGTTGGAGTTGACGTTCTTTTCGTGGTTCTTCCTCTGACGTGGCTTCAAGAGAGCGATTGAATCGAAGCGCGAAGGCGAGCTAGTCTTCAAGATGGTTTACGACGTGAGTTTGCTTTACTTGAAGATGTTCTCTTACAGCTTCACTAACTCTCTTCTGCAGCCCGACCCTATCGAAGACGATGATGACGATTTGGACGATGGTGACGATTGGACGGCCTACGAAATCGACCGCCTGGATTCTGGTCTTTCTGGTCTTCACCGTCGGCTGATTCGCGGTTGGGTTGGTGTAGGTCTTCACGGCTATGTTGCTTCGGTACTGCTGATTAACTAGCGTTTTCAGATCTTCCAGGGGACTTTCAGAAAATTTGCGGCCTTTGCTTCCTGTAAAGACATCACCGTCTAACCGACTATCCGACACAACTAACAAAACTGGAACCGGGAGGCATGCCTACTGGGACCGCTGCACATACCATATCACCCCTGGCACCATCGGATCGGACCCAACGCACTTGCTCAATTCCGCTGTACATACCAGCCCGCGGAAGCTGGATCGTTTGACTCCTTCCCCATCCTTGCCCCCCTCGTTTCTTCGTGGACGCCGCCGCAATCGATGTTTTCGCTGTCGGTTCCCGTGTACATAACAGACTGCCCGACAGGCTGCTTTCCGCCCAGCTCGCTTGGAAAGTCGGGTCGTGGGCCCTTGACATCGTCTTGCAGTTGTAGAACAGCTTGACGGTGTTCTTGGTACGTTTCTTGGTGTAGATTGGATGGACTGGTTCACTCACTCATCTCTCAATCACGCAGGTCTTCTCTCCTCGCACTTCTTCTCTTCAGGTTTCTTGATGCTGAAAGCGACCCGCCTGGGTTCCACTTTCGTTCTTCCTTTCGTCTTCTTCGTTGCTTGACTCGCTTTTCTTGACGGGGTTCTTCGTATCTTCACGCTTAGATCTCATCACGCTCATTTGCTTTCAGTCATTTTCACGCACATATAACAAAGGATTGGGGTTGTTTCTTGTTTCTTCGCATCTTGCTATCTTCGCAGTATTGCTTTCGTTGCTTTCGTAGTCACACACACGCGCACAAGACATGCTGGTGTCTTCAGGACGTCTTGAGGACGTTCTTGATGCACACCGTTGTACATATAGTCGAATTCACAATGTTCTTGTTTGAGGGTTTGGGCTTGGGGGGGGTTTCTTCGCTCTTCGTTCTTCGTTCTTGGGTCTTAGTCTTGGATATTGGAGAAGTGATGGCCTCTTGGGGACTGTTGAGGATCTTAAAGCAGACATAGGGCTTTAGATGAGGGAAAGGGAAAGCATGTATTCAGGAGAGGTATCGTAAAGGTGGGTAAAGGGGGGAAAGGAGGGAAGGGAGGCCTTGCAGCAGAGCTGTTCGCTGGCAATGCCCAGCTGAGTAGACGATAGGATGAAGAAGGAGGATGGCGTTAGAAAAACGAAAACCGCTGGCGACGCAAGAGAAGAAGATGGGCGGGAGAGTCGTCGGGGGGAAGAAGCAATGAATGGGCGTGTGGAAAATGAGGCGCACACGCGTTGGTGTGGCGTGCAATGAGTCGGTTGGGTTCGGTTCCGGAGTCTTTGGTGCTTTGTGTGACGTTGTATGGCAGAGACGTTGAACGCAAATATCCGGATTTCGGGGATGTGGGCGCTTGGTGGGTGGTTCGAACTTCGCGGGTTCGATGCTGGGTGGGCTCGCTTTTCGATCAACCCGTGGCGGTCGGTGAGTAACCTGAAGTGAAAGTGTAAGCTCAGGTGCCAGATGCTCACGGGAATCCGATGTTCCGACTATTCTTTTAATGCTTTGAGGGTACTCATGGATGTGCAATGTACGTCCAGAGCCCTCACTCTGTCATTGACATGCCATAAGGTAAAGTAATCGACAATGCTTCAACTGTCAAGAACTAAAGCAGTCCACAGGTACATGTACCGGTGATCACAGAGAAAACATATCGACTGCCACTTTCGTTGCATCTCCCGAGACTAGCCTGTCCCGTTGGGTTGACTCGGCTTGGCCTATCGGAAACCTGCCGTTAGTCCTGAGGCCTCGAATGCTGGAACTGGTTGAAACCTGTGCGCAGACTCTAGGGATGTTCCACCGCGGAGGACCCAAGCTGGACTCTCTATCAGAGCCCGGCAATTTCGGGAGGATCGTTCCTGGATGTTTAATAACTATGCCGTGACTGTGGGTCCCTCGTATCTACTGTCCCTGGAGCAAGAATGCACACGGTATGTAAACATGGGCGCGTTGTGAGCGCAGAACTGCCAGAAGAAGTTTAGAACTTTCCGTCATCGGCTTCCGACCTCGTGGTTAGACATAGTAGAACCTACATATAGAGAGGCCCTTGCAGTGGGGTCTGGCGCCCACACCAGGCTTCTTCCTCGTCTTTCCCCATTCGCGCCTCAGTCTGCGCTCGCCAGCCATGTCCACGATGCTACAGTCGATACCGTACCTGGGCGACTTGTCCCTCGACTCCATCCTCAATTGGGACTTCTTCTCAGAGTGGCTGCATTCGCCTGGACATGCGACTACCCGGTCTGCTATCCTCGTAGCGATATTTACGGGTACTCTGCTTCTGCGCTCTGCTATTAACCGCCGGAAGAGGAACCCTCGTGGTTTGCCATTGCCTCCTGGTCCGAGACGCTTGCCACTCGTTGGGAATCTTTTCCAAATTCCGTCGGTGCACCCGTGGGCCGTGTATGATAGTTGGGGGAAGCAGTATGGTGTGTGGCGTTTTCAGTCTCTCAGTTATTTTGCGGATGCTCACAGACGTTCTGCAGGGGATATGATCTACCTCGAGGCTATCGGGCAGCCATTGATGATCATCAACTCGGTGGCGACTGGGACTGAGCTCCTGGAGAAGAGGGGTACGAATTACTCGGACCGGCCAGGGTCAACGCCTGCATTCGACATGTGAGTCCTATCCTTTGCGTCCTAGCCTGTTCGCGTTCGCTGACTGAACGAAAATGATAGCTTGGAGTTTGGATGGATGATCGGATTGCTGAACTATGGTCCTGAATGGACAGGACATCGACGAGCGTTCCAGCAGCACCTTAATCCACGCAAGGTCCACCTGTACAAATCCATCATTGAAGAGGAAGGTTTAGTCTTCCTTCGACGGTTGCTGGCGCGTCCAAAGGACTTTATGGCGGAAGCTCGATTGTAAGTCCACTGTTCAGGCTGTCGCTGTGATTGTAACTAACGATTGGGCAAGGTACTTTGGCATGGTCCTCATGCGAGTTTCGTATGGTTCGACGAATGCCGCGTATAATGCCGACCTCATCGAGAGGGCAGAAATGGTCGCAAAAGGGTTCTCCGAAGCTGCCCTCCCTGGAAAGTACCTCGTCAATGTATTGCCCTTCCTCAAATACGTTCCGGCCTGGTTCCCTGGCGCAGGATGGAAACGAGATTTGCTCAAGATTACCCAAGTTACGAGGAGTTTGATTCACGATTCGTTCGATGAAGTCGTGAATCGAGTGGTGCGTTTGTTGAAGTTTTTTCGGGTTTTGTATCCGTGTTCTGACGATACGTGTCTTCTGAGCAGAAATCTGGGAAGCAGAGCCGGGAGTACCACTCTTTGGCTGGTGGATTAATCGAGGACTTCCCTCCAGAGAGTGATCCTCGTTATGCCGAACAGGAATACATTGCTCGATGCACTGCTGTCGCTACTTATGTCGGTGGATCTGATACGGTAAGTCTTGTATATACTAGTAGCAATGTTGGATTGGCGTTGATAATCCTCGAAGACCGGTGGTACCTCGCAAGCGTTGTTTGTTGCTCTTGCAACGAACCCGCATTTCCAGAAGCGTGCTCAAGCAGAGATGGATGCAGTGCTGGGCCCTTGCCAGCTCCCCAAACCCGACGATGTCGCTCGGCTGCCTTACATCCAGGCTCTCACGAAGGAGATCCTTCGGTGGTTTGTCGTTGCTCCCTTCGGTATGTTGCATCCCAGGAGCAGTGCTTCTTCATCCTACTGACTCGGTTGCTCCTGTAGCCCTTCCTCATGTTATTAAAGACGACGACGAGTTCCGTGGACATTTCTTGCCAAAGGGAACTGTTATTTTCCCTAACCTCTGGTATGCACTGTCCACTCTCATGCGTATATTAGGCTCTTGTGAACTAATCGTCACACCAGGGCCATGCTTCACGATCCAAACACTTTCGACACCCCTATGGAGTTCAACCCCGAGCGATATCTCAAGGACGGAAAGATCAACCCTAACGTTGTCGATTCTGAGATCGCTGCCTTCGGTTTCGGTCGTCGGTGAGTACTGGTGCTTTCAATGGCTCACCTTCACTAAACCTCGTGTTACTTTCTTTTGAAACAGCATTTGCCCCGGTCGCCATCTCGCCCTCGACTCCCTCGGCTACATGATCGCTTGCTTGTTGGCCGTTTTCAATGTCAGTCTACCCAAAGACCAGTACGGCAACCCCGTTCCGATTGATATGCAGATTACGTCTGGGATGATTGCGTGAGTTATTCAGTAAGACCTTTAGGTTGAGGATGTTCGCTGATGTGCGGTAACTTGGACAGCGGTGTTCTCCCTTATGAGTGTGATATCGTTCCTCGTTCGGAACAGCATGCTGCACTTGTGAGAGACCAGTAGGTCGATCATGGTGACGTTTGTATCTTTTATGACTTGTATTCTCTTTCATTGTGTAGTTACTTGATTAAGGTTTAAGGATGTGCCTCCTAATGAGGCATGCGCGTGACAATTCATTGTTTGTTGTACCAAAGTTAAGCGCGCATGCGCTGATTGTCACCTATCTCCTGCAATCAGACCGAGTGTGTATCGACCCCACTAACGGGAAGGTTAAGTCTGGTTTCGGAGAGTTAAGATTGGTTATGACAGCTTGTGCAGGGCATTGACCTCATGACCTTTCGCCCTCGTCAGGGTGCAATGATTCGATTGGTGGTGATTCGCGACTAGGACATTGCTGGATGGTGGAATCATTTTGTGAAACACTATGTGTCAGAATAACAGTGGCGTGAAAGACCATCACGCTCAAATATCCAACAGAAATGCTCCCTTTGGCGCTCCCGAATGGGAAAGCCGTACCTGACCTCGTGACGAACGCATCCCGTAAGTATAAGAACTTGCAGCCTGGTCCCTTCAGAGTCCGTTCCATTCTGACCCATCTTGCGTTCCTCATGTCGTTTCCCAGCCTCGACGCCATCGTCGAAGCAGGTTCCAACTGGTTTCATTCAACATCCAACAATGACCGTTTGATTTTGCTTGCGATTCTAATTGCGAGTACTCTCTTTCTACGATCACTCTTTACTGGACGGAAGCGAAATCCTCGTGGGCTACCGCTACCCCCAGGACCCAAGGGTCTGCCTATTTTGGGAAATCTCTTTCAGATTCCATCTGAGCGCCCATGGCTCGTCTACAGTGATTGGAAGAAGACGTATGGTGAGTGGCTTTACAGATTCCATTTTGCTCGCCAATGCTGATATGCCTCATCCCAGGTGACATGATTTACTTGGAGGCGATGGGACAGTCAATGATGATTGTCAACTCGTTATCTGTGGCTACCGACTTGCTTGAGAAGAGAGGAAACAACTACTCGGACAGGCCTGGATCTTCACCCGCGTACGATATGTGGGTCGCTTCCTGTGCTAAGATGGGTTCGGGTTTGATGAACTTGTTCCTAGATTGGGCTTCGAGTGGATGGTAGGGCTGATGAACTGCGGTCCTGAGTTCACTAGCCATCGGCGAGCATTCCAGCAACACCTCAATCCACGGAAGGTTCCCATTTTCTCTCCCATCATTCACGAGGAGGGAATGTCCTTCGTTCGTCGACTGTTGAAAGATCCCAAAGACTTTCGTAAATGCAGTAGAATGTAAGTGGTTTTCCACAACGTCTAGCGTCACGGAAGGACTAACGTAGGCCCTAGGTACTTCGGCATGGTCTTGATGAGGGTTGCATTTGGGTCGACGGACCCTGTCTACAATGCTGACCTCATCGGAAAGGCGGAAATAGTATCGAAAGGGTTCTCAGAAGCTGGTTTACCAGGGAAGTACCTCGTTAATGTTTTTCCGTTTCTGCGATTTGTACCGGCGTGGTTTCCGGGAGCTGGTTGGAAGCGCACACTCCTGGAGATTAACGGGATCACGAAGGAGTTGATTATCGACTCATTTAATGACGTTCGAGATAGAGTGGTGGGTGACTTCCCATGTAGATCCGTCGAGCGTTTCAGGATACTTATGGTTGAGAATAGAGGGCGGGAAATCAGAGTCGCGAGTATCCTTGTGTAGCGAGTGGGTTGATAGAGGAACTTCCGCCCGAGAATAGCCCTGAGTATGCAGAGAGGGAGTATGTGGCTCGAGCGACCGCAGTCGCCAGCTATGCCGGTGAGCACCCATGTTCGATTCGATGGCTCGTAGAACCGATCAACTCAAACATACCCAGGTGGCTCTGACACGGTACGAGAACTCTCAGCAAGATGGCACTGGCTGATTCTAAGTTCTTACAATGTTTTATGTCTAGACCGGAGGCACAACCGAAGCTCTATTCGCAGCTCTTGCCTCGAATGTAGAAGTCCAGCTCCAAGCACAAAAAGAGATAGATAGCGTACTCGGCGTCGGAAACCTCCCAAGACCTGAAGATATTCCCCGCCTCCAGTACATACAGGCTATCACCAAAGAGATCCTCCGTTGGTTTGTCGTCACGCCATTTGGTGAGTGTCTTGGGCGATCAAAGAGGTGTAAAACATCATTGATTCTCGTGTATTGCAGCTCTTCCACACACTATCAAAGAGGATGACGAATACCAAGGCTACTTCCTACCGAAGGGAACCGCCATTTTCCCTAACCTGTGGTTCATGCTTCATGATCCGGAGGTGTTCAAGGATCCTCTCAAGTTCGACCCAGAGCGATATCTCAAGGATGGGAAGATTAATCCTGATGTCCTTGATTCAGAGACAGCCGCTTTCGGGTTTGGCCGCCGGTCAGTACATTCTTCCTTACGCCTGTTGAACGAGCTTAATCGTCGATGTTAGTGTCTGCCCAGGAAGATATCTCGCGCTCGACTCTCTCGGATATATGATCGCGTGCTTGCTTGCTGTTTTTATTGTGCGCCCCGCAAAGGATAGCCACGGAAAGTCGATTCCAATCAACGTAGAGATTACATCTGGAGTCATTGTGTACGTCTCTCCTGATCATCTCGTCGACGAAACTTACTGACCTTCGACGACGGTAGGGGGGTTTTACCTTACGAATGCGATATCATTCCTCGTTCAGATTATCATGCCAACCTTGTCAGGGAACATTAGGATAGGATTCGAGTACTCATGAACGTCTGCACTGATATTAATTTGAAAAGATGATGGTTCCCCTCAAAGGCAGGACAGACCTTGAAACCATTGACTTAAGCTAAGCGCGCATGATTTGGGCGCTTCGGCAGCTGAGTAGCCGGCACCGGAATCCGGAATCCGTGATAGCGATTGAAGATGAAGCAAGCTCCTACCTTATTCAGAGCTCTTATTCACTTCACCTCAATCAGATCTGCACAGGACGCCAATTGAGCAGGGTCATGATCCAGATAGTGGAAGTTAGGGGCGACTTTCCAGAAGTGGAGTCCAAACAGTTGATGGGGAAATCAAACCCCGCCATCCCGAAAACCGCCTGGCGGCAATCGCGTTGATTTCTCCTTTTTTCTCTCGTTCGAGCCAATCCTGGCGCCTATGTAACTGCAGACGCTGCCAGCTACGTCGCTTTGGCCCCAGTAACGATGCAATGACACAATTTTCGACGTTCACCGGCACCGGACGAGTGCGCAATTGCGGTCAGAAACATCATTTGGGGAATCCAAGATGGCGATGGCTTCAGTCGTAGACCCGTCGCTATCTTAAGTGTCCGGGGATTCCAAACTCTCAATACCAGTGGTTCGCGAAGGGTATGGTCACTCTTTTTTAACTTAGAAGACAGGTCTAATAATACAATCAGACCAGCCTGTCGAGGCCACGGGTTTCACGGTCTGAACGTGAATATCCCGAGAATATGTAAGAACTCGCGTTCGAATATAAACGCAAGTGCGAAGGAGCCCACCTGGATCTCAGAACAACCTCCAGTCAACGTAGAAGACGCAGTAATGTGTGCTCTCCGTTTTCCATTGCCGCCAGACCATGGTTATCCCATCTATGCGCGTGGCATTCTAAACTGGACTTCGGCTACCTGACCATGTTTCTTGGCCTGAAAGGAGTGCTTGCCAAAAGGCGTTGAGGACTGGCACTGCCTCCTGCTCGCTAACCGATTCTCATTTTTAGAAACTTACTCCAGGTACCCGTGGAACATCATTGGATGCTCGCTAACCGATTCTCATTTTTAGAAACTTACTCCAGGTACCCGTGGAACATGTTGCAAGGAATGGTAAAAGATCTACGGTAGGCGCGACTTACTGTTATCTACTCGTCTCTGACAATGCTTCTTTCGCAGGGAACAACATTTATCTCGACGAACGTATCCCGACGGCGACGACTGCAGTTGGCTACCGTACATCCAAGCTGTCGTCAAGGAAGTGTCTCGAGGGCACAGTCTCGTCCGCTTGGTACGTTCCATCTCATGGGTGACATGCTTGACTACGTTCTGCCTCCCATCGGATGATTATAAAAATCACTATCTCATCCACAAAGGCACCTCCATTCTCTCAAATGCGTGGTGAGCTCCACTTGGACCCAGGACCCGAAGTATGCAGGGCCATCACGCACGGCCCAGAAATCTTTGAAATTCCCTTCGAATTTCTTTCAATCCCGGCCAGTGTCTCAGGAATGGAGCATTCGACCAATCCGTCTTGGATCCTGATTCCGTGGCGTTTGGGTTCGTATGTAGGTATGTGGATCGTCCCCGCATGCTGTCGCGACCATATTGACTGTCCGATTGGCAGGATCTGTCCAGGGCGCGACCTGAGCAAAGAAGCGCTTCTTTACACTGCTGCCTGTTTGTTAGCCGTGTTCAAGATCGAGCCTGTGAAGGATCAGAATGGCGAAGATATCCCGCTCGAGCTGAAGACTGGGATAATATTGTAAGAGGTCCTTTCCCTTGATGAAAATCAGAGCTAAGCCGTTGTTCTAGCGGTCCTGAGCCATTTTAATGCGAGATCCAGCCTCGCTTGCCTCAGCACCCGGCGTTGTTAGTGGAGTAAACGCGATGCCATGATTGGATGGAGACAGTGAATGTCCTTTTGCCTCGGACAATTTGTACCGTTAAGTATGCTTTTTTGTTCGCGTGGGCATTTGTTTTTATGCTAGAGTATCAATACTCCGGTTGATTTTCAGGCGTCGAGATGCTCATACTCTGGTTCCTCACAGATACCGGCGAAATGAGAAGTTCGATTGTTAAAAACCGCATTCAGTAATCTACCTCGAGCATCACCAAGAGACGACCCACCCCGTGGTCCAGGTCAAAGTTCCTCCCCAATGCAACCTTTTGTATTTCTGACCAACCTTTGCGTTACCTGTCGACGATATTCAATTATGTAGGTACGCCTCTCCGCCAACATCCAAAAGCTTAACTCTGACCGGTATACAGAAGTGGTGCGAACACAGCAAGATGGACCCGAGTAACTTGTCATTCGGATGACGCCAGGAAAAGGACATATGGATATCCATCACCGACCCCCGCGAAGACCGTTCAGCGAAGAGATAGTCTAATTATGCTTCTGTTGGAGCACGAACTTCGTGATTGGTATCCTGAAACCTATTTCGGAGAACTCGACTGCTTTATCATTTCGACAGTGGCCAGTGGCCAAAGGATCTCCAGCACGAGCTACGATTCGGACTCATCGAGAGACCGAGTAATGCTGAATTGAGACTTCCGTGAGTTGCTTATCACTCGATTTGTATCACTTGCGTCCCACGCAGGATTGTGTCATCTTTTAAAGCCACTTTCTAAGCATTAGGTATAAAGGCAGCCATTGGGTTTCCTATATTTCCAATCCCCGGGACCCTCCCGATAGCGATGTCTCTTCCATTCTCTCATGTCTGGCTCAGCCATAACCAAAGCCTGTCCGGGCTGCCATCTGTTAGTCCTGCGTTCCTTCTAGCCACGGGGCTAGTCCTCTTGCCCTTCCTTTTGAAGAGGTGGAGGCAGCCCAGGCGACTTCCGCTACCTCCCGGGCCTCGTGGCATTCCCATCATGGGCAATTTCCTTCAAATGCCCAGCATAGAGCCATGGAAAGTGTACTATCAATGGGCAAAGGAGCGCTATGGTACGAAATGAGCCACCCCTTGCCCGACTCACTGACGCTCATTCTTCTTCTTTACAAGGTGACATCATTTACCTAAATGCCGCGGGAGAAGAGATCATCCTCCTTAACTCCCTGTCCGCTGCTGTCGATCTGCTGGAGAAAAAGGCTGGCATCTTCTCGAGTCGGCAATGGTTAATTGCTTTCGACCTGTGCGCCTCTTTTTGTTCCAATATTCCCTTCTGGTACTCACCATCGACGGCTATACTAGGATCGGTCTCTCTGAATGGGTTACCGCAAACCTTCCATACGGGGCCAAGTGGCGATCTCATAGGCGATCTTTCCACCAATTCTTCAACGCGCGCGAGGTCCAAAGCTATCGCCCAGTCATCGAACAAGAAGGCATCGCTCACGCACGGCGTCTCGCAACCAATCCGAAGAACTTCCTCCTGGACTCAAGATAGTTCGTCGTTCATCGATCCGACCCTGAGAATCGCTTTACTGACTCTTGACCAGTCTCTTCGGCATTCTCCTCTTGAAGATTTCGTATGGCTCCAGCGACGACGAATACAACAAACAGCTCCTCGCGAACTCCCATGTCGTGGTCAAGAGTATTTCCGAGTCTCTACTGCCCGGCGCGTACCTCGTCAACACTTTCCCGTGGCTTCGTCACTTCCCTTCATGGTTCCCTGGCACCGGATGGAAGCAGAAGTTTGCAAAATTCTCTGCCGCAAGCAAGCTGGCTGTTGTTGATTCACTAAACGACACCAAAGCTCGACTGGTGCGCGGGGTATTCGCTGCACTATGCATCAATTCTGACATGCTGTGTTGCAGAGGGCAGGCGTTCAAGATGGATTTCCGAGCATTGCGGCCCGTCTCATCGAAAACTTGCCCGACGAAAGCCACGAAACGTATGAAGAGCAGCTTAATGTTGCGAGAGCCATTGCTGTCAATGGATTCGTTGGTTCGTATGCTCACCTACTCTACAAGATCTGGAACCCTGATTTCAGCTTCTTCCTCCAGCTGGATCGGATACTGTGAGTCACCCCTACCACGCCCGATGGATGTTCCAGTGGACTAACTTGCATACAAGACTGTCATCTCGATGTATGCACTGTATCTAGCCCTCGCGATGCGTCCCGAGGTTCAGAAACGCGCCCAAGAAGAGATTGACTCGGTTGTTGGAAGCGACAGACTACCAACTTTCAATGATTTCCCGCGGTTACCCTATGTCCAAGCGATCATGAAGGAGGTGTCTCGATGGCATACAGTCGTTCCACTAGGTGTGTGTACACCTCGTTTGTGCGAATTCCGAGTTCAGCGCGCTGACACTGTGAAGGTCTGAACCATGTCTCGACGGAGGAATACGAATACAACGGTTACCGAATCCCCAAGGGCAGCTCCGTGCTGGTAAACGTTTGGTGCGTATGATTATTCTGGAATAATCCAACGCACTTACACGGTACTTCATAGGGGCATCATGCACGACCCCGAAATCTACGAGGATCCCTTTGAGTTCAAACCGGAGCGTTTCTTGAAGGACGGCAAAATCGATCCGTCCGTGTTGGATCCAGAGGCTGCCATCTTTGGATTTGGTCGTCGGTAAGTCACTCTTACAACTATGCTGGAACCGTGTTTACCGGTCTTTAGGATTTGCCCTGGTCGCCACCTGAGCAACGAAGCCTTGATGTATATGACCACGATCATCTTGGCCGTGTTCAATATTCGACCTCCCAAAGACGAACACGGCAATCCAGTTAAGCTTGAGCTCAAGACCACATCTCATATGGTTTCGTTAGTGTGCTCCTTCCCTACGACATCGAACAGTGCTCACTGACGCGAATTACAGTACACCTCTGGACTACGAGTGTGAAATTGTCCCTCGGTCTGAACAACATCTCGCCCTTCTGTCATTGGATTGATTCCTTGACTGCTTCAGTTATTTGCATAGAATACATGTTGTCATTTATTCCGTTATCTACACTACCTTGCAGCCACAATCAACAGAGAACGTAACGAGATGTCGAACTTCAGGATTCATCAGCGCCCAGCGGCTGTAATTAGCCAAATTCAACAGTTGACCCTTGACCGTGAGGCCCTTCATGTCTGAACTTTAGAACTCAGTCGCGAACATGGCGAAGGAGGGAGCTACTATCTCCGTGGTCCTGTGACAAGGCTCAATTCAGCGTCTTGACACGAACACCAACTGGATACGAGTGAACAGAGTCTTCGAATTGCCCTCATCTTCCCACCTGTCATCCATGTCGAACACCCCCTTAGCAGGACTGCAACTTCTGAAGTCTGGAGCCTCAGACTCGTATTTTTGGACGGCCATTGCAGTGGGTAGTCTTGTCATAGCGACGACACTTCGTAAATGGTTCCTCCGCGGCGGACTCCCGCTGCCACCAGGGCCAAAAGGCCTTCCGATCATAGGAAATATGCTTCAACTCCCATCGAAACATCCTTGGGCGGTGTATAACGAATGGGCAAAGCGATATGGTACCCTACCTTCCTCAAGCTCTTGGATAGATGAAGGGACTTACATTTCGCAGGCGACGTTATCTACCTCGAGATCATGGGCAAGCCTCTGATGATTTTGAACTCCCTGTCCGCTTCCGTTGATCTACTGGAGAAGAAAGCGCAAATCTTCTCGGACCGTCCGCAACTGATAGCGCTGGAGATGTAAGTGGGAGGCCCTTCGTGTCTGGAAGAAATCCCGTCTCACCGCTCATAGGACCGGTTTGGATTTTGGCTTTGGGACTATGAGTTACGGACCGCGGTGGCGTGCCCATCGAAAGGCTTTTCACCAGTTCTTCAACCAGAGAGAAGTGGCCAAGTATCGGCCAATTATCGAGCAAGAAGGACTTGCCTTCTTACGTCGCTTGGCTGCTGATCCATTCAGCATTCATCGGGAATCGCGCAAGTAAGTACGCTCCGTAGCTTTCTCTTTTATAAGCCTGTTGACCCTCCGGCATAGTTATTTTGGTACTGTCCTGATTCGGATTTCATATGGGATCGGCCACATAGGCGCCAACAAGCGGCTGATCGAGCATGCGCAAGCTATTGTGGAAGGCTTCGGGGAGATATTCGCCCCAGGAAGGTTCTTGGTGAATATCTTTCCCTGGCTTCGTCACTTCCCCTCCTGGTTTCCGGGAACATCATGGAGGGCGAGGTTTGACTACTTCAAGACAGCTCGCGAGCTTGCCGTTGTTCACTCATTCAATGAAACGAAAGAGAGAGTGGTATGGCATTGTCCATTTTCGTGTTCTATCAGGTACTCAGGGCACATGACGTAGAAAAATGGGTTTCAAAGCGAGTTTCCGAGCGTAGCGACTCAGCTGATCGAAGCGCTCCCAGCAGAGGGAACTCTAGAGTATTCGTCACAGGAGGAGGTCGCCAGGAACGTTTCAGTTATAAGCTACACAGGTACGGATATCTTCGCTCAGTTGGCTATGCGCACTGACACCCGCCGTAAGCCGGTTCTGACTCTGTAGGTCACCTAACAAAACGTGGATAAGGCAAAAGACTAACCCTTTTCGGAGGCTGTCAGCTCCGCATTTGCACTGTTCATAGCCTTGGCAAAGCATCCCGAAATCCAACAACGCGCTCAAGAGGAAATTGACGCAATCGTTGGCAGCCATCGGTTTCCAACCTGGGCCGACTGCGATAGACTTCCTTATATCCACGCCATAGTCAAGGAGGTCACGCGATGGCACACAGTAGGTCCACTTGGTGAGTCCAAATCTCCTGTCCTTCGAAGCACCTTCTACTAACTCGGGGAGCAAGGGGTACCACATGTCGCTGCCGAAGATTATGAGTATAAAGGACACTTGGTGCCAAAGGGTACTACAGTCCTTTACAATGCATGGTAATGGATTCTTGTTCTCATATACATCCCGGTACCCGCAAATTTGACGATTATTACAGGGCAATTTTGCACAATCCGGAGACCTATAACAATCCCTTTGAATTTAATCCCGAGAGATTTATGAGAGATGGTCGAATCAACCCGGATGTACTGGATCCAGACACAGTAGCTTTTGGATTCGGACGTCGGTGAGTGCTCGATTGAAATGACCTTTCACGCTCGAGATAACGATCGGCTTCTAGCATTTGTCCCGGACGTCATCTCAGCAACGAGGCACTGGTCTTCATGACAGCATGCTTGCTATCTGTATTCGATGTCAAGCCTCGGAAGGATATAAATGGCGAGATACCGCCATTGGAGCTAGAAGTAAGCTCTGACATGGTCAGGTACGTGCCAGGGTAGGGCTCCTGTAGCCGGGTAGACTGATTGAATCTTCCATCAGCAATCCGCAAATGTTCAAGTGCGAGGTCGTTCCCCGCTCCCAATCTCATTTGAATTTGGTTTTGGAGTAGTTTTCTCTCCACCCAGCTCGAAATAGCTTCCTTCGTCCCAGCCTTTCTCTAACTTTACGATCTATAATGGCATTCGAGTAGAAAGTGCAATCCCAGACCGAGAATTAAGATGTCCATTGTTTCGGTTGACGACTCCAACCACCTGCTCCACTGGACGCGGTTTCGGTGTCCATCAGTCTGAGGAGATGTGCATATACTAGCAATGTTACTCAGACGCGCTGCGATATCGATAATTGCTTTCACACCCTGGATCTGAAGCCCGTGCCTCGCGGAACTCAGGTTCGGATCAGAGACCGGCTCTCCCGAGGATTCAGTTATGATGAAGATCGTCAAACTCAACGAAGATCGGCTTTGGACTGACGATGGAGGCGATGGGAACTTCTTGTCCACGGAAAAGAAATGGATGTAAAGTACTTGCCGTTAGGAGACGAGACAGATCTGGAGACTTAACTAAGAGGACTTTCAATTTATGCGCCTCCCACACATACTTTCAACCCGTTTGCCATGCATACCGCTTTCGGCTGCCCTGAGTAGTGAAAACGCGTGATGTTGCCAAAGGAAGCCCAGCTGACTGGGTCACAGTGTCATATCGTAACAGTACATTGATACGAATTACACCTTTAGGGGATTTGAAATCGGCGCACCCGGATGATCCCCCTATCTACTCCGCAATTCACTCCGCAGCGGTGTACATGCTCCCAACTACTTCCGTTTCCTTGCTTCTATCTAGAGTCACAAGATTCTCGTTACCTGATTGGTAATGTTACGGAAACGGGGCATTGTTACTGGTAAAGAGGGTCAACTGTTTCATGCACTCGTCTGCATTTCTCCTTTTGGTCTCTACTGTGTAATTCAAACAAAAACCATCCAAGCCTGTCTCTTTATTTAGCCAAGAATCTGGATCATCGGCTGGCTTCGATACGGAAAAACCAACACCGGAAGGAGATCTAGCCAACATGACGGAATGTATTGGGGTGTTCCCACTCAAGGATTGTGAGTTCTGTCAAGGCTCAATTACGACACACATGGAGCGGCGCCCTTAATTCCAGGCCCTATCTTCTCGCCAGTTTCAGAGAGAGGTTGATTCCACGCATGGCTGAGCTTTCCTACCAATCACAACTGCTTTTGGCGGGTCCCCCATGCAATGACAACTCCATACATCTCAGACCGGAGGTATAAATGGCCTCACTTGATGCCTGGATATGGAATTCTACAGCATCGCCAATTGGTGACCTTGGTCATGTCTCTAGCTCGACTACAATCTTTCTTCGACCATGATTACACTCAGAGGAACCACTCGTTCATCCGTCTCAGCCTCGTGCTGATGATGGTCGCTGTATTTGTCAGGTCCTTTCTCCAGCGGTCGCGCAGGAATCCCAATAACCTACCTTTACTGTCGTGAACAGCAAGTACGAGCCCCTATTTTTCCTTATCTTATCTTATCGCTTTCATCGCTCTTATCACCTTTTCTTTATTCTCATTTTTGCTCTTATTCTCGACACGGACACTTTCTCCCATGGAACACTGCCTCGTTATACCCTTCGCCCTACGTCTTATTGTTCTCTCCATTCTTGCACTGCCTCGTTACTCCGTTATTGTTTCTTCGCTCTTCGCGCAGCCTTCGCGCAGCCTTGTGACTCTTGTTACGACTTCGGGCAACGAGGACTTATCGTTGCCAACAGTCGTTCTGGGATTCTGGAGCTCTAGAGTTCTGGATCGAAGTTCTGGTTCTGGAGTCGAGTTCAAGTGGCCTGTCACTATCGCAGACAGAGAGGATCAAGCTGAGAGCGATAGAAGTCCTGAGGGAAAGGTTCTCGATAACAGGCTGAGGAATATCTACTACAGAGAGACAGTATTTATAGTAGAGTTGGCGAGCTATCAAGAGGTTTGGAAGAGAGCGAAAGAAGGTGTGAAAGCGACAATGTAAGGAGTATCGATGGGTACGGAATACGAGAGAAACGGAAGTACGAAAGGTTCGGAAATGCGGGAGAATCGAAGAAGCGAAGGTAACGGAACTACGGAGAGAACGGAAGTCCGGAAGGTTTGGAAAGGTAGGGTGCGTAGAGGGAAACAAGGAGAAGAAATAGGGGAGTTCGTAACAGTACCCCCTTCGTATGCCTGATGCTCCGCATCAGGTGTTCAGATTGTGTTCTCCTTCGTCTCCCCATAAGTAGTCATCATAGTCTCCGTCGTCCAAGAGTGCGTCATACTGATCGGGTGAAGTGTTGCGGGGCGTTGGTCGGTAATCGGGACACCATCGGGAACCAGAGTTGTGTCCGGGAGCGTTCTTGCCGCATAGGGTGCATCTGTAGGAGTAATGGTCGCATTGCCAGTGTCCGGTTTCGCCACATTCGTTGCACCTATGACCATCCCTCTTGCGTAGTTCTTTCTTCGACAAAGGTCGAACCAAGCCGTCGGGCTCAGAAGGAACGTTGCTTCTGGCGACCGGTCCGGGAGCCATGGTGGAAACTGATCTGTGATTGCCAGAGGAAGAAGGTACGGGGGAAGCGAGATGGATTCGTCGACGATCGAAAGCAGAAATGAGTTGGGCTTGTCCAATGGCATTCTTGAGTTCGTCGAGGTCACGAAGGAGTTCTGCTTCAACCCGTTGGCGAGATTGTTCGAGGATCTGGTCTTGAGCGTTGAGTCCGTCTAGGACCTTCTGGGTGGCTTCGAAGAATTTGGTGACTGATGCGTCGAGGGCTTGGTAATGTCCGATAAGGTGAAACTTCTCTTTGATGATGCGTTCGTGTTCCTGGACAAGGGTGGCGTATAGGCGACAGATGGCAGGGGTACGTTCTCCAACAAGGAGGAGGGCGGCGTCAGCACCGACGACTTCCTTGATATCGTTGACGGTCTTGATGGCTTGGATTTGTTCTTCTGATTCTTCAAGGTATTTGCGGATAGATGGAGGGAGGAGCGAATTGTTAGAGGGACGTTCCGTCATGGAAGGGATGAAGAGGGGGTTAATAGCGAAAGTGGTAGATGCAGAAGGACGCGCGACAGAAGTAGTAGTGTTCGCGGGAGTGTTTGAGTTCTTTATCGTAGCGGTCGGAAGCTTCTTGGACAGTTTCTGGTCGGCCGATGTAGACTTGGAAGCGTTTGTAGTAGTTGGTGTGGTTGTACATGCTGTCGGATGGGGAGTCTGGGTAAAGGTTTTATAGGTTATGTCGTTGTTTGTAGGCGTTGAGTATTTCCTGTGCGTTTTCGAAGTTTCGCTCTGGTAACCAGCAATCTTCGCTTGATGGGTAGCCTTTGAAGTGGGTGAGATATTGGTATCCCCGTCCTCGTCGGCGATGCGCGATGATCGCTTCTACTTCCCATTCTTCTTCGTCATTGATAATGTCCGGTGGGGGTTCGGAGAAGGCAGTTCCGTGTTCGTCGGTTTCTTTGAAGGGTGAAAGAAGACTGGCATGGAAAACGTTGTGGATGCGCCATTGGGCTGGTAGGGCAAGGCGATACGCTCGGGAGCCGACTTCATCGGTGATTTCGAATGGGCCCAGTCGTTTGGGAGCGATCTTTTTTGATTGGTAAGGGAGTTTGAGGTTTTTCGCTTCGAGCCAGACCTTTTGTCCCTTTCTGAACGGTTTCCATTGTCGTCGGGATCGTTCAATCATACGAGATCGGGCGAGTTCATGGGCGGCAAGGGCTTCTGTTCGAGATTTGTCAAGGGATTTAATGCGCTCTTCGTTCGAAGGATAGTCCGTTCTGTCGAATGCTTCAGGAAGAGCTTGTAGGTTTGATTCCCATGATAAGTTCGAATGGTGACAAGGCTCGGTCAGCGTGGGGTCGAGAGTTGTGGGTGAATTCGAGAATTGGGAGGTGATCGGTCCAGGTTTCGGGGTTCATGGTGCAGTAAATGGACAGGTATGCTTCGATTTCTTGGTTGACTCGTTCGGTTCCCCCGTCAG